ACTGCCTTCAAGGAGAAAGGGGGCTAGGGATGGGGTGGAAGCTTCTCCACCCCCAGGGCAGACCGAGGCCTTAGTCTCCAATGAGGTTACAATGAGGTGAGGTGGCAGGGAAGTAGGATAAAAATTTTTATGACTCATCTGAATACCAGTACTCGTTCACTCCTGTGCAGTCAACTGGCCAGATTTGGACATAGAGTAAAATGGGCAAGAAAATTCACTGTAACCATCTGAGTCAGGCTGTGCAGACCCTTGTCGTACCCCTCTGGCAAAGGCAAGCTGCTTCTGCTTGGAGGTGCCCTGTTGTGTTCTGGACTCACTGCCTTGCTGACACTTACCCACCACATTTCATCTGAAAGACACCTACTGGGCGGCTATGGGGCACTTGGGGAGATTGAGCGTCTCACACAGTACCTCCAGGTAACACTGGACCTAGATATTCTCATCTTGGGTTGGGTCTGCTCAATGCTAACAGAGTTGGAAAGGCACAACAGTCTTTTCTGATTTAATGACAATGATATAGTCAAGGGAGAAGCAAGCCTAGTCCCACAGGTGTGTCCTCCCCACAGGAAGAGATTGTGGCCACGCGTTTGGAGGCCAATGTAGCGCTCTCTCCTAATCACTCATAGGGGCAGCTACGTAGGGACCCCATTTCCGGAGAGTCTCTAAAGATGCTTGGGCTTGGTTTACTGATGGCTCAGCCCAACTAAAAGCTGATGATCTGTCTTGGGCAGCAGCAGCTGGCCAGCCCCAACAACTCTGGAAGACCAACTGTGGTAAGGGCTGGTCAGCACAACGGGATAAACTGAAAACCATCACCTTCGCCTAAGGACCACACATGTTATATTTTCACTGACTCTTGGGCTGTGGCTAATGCCCTAGCTATCTGGTCAGGTGCCTGGGTGACGAGTGACTGGTGTGGCAAAAACACCCCTCTGTGGGGCTGTGAGCTCTGGAAAGCCATTGCCACAGGCCAACAGGACATTTATGCAGCGCAGGTGGACACCTGTGCAAAGAGTTCACACCTAGATGAGACTGTGCACAGATTTTTGAGTCCCCTCTCCCTGGTCTAACAGGCAAAGCTAGCAAGCAAATTGCATAGGCTTTAAGCCAGTACAATAAAATCCATGCTGACTGTGAAGGAGCCGCGCAGGCCATCTTCAGCCTGTGTCAAAATGACCTTGCAACCCCACACCTCATGACTGAAGATGCCACTGGACAGATGTACAACAGGAAGAGATAAAAGGGGACCTCGCTGTCACATTTCCCAGCTGCATTTCTTAGAGACTGAGAGACTAATTAATGATCCTGGTCCTTGCCTCCCTCCACACATAGATAATGTCAGCATCTCTGAACTTGTCTGATATATAACCAAGAAATTCTTGTTTATGTCACCTTCAATATATAATCTAGAGAAAAGCCCAGATATACTCTATCCTCCCCTTTTTTTTTGCTGAGGAAGATTCGCCCTGAGCTAACATCTGTTGCCAATCTTCCTCTTTTTTTGCTTGAGGAAGAGTAGCCCTGAGCTAATATCTGTGCCAATCTTCCTCCACTTTATATGTGGGTTGCCGCATGGCTGACCATTGGTGCAAGTCCGTGCCTGGGATCTGAACCCATCAACCTGGGCTGCCAAAGCAGAGCGTGCCACCTTAACCACTATGCCATAGTCCCTATGACTTTTTTTAAAAAAAATCTAGTTGTAAGTTTTTTTCTTTTCCTCTTCCCTGCATGTACGCTGTTTTGTGAAAGAGAAATAAGCTGCATTTAAACTCGCACACCTCAGAGCACTTCCTTCAGAGCACTCTGTTGAACTGTTTCAGAGCAACTCTGCATGCTGATTCTTGAATAAACTCCTCCACTGACATCATCTAGACTCTTTACTTCAGTCGACAGACCCAATGGAACCACATGGCGTACTGGGCCTAATTAGGAAACGTCTTCTTTGGAACAGCTGCTTAGGGAAGTCAAGACTGAAGGGGTGGGGGCAATGGGAGACTGGCGATTCCATTTGTGATTCCACCCTGACAATCTCTAGTCACTCCTTTTCTTTTTTTCCCTCTGGTCCTAGCACCTGGGAAGCCTGACTGATTTCATCTTAAGGTGGCAGTTAGACAAAAGTGGAAAGGTGACTATACCCTTCTGCTTCTGCTACCACTTGGTTTCAGTCGTTGTGTGTGGAAGAGTGCTGACCATAAGGATAACAATCAGTTGGTGAAATTCATGAACCCTAGAGCATGCCTACAATGGCCGGCTTGGGCAGTGATAGGGGACATCACGGTTGTTGCAAGGGCTACCATCATGCCCATTTGAAACGGAAGAAGGTCTGCGCAGAGGTGGGAGATGGCTGAATGAAGAGAGAAACAGTGGCACTGACTTAGAACAAATGAACTACGTGGGCATGGAAAGAGAACAACAACCCTGGTACTGAGGAAGGAACATCTTCATCCCTAGGAGGTACGGGGGTGGTGGGAACATTTGATGCTTTCTTTGTCCCCTAGATCCAGTACCACAGCATTGCAAAACAATCACATGGTCTACTTGAGTCAAGCAGCAGCTGCAATTGGCAATATGACCCTGCCGCTGAGTTTATCATCCCGTCCTCGTGCTATGAAAACAGACTAGCTCACGTGAGCATGGCTGGATTGGAACTATTCTGCTGTGCTGGACGCCCTCATGATAGCAGGACTAGTCAGCTCTGCCCAACACCCTCACAAAAGCAGGACTGCCCGGCTGTGCCTAATACCTCAGCTCCCTCCTCATGTGTGCACCACTGTAACCTTGCCTGATGAGAATTAAGGCATTGAGCCCTCGGCCCTGGTTCCTCAGTTGTGTGGCAACTCATGAGGACAGAGTTTCCATCTGGACCCATCGTGTCACTCCATGGGACTTGGGGGCATGAGACCAGAGCTACTGTGCTGCTGCCCCCGCTGTTTGCTCTGCTGAGTCTTACTCCGATCACGTGGTCTACTCTCTGGCACACATGGATGCAGGTTTACTCCTTGCAATCCAGAGGTTGGGGGTTGGTCCCTAACAAAGAACAAGGCAACGTGAGATTTTTCTCTTAAGGAAGAATATAATAATTGCATTCTAAATGGGCTCCTTCTCCCTTCTTTCTATTTCTAATAATAACCCTCTTTTTCTTCTTCCTTTGTTTACCCATTAGAAATCATTTATTTAAAAGGTATTTAATTTTACAAAGAGGTATCTGCACTCCCATGTTCACTGCAGCATTATTCACAATAGCCAAGACGTGGAAACAACCCAAGTGTCTGTAGACAGGTGAATGGATAAAGAAAATTAAAAATATATATATATATATATAATTCAGGCATAAAAAAGAAGGAAACCCTGCCATTTGTGACAACATAGAGAACTTTGAGGGTAATATGCTAAGTGAAATAAGTCAGACATATAAAGACAAATATTGTATGATTTTACTTATATGCAGAATCTAAAAAAGCCAAACTCATAGAAACCAAGAGTAGACTGGTGGTTGCCAGGGGCTAGGGGGTGGGCAAAAGAGGGAGACGTTGGTTGAATGGTACAAACTTCCAGTTATAAGATGAATAAGTTCTGGGGCTCTAATGTACAGCATGATGACCATAATTAACATGTATTGTATACTTCAACGTTGCTAAGAGAGTAGATCTTAAATGTTCTCGCCACAAAAATTCTAAAAAAGGTAACTGTGAGGTGAAAAAAGATATTGAATTTTAGCATAGCTAGAAATTTTTAAGATTATAAATTTGTGTGTTTTGTTTTTGTTTTTTTTTTGAGGAAGATTAGCCCTGAGCTAACATCCACCACCAATGCTCCTCTTTTTTGCTGAGGAAGACTGGCCCTGAGTTAACATCTGTGCCTATCTTCCTCTATTTTATATGTGGGACGCCTGCCACAGCATGGTTTGATAAGCAGTGTGTAGGTCCGCACTCGGGATCTGAACCAGCAAACCCCAGGCCACCGAAGCAGAGCGCATGAATCTAACTGCTATGCCACTGTATAAGTTTTTTTTTGAGAGCTCCTCAGAAGCATTCTTATTTCAAGGCCTGAAACCAAACTTTTTAAAATATTTGACACTTTCATCTCTTTTATAAGCAGTTATAATTGAAGTTTCCTTGTAGTTTTCTTTTATTTTTAATGTTAAACACTCTATAAATTACAAAAATGTTTTAAAAATCAGAAATACTGAGTAGATATACATTACAGGCTGTTTGTTAGGAAAGGAAAAAAGATCTGGGCCTTTAGTTGACCACCCACTCTCGATTTTTTAAAAGGTTTTATTATATATATTCTCACGCATACAGAAAAGAAGAGAAAGAACAGAGTACAATGAACTCCCGTGTATCCATCATCAACTTTAACAACTGTCAATATTCTGCCAATCTTATTTCATCTACATCCCCCAACTTTTTTTTCTGCAGTATTTTAAAAGAAATCCTAAACATTTTATTTCACATGTAAATATACAGAAGTCAATATTTATTTTTTTCTGGGAAAGATTCGCTTTGAGCTAACATCTGTTGCCAATCTTTCCTCTCTTTTTCCTTTTTTTTTCTTCCTCCCCAAAGCCCCAGTACATAGTTGTATATTCCAGTTGTAAGTCCTGCTAGTTCTTCTTTGTGAGCCACTGCCACAGCATGGCCACTGACAGATGAGTGGTGTGGTTCCACACCCGGGAACTGAACCTGGGCTGCCAAAGTGGAGTGTGCTGAACATTAACCGCTAGGCAGTCAGGGCTGGCTCTGTAAGTTAACCTTAATCTCAAATAAGTTAACGCAATATAAATAGAACTACAGTGTACAGATGGTGTATACCTGTCCCACTCATTCATTAAAGCCAGATAGCTAGGCACTATGCTAGGTGCTGGATATCCAAGAGAGAGCCACATGAGGGCAGGAGAAGACAGAAAGTTCATAGGTTATTAGGTGAAAAAACAAATACAGGAATTATTGCTCCTAAATGATGATGATGAGAATAGTTAATATTTATAGATCACTTACTGTTTTAAGCCCTTTCAAACGTTAACTCATTTTTTCTTCACAATCATCCTCTGAGGTAAATACTGTTATTACAGATGAGGAAACTTGACCCAGAGTAGTACAGGAACTTGCTGGAGAGCATTCAGATCTTAAGTGGTGGAGCTAGGATTTTATTCTAAGAGGTCTGATTTCAGAGGCTCTGCTGTAAGGAAAAAAAAAAGAGAGAAGACTACCTTAAGATTGAGGTAAAAACAATGTTATTTGTTCACCAAACCATTTCATTTTCTTCTTAGCACACAGAAGACTGTCTGTATTTCCCAGCTCCCTAGCCTTTAAATGGGCCATGTGACTAATTCTGGCTAATGAAATGTGGGTGGATGTTAAAAAAGACAAAAAATCATCTCTTGGTTAGAGTGATGGCCTCCTAAGATGGAAGGAGCCTGGATCTCAGGGTTATGACTTAGAGGAGGGCCTCTCCATCAGGTCCATCTTTACCGAACTTTGTGAGCATGAGAAATAAACTCTTACCTGTGTTACGTCACTGAGATTTTGGGGTTGGTTTGTTATGGCAGCTAGTGTAAATAATTGTACTAATAGAAAAATTTTAACTTAAACAATTATAACATATTTTAAAAATATTGAAAAAGTACAGAATACATTAACAATCATATCTCTAGCTTCAGATTTAACAAATATTAATATTGTCACATTTCCTTCAGGTTTTTCAAGAAACCCATTACATATAACTAATAGCTAAGAACCAATAAAGCATCACCTCATCCCTCACCCCTCCCTAGAAGTAACTACTATCCTAAAAGTGGTGTCTATCATCCTCATATTCATTTTTTACTTTTACTACACTATGTTAAATTATAGAGCGTTATTTTGTGTGCTTTTAAAATGGACAGAAATGGTATCAAAAAAGATTGCTTTCTTCATTCAATATTGTTTTTGAGATGTATCCATGTTGGTATTTGTAGGTCTAATTCATTCATTTGAATAGGTATGTAGAAATATAGTAACTTACATATCCATTCTCCTGCTGAGAGACAGTTAAGATTGCTCATATCTTTTTGCTTCTACAAACAATGCTGCAATGAACTTCCTTGTACATGCCTAACACCTGGGGACAGATTTTCGGGCCCCCTCTCCCTGGTCTACCAGGTGAATCTAAGGAGCAAACTGCGTAGGCTTTAAGTCAGCACAATAAAATCCATGCTGGACTGTGAAGGAGCCGCGCAGGCCATCTTCAGCCTGTGTCAAAATGACCTTGCAACCCCACACCTCCTGACTGAAGATGCCACTGGACAGATCCACAACAGGAAGAGATAAAGGGGACCTCCTTCTCACAATCCCAGCTGCATTTTTTTTTTTTTTTTTTTTGAGGAAGATTAGCCCTGAGCTAACTACTGCCAGTCCTCCTCTTTTTGCTGAGGAAGACTGGCCCTGAGCTAACATCCGTGCCCATCTTCCTCTACTTTATATGTGGGATGCCTACCACTGCATGGCTTGCCAAGCGGTGCCATGTCCGCACCCAGGATCCGAACCAGCAAATCCCAAGCCGCCGAGAAGCGGAATGTGTTAACTTAACTGCTGCGCCACCGGGCCGGCCCCCAGCTGCATTTCTTAGAGGTTGATCCTGGTCCTTGCCTCCCTCCACACATAGATAACATCAGCATCTCTGAACTTGTTTGATGTATAACCAAGAAATTCTCGTTTGTGTTACCTTCAATGTATAATCTAGAGAAAAGCCCAGATGTACTCTATCCCCCTTTTCTTTTTTTTTTTTAAATCTAGTTGTACTGTTTGTGAAAGAGATACAAGCTGTGCCTAAACTCGCACCCCTCAGAGCAGTTCCATCAGAGCACTCTGTTGAACTGTTTCCTGGGGTTTGAACTCCTCATGCTGATTACTGAATAAACTCCTTCACTAATATCACCGGACTCTATTTCAGCCGACATGTCACATAGTCAGGAGAGACCTCACTGAGGATTTTCTCATTTAAGCTGATACTGGAAGGATGAGAAGCCAGCCACACGAAGAGTCGGGAAACAATCGTTTCAGGTGTCTGGAACGGTGGACAAGCCCTAACACCTTAGGGAATGGCATGTACTAGACTCAGTGAAGTTACAGTGCAAGGAGCGAGGGAAAGAGCGGCAGGAGAGGGAGGTAAAGAAGCAGGCAAGGGCCACTCTGTTCATGGCTTTAGAGGCCACAGGAACAAGTTTGGGTTTTCTTTTATATGCAAAGCCATTAAAGTGTTCTCATTTTTTCTAGGTTAGTCAGACCATACTCACTCACGGTATTGTGAGTTCCTTCCTTCAACTCCACTATGAATGGAGCATCCGTTGAATGAACGCAATTACCAGTTTTACTCTCCGTTTTGGAGGACTTGATCACAATATTAAATAAAAAGAGAAGAAAAAATTACTTTTCAATTCCTTTCCCGCCTTTTTGTGTCTGAGGGGCAGCTGTATGTTTCCAAATGATGACAATTTCACTTTTTCATCAAAAAGGCTTAAAAGGAAATGTACCTTTTTTCCTCCACATTTTGCAATCAATTTGTCCCCTTTATTAAAATCAGATTGACTCCATGAAAGATCTAAAGCGTTAAGGTCAATTTAAGAGCTGAGGAAATATGCTGGTAGTTCTGGAACTATCTGAGGTGCGACAGAATGAGGCGATGAGCAAACAGAGGAACAATTGAAAAGTGTGAACGAAAGAATTATGTACATATACTACAGTGCCAAACATTGAACTGTTGGTTTTAAAATGATAAATTACACTATTTCCCAAAGTGGTCTGAATGTGAGTCATTCCTTTAGTAACTCAGCCAAACATGCTAACATTTTCTCTCCTTCCCCATTCATTTCTTCTACTAGTACTTCCTATATTTGCCTAGTGGTTATACTACCAGGTTGGGAGGTGGGCTATCATCTCTTCTAGGAGCTTTCATTTACACTACTTCCCCGATTTCCAACAATTCAAGCACAGCAAGTTTCACAGTCCTACTCCTGTATTTTTGCCCAATTTTCCTCTAGAATATCCTTTTTAATAACTAGTACTTTTCAATTTTTAAAGATACCTATTCAAACACAGAAATTTCAATAGAATCTAATCTGATAGATGTGTGTGAAATTTTCTGTGTTCTAAAACAACCACCATCCACCTATTAAATTATTTTTTATTTGCATGATGCTTGCACTCTCTCTAGGTAGACCCTTAGTGCCAAATAGAATGAATACCAAAATGCCTGACGTACAACTGTGTTTAACATATGCAATAGGGCAGAGTTAAAATCCTATCAACATCACAAAGAATCAGAATCTGAATGGTAGAAAAGACCTCCAGGACCATCTCATACAACCACCTACCTTTTGTGTGTATGTGACCACCAGGGTTTTTTAACTGAAGTCAGTAGTTTTCAAAAGAGGAAATAAATCTTCAGTAAAACAAATCAAAATAGCTGCAAGAGAAATGGTATGATTCTAGCTAACATAAAAAATTTGTTTCCTAAGGTAGCTTGCATGGGGATGGCTGATAGTCTCTGCCCTCCAGCCACTGCACCTGGAGTGGGTACAAGTAATCCTAATGCCTTTTGATAAGTACCCTGAGACTGTGTGTAAATGTGCTTTAGGACCACAATGGAGGGAGCAAGTGATTACACTCCAAATGTCCCACCTTCAGAAGACAGGTGAATGGCCTTCCAGAATGACTAAGAATTACACAAGTGGACAAGGATGAAAGTATTTTAACCTTAGAGAACAGCAAAAGCATCTTACACCTAGGAGTTACAGATAGGAATCTGCAAAACGATGTTTGAAAAGGGTTGCAGCAATGGACGCTTTCCTAACAGTGGATTTCTTCCCCAGCTGCACGTTAGAATCACCCAGGAAGCCTTTAAAAATCCCGAAGCCCAGATCTCACATCAGACCAGTCAAAGCCGAATCTCTGGGGCTGGCATAAGTCTTCGCACGCATAAGTAAATTTAAAGCCCTTCCCCACCCCTGTGATTTCAACGTGCAAGCGAGGTGGAGAATCACCATGTTCAAGCAGGAGGCAAAACATTAAAGGTGAATTTTGCGGGAGAAAGAGCGGCAGCAGGACACAGAGGAACAGAAAGCCCTTGAAGGGCTGGGCGGCCACTGCAAGAGCAGGGACAAGAACCGAGTGAGAGGCAGCGGGAGAGGATTTAAGGGCTGTTTCTGTGGAATAACTGCCGAGATTCGGGGTTGGTAATAAAATCAGCATATATCCAACTGTACTAAAGTGAAATTATTCTGCCAGCGGCCCCGCTCCTACCCCCAATCATATTTTCTCGCATTTTTTCCCACAGTTAAAAAAAAAAAAAAACCCACACAATGACGGAAACGTCTTCTATCCCACGAAAGGCGCATGGGCAGACAGTGGGCGGGGCAGAGAGCTGAGAAATCAGAAGCGCGCAGCCGCTACAATTCCTTCCCGATTCCAGAACCCCAAGTCACAGACACCGGACGGGGAGCCCTCCCGGCCGCGTTCGCGCCCCACAGCGGAGCGCGTAAAGATACCTCAGGCCAAACTGGTGCCTTTGAAACCTGGGAGGGCGCCGAGGGCAAGGGCGGGGCAACTGATGACGTTCGCGGTGACGCCGCCGGCTCCGCCCTCACGCCCGCTTCCGGCGGCGCGCGCCCCCGCTTCCGCTTTTCCCGCCCGCGCGCCGGCCCCGCCCCGCTCCCACGCGCCCCACTAGAGTCCTGGCGCCCGACAGCCGCGAGAAAAGGCACAGGTTGCTGTCGGAAGTCCCCCTGCAGGTTCCCCTTCCGTTCTGCCTAACGACTTCCGCTTTAGGCCGTCAACATGGATGCCGCGGCTGCCTGGCAAAGCGGCCTCTGAGCGGTTGCGGAGGCGCAGCTTCTCTGCGGCGTCCGCCCCGCTTCTCCGCCTTCCCTGCTCCCCCCCGCCCCTCGCTCCCGTCCCTGGGGCCGGCGGGCTCGTCGCTACATGGGGGCGGGCCTCCGCGGCCGGCGCACGGCTTCCTGTTCTGAGGCCGCCTGGCAGTAGGTGGCGGCGACTCTGCCCGCGCCCGCTTCGGCGCGGTGACCGAGCGCCCGGGAGGCTCGAGGGCCTCATCTTGTGCCGCTGCGCCCAGCCAGGCCCTGCGCCGCCATGGCCCCAGTGCAGCTGGAGAACCACCAGCTGGTCCCGCCCGGAGGCGGCGGCGGGGGCAGCGGCGGCCCCGCGTCTGCCCCGGCGCCTCCTCCTCCCGGAGCCGCAGTGGCGGCGGCCGCTGCGGCGGCGGCCAGCCCTGGCTACCGGCTGAGCACCCTCATCGAGTTTCTGCTGCACCGGGCCTACTCGGAGCTCATGGTGTTGACGGACCTGTAAGTGCCGCGAAACCCATGCCTGCTCCCCAGCCCCCCCTTCCCGCCCAACCGGCGGAGAGAGGCTCGCACCTCCCTCTCCGCAAAGGCTGCTGTTTTCTCCTCTCCGCCGGGCTGCTTGGTCTAGAATTTCTGAATTCGTGGGGCTCAGCGGAGGTGCAGGAGCAGCTTTGCATTTGGGGTCTTTTCTGGAGGTGCAGCACCGGAGAGTTGTTAATTATGCATGTTGTTAGGCTTTCACTGAAAATCCCGTCGTTGGGATTTTTTGCTCCAGTTGCCAACAGAACCCTATTGATTTCTTGGCTGGAAGCTTTTTAGTCCAAAGTCCAAGGCTGGGTTTAGGAATACATAACATTCGGGCTTTAAAAAGAAAAGCCCAAAGACAAGAAATCTGTTTTACAGCCTCTTGACTGTACATTTTAAATGTAGGTTGTAATTGCTTCTGACAAAGTTTGAACTCAGGAGATGTATTGTGTATAAAAGCATCCAAAATTTGAGGTTCCAAGGTTTTTTTTTCCTGGGACGTTTCAGAGTGTTTGAAGTCTTCACGCGTTTAATGTAAGTAAAAGGTTTTTTCTAACTGGCCTGCTGTTATTGTCTCTGGAGTATGAAGGGAGTTTATAAATCACCAAGTTACCAATGAAATGCCTTGGGACATGATTAGGATATTAATCCCTTCAGGCACAGGATCAGAATACGCTGTAATGATTTTCAGTGTGTGAAGAAAAGAACTATAAAATTGGGGGGTATAAATACTTGAATTACTATTTTACATTTTTTAATCCAGGTTCAGAATTATTCGTTTCTGTCCAGGTTAGTTTTTATCTATCTATTGCTAGACTCCAGATCAGTGTTTTCTGTTGAAATACATTAGTATGTAGATATTAGGCTGTAAAGTGTCACAGTAATTCGTTACTACAGACTGTTAAAATATTTGTTTGCAGGTGACTAAAAGAATAGATTCCACTTATTCCTGGAAAACGTCATTCTCACTCATATTTGGTATACTGTACTTTATTGAAGGGGACAGAAGGAAGGCTGTCGCTGCCTAATGAGAAACTTAAATAGCTGTCATGATTAGGGATTATTGTAGTAATATACTTCTCTGCACCAGTTATTGCCAGATTTCATAAAAATCCAAGAGTATCCATGAGAAAATTTGATGTATGTGACAGTCACCTGTCCTAAAATGTTGAAAACTGCTCTCAGTGGTTGTGTGATTTGTATAATTTGTTTTTCCATAGGGGGTTTGTAGAAATTATTTGAATTATATTGTCTTTTTCTTATTATTTTAGGACTTAGTTATGAAGAGAGAAATATCTGTGTTGTTGTTATAGAATAAGAATATAGTTTTGGTCCCGCACCCTTTATATAATGATGATTCCCGTGCTTATATCTCCAGCACAGACCTCTCCACTGAGCTCCAGACTCTATACCCAGATGCCTATATTTAAATACCTAATGGACATTTTAATGTGCCTAGTCTGGAACCAAACTCCTGATTCCACTTGATTTCCCCAAACCTTTCCTCTTTGACTAAGTAGTATCTCCCTTCTCCCTATTGTTACATAAGCCAAAAATTTTCAAGTAATTCCTGGCTCCTCTTTCTTTGAATCCCACACCCAGTACCTCAGCAAGCCTTGTCATCTCTGACTTCAGAATCTGACCACTTTTCAACATTTCCATCCAGTGTGAATCCTTCGCCCATGTTGCTGCAGTAGTCTGCTAGCTGGTATCTCGCCTGCTGCCCTTGCCCCTCGACAGGTTTTTCTCCTTTAAATAGCCAGGATGATACTTTTAAAACTCCTCTGCTCACAGCTCTCCCGTGGTTCCCCATATCACTTAGAGTAAAAAGTTTTTGTAGTCACCAATATGTAGAGTGACCGTAAAGTTTATGGTCCAAATCAGGACACTTTTGAGCATGAAAGGTGCTGTTAATAATAGTGTCGGAGCAACAAGCATAAACTGGAACTGCCTTGAGCAAACTGGACATGTGGTCACCTTACCTTTAAGACCCTGCATGATCTGTGCCTTCTTTCCCTTACGTCTTTAACTTCATCTCCTAATACTCTCCTCCCTGCTTAGTCTGTTTCAGCCACACTACTCCTCTTGATGTTTCTTGATAGTGCCAGGCACACACCCACCTTAGAGCCTTTGCTCTTCCCCTAGAAATCTGTGTGGTTTGCTTTCTCATTTCCTTTAGGTCTTTGTTCTGATCTAACTTATCAGAGACTTTCTCTGACCACCCATGAAAAGCACTCTGCCCCTTCAATCTATCCTCTGTTACTCACTGCTTTGTTTTTCTCTACAGCACTTATCACCACTGGCCATTATTCCTTTCTTGCCTGTCCCCTCCCCACTGGAAGCTCTATGAGGATGGGGAGTTTGATCTGTTTGCTACTTTCCCCAGGGCCTAGAACGATGCCTGGCACATAGTTGGGGCTTAACTAAGTATTTATTGATTTAATACATCAACAAATGAATTTTTAGAATTATCATTGTAGACCATGGAGAATTTAATGGGAAAATTCACTGTTATTTTTGGTACATAGGCATATAAAATAACCTTTTTCTCTTTTGATTTGTGGTAACCAAAATTAGGAATTTTCCTTGGAAGTTCCTAAAACATGTATTTTTCCTTGTTCCAGGTAGAAACTGTCAGGATTAATGTTTTAATGTAAAAGCAGTGTTCTAGGTACACTTTATTTATTTATTTGTAAAGATTTTCTTTTTCCTTTTTCTCCCCAAAGCCCCCCGGTATATAGTTGTGTATTTTTAGTTGTGGGTCCCTCTAGTTGTGGCATGTGGGATGCCACCTCAGCATGGCTCTGAGCAGTGCCATGTCCGCACCTAGGATTCGAACCCACGAAACCCTGGGCTGCCCCAAGCGGAGCGGGCAAACTTAACCACTCGGCCACAGGCCTGGCCCCTAGGTACACTTTATAAGAGTCATATTTCTGCCACATTTGATGCTTGTCTGTGAACTACTGAAAGTGAAAACGAAGCCTTGGCAATTTTAGGTGGTTTGTTTTTGGCCCCAGATTTCTGATTTTTTCCTTCTGCTTGTCTACTTCCTCCTTCCCCCCAGTGTACATGCTCTCATCTTAGAGTTTACACTGCCTTGACTTATTAGGGACCTAGGTTCTAGTCCTTTTTTTAAACCTCTTTTAAAATGAGAAAATGCTAGGATCTCAGTCGTGTAAACTTGTCTTATCACACTTTGGTGTAAATCGGTTTCTGTGAGTGACTTCCAAAAATTTGCATTTTAGAGCTGTTGCCCCAAATGGTAGATTTGTTATCCATAAAGAAATTTTAAATAGATTAGGAGAAATTGGGGGAAAAGGGATGCAGGCAGCAAAGCCTATCCTTTGTCCCTAAAATGCCACCACCTCTGACATGAGATGATCCTTTTAGGGTCTCTGGGGCAGGTGGGAAGAGCTGGAACAATGCTTCCTGTTCTTTCTACCCCCAAAGGCTCTACTCTTCTGTTTCTCTCTTATGCACACACTAGCATCCATGGTTCTCATTCTCTCCCTCCCTTGAGGACAAGGGCTGTGGCTTCGAGAGGAGTGTTCTCAGGAGCTTTTGCATGTAGAAGAACTGGCCAATTGCAATCTTATAGTAGGGCCTTAATTTCTGCTTCATCTTCTGATCTGCTGGTCCTTCCAGCTCCTACCTAGTTTCCTTTATCACTCGGGTCATAGCTTCAGCTTCCATCCCACCGTCTGCCCTAAGAATTATAGGTAACTACAAGGCAGAACTCATTTTAATAGTTTCCTCTCCTTGTACATCGACTCTCTGGAGGTGGTTTTAGTTTTTTTGCACCTGTGGCACGTGGGTGGGAGAAGAACATCTAAGCGGCTCGCCGTGTATTCTTCAAGAAGTGATGAGATGTAGGGGAGCCTTTAGAGTTGTTCAGACCGTTGAGTCTTGGACCATGAGATAGAGGTTTACAGAATGTGGTGATTCAGGAGGCACATTAGGACCTTTGTAAGCATCAGTGGACGTGAGAGTGTTAAATGGTATAATTTATCAGGGAAAATGGGGACATTGGTTTCTGGCTATCAGTACTGGAGAACTAGCAAAAAAGAAATCAAAACCTTACTAGAGCTGTTTACGAGTAATATAAATCATTTACGACTAACCGCCGTGCAACGTCATAATTACAGTAAAACCCTTGGCTGACACTGGCCCTTCTGTGTGCTTAGCTTCCACTTTTCCCACCATAACAAAACATGGAGGCATTATTGCTTGGAAGCAAGGTTCCATTGGTTATGGGAGGCTGGCAACTAAGTAGTACTCTGCATCTATGGCCATTTTGGTCTTATATTTTCTCTGACTCCCTATGATATAGTGTGCTAAGGTAAGACTTGGGCTTTTTAAATCTTTGAGGTTCATGCACTCCCTTTTGATTTTGAATTTTGAATGGAAAGAGATGTTCCTTTGTTGGTTTTTCCCTTATAGCTTTGTTGCTGGAAACTCAAAAATTAAAAAGAGTAGATAGCTGCACAAGCTTGTAGTGGTTATTTATCCAGTTTTTTGAAACATTAAAGTATTTAAAAGAGTCAAAGACCATTATCATACTTTGATGAAGATATGCATGTATTTAGTCAATTTCTCTTTTTTTCCCTTTTTCTTAGACTGCCAAGGAAATCTGATGTGGAAAGGTGAGTATGAAAAAACCTTAAATCTGTCTCTTTGTTGATATATCTATGATTGTGTGTGTGTGTGTGTGTGGGAATGGGTGGTAGGGCTGTGGATCAGAAACCTAGGCCCAGAGAGCCTAGGGTGGTTTTTCACACCATATGTTTTGGGAGCCCTGGGAAATGTAATTTCCTCCTCCTTGACAATACTTGGTGTGAGACTGACTCTGGACCTTCTGTTCTAGGACTTTATTGAGTCACTGACCAGGTCAAGTCCCTGAGGGGAATAGGAAAATGTAGAAGATACAGTCCCTAATGGAAGAAGCTGAGGAGCAGACTGACTTTAGAAAGTTCGCTGCTAATTTACCATTTGATATCTTTAGAGAATTGATATTTGCTTACTGCTATTGCTGTTTTATAGTTGAGAGAATTTTGATTCAGTTGGAGTTTGGGACTTAAGACATAACTAAATACTAGTGTGTTTGCATAGGCCAAAGGAACAAGATAAATTAAGATTTCAAAGCAATCATGCGATTGGGATTTAAAGTGTGGCTGCAATATAGGCTGCTTGACTATATCTTTGGCACTACTTAGGCTCCTTGGTTGATTTTTTTTTTTAATACCAAGTCACTAGGGAGGATTTTAGCATTTATTAGTGACTATATTCTACCCCCAACTGACCTTTATTATAGAACTTAGACATACATCGAAAAGGTAGAGGTGGAAGAGACAATTGAAGCATACCTGTGTTATGGTTTGGCTGGTCAGTTTTAAAGGAAGGAAATGAAAGTCAGGATTTCTTCTGTCCACTGTGGGGCAGGAAGGCCTTGGAAAACTGACTCACACTGCCTATCACTTGAGACAACACGATGTCAAAAAAAACCATGTTATAATAGTTTACAAAGGGGGACGTCTCCTTTCTGGTAGAGGAGCTCATTTAGGAAACCTAATTAATAATATGCAAATATGTTTGCTCTGGAAGAGAAGCAGAGACCTCACATCCTCTGTAAGCCATTGCTGAGTTAGAGTGACAGTACTGAGGCTCCTAGCCCCAAGGGGGCTGCCAGAGCTTAATGTCCATTTAACATTTCTGCTATGTCCCAGTCTTTCCTGTGGTGCTCTGCTTGTTTTATCTCCTAGGATCCTTCATAGACACTGGCAGAGTCATAAATGTTTCTGTGTCCTTGGTTCTTCTCTTTATACTACCAATAATCATATTGCTGGCTGATCTTTAAGGAATCCTTTCAGGTGGTTTGTGGGCTGCGTATGCTCTCAATAGGAGCTAGACTCTGAGGTCTTCACTCAGGATTATATATCAGCAAAAACTCTTATTTTGGTGTGTTACCTTGTGGTGTTGATATTGGCAAGATGCAAAGATGTGGGTTGGATCTGTAGGTCACTGAACAGCTGTGTTAAGATTAATAGGTCAGAGTCCACTTGGAGGGAGGTTGGAGTCCTGCTGGGTCCTGTCATCAGTTCTAGCCTGTTGGATATTTTTTCAGTGTCTTAAGGTAAACCATGAAAGGTATGATTATCAGTTTTGTGGCTGTGACATGAAGTTGAGAGGTCTAGCTAACACATTGATTGACAGCATAAAGCTTTTAGTAAAGCTTTTAAGGCTTTGTACGGAGATGATAAAAATACTGATGAGTATTGGGAAAAGCAGCATTGTGGTGGGTATGGACAGACCTTCTAGCTTTTATTTTTAGTACCCAACTTTTTAAAATTTGCTTGGATAATTTAATATCTTAAGTTTGTCACTGAAGTAAGTTTGGTTAAGTTATTTACCAAATAAGTTATTTGATTATTCGACTTTTTAAATCATGCTCTTGCAAGATGGAAAATAGGTCCTTGCTTTTGTAGAAAGAGTGCAGTTTCAAGCTTTGGTAAAGATCTGTTTCAGTTCATTTCTCTTACCAAAAAGGTTACTAATTCATAACTCATAATTTCAATTATGAAATTCATAATTCATGACTCCAAATTTGGTCCCCTCTCTGACCCAGTTAACATCTATATAGTAATTTTATATCTGTGAATTTAGTATATTTTAGTAAACAACTTTTATTGCAATATAAAATTAATTTTTAAAATGTGATCTATTGCTAAAACATTCTTTGAATTTATTACTCTGAGGTGACAAATAAAGCATATGCAGGTGGTATACAAAATGTGACAATAATTCACATTTAGATAAATATTTTAGGTGGTTCGTTTCATTGTAATGGTTGTAAACAAAGATTGACTTGTATTTTAGCTGAGATGAAATAAATTGTGAAGTACTCTTTCAAATATGTTGGTTCATTAAGAATTATTTTATTTTATAGGAAAATAGAAATAGTGCAGTTTGCTAGCCGGACACGCCAACTCTTTGTTCGATTATTAGCTTTAGTAAAATGGGCAAATAATGCTGGCAAAGTGGAAAAATGTGCGGTGAGTTAAAGTTTTGATTCTATTTTATATAATTGTTTTGAATGTTAATTTATAATAGACATAGTTTCTAATTTTAGCTTTAACTTATATCTGCTGATTTGTTTTGAGAGACATTACTTATGTGAGTAATCAGATTTCTGTATGATTATGTATAATATATTTCTGTAGAAACTTAGTATTTGTTTATGAATGCTTAATCAGAAAAAGAGTAGACGATGTCTGGAGGTATCATTACTCTAGAAGACATTAAATGACTTGCACTAAAGGAGGAAAACGGTTAGCTTGCATTTGTACGGTTCCTTAGAGTTTGCAAACTACTCCCTTAAGTTTTGCCTATTGATTCTTGATAGCCCTGTGAGAATGGCAGTTGGTATTTTCTTGTTATTTTACAGATGAGGAAATAAGGTTCCTAGAAGTCAAATGACTTCTTCAAGGTCACAGAGCTGATGACAGCATTTATCTGTTCGTTTGTTTGTTTGTCTACTCATTCTCCAAACCTTTATTGAGCATAGTATATAGGGTCTGGTGGATGGAGACTTTAATAAGACACAGTCTCTGCTCTCAAGAAACTCATAGTCTTTTGACTGTTGAATCACTCTTTTGAATTCACAGGAGACATGTAGTAAAGTGTACCAAAGATACTAAAATCTGCCCCCAAAAAGAAAGTTTTAAGCTATGTTCAAGAAGTGTTGAGGGACCACATCAGTAGGGATCCTGTGTTGGCCTATTGCGCTCATAACTTGGGGAGAATGGTGTGGTGTTAACAGATGAGATACACAATTACTCCTTCCTGTTTTACTTCAGTCACTTCTAATGAGGGGAATGGAGTTCATATTGGAAAGGGTAGAGTAATTATCATAAAACGAATAGAATCGCAAAATAATGAGAGTATTTACTCACTTTAATTGAAGTCAGCTCTCCAGGCCCAGCTCTACAAGGCCAAGTAACCTCCTAGCCACTGTCAATTATATTTGGAAAGCGGGGCGAAGTGGGTAGATGCTCTAAGTAAGCTTGACACTGATGCTTAAATTTTCTTTCACTCAATTATGTAATGACACTTAAAAACTTTATCAGGGGGCTGGCCCCGTGGCCGACTGGTTAAGTTTGCGCGCTTCGCTGCAGACAGCCCAGTGTTTCGTTGGTTCGAATCCTGGGTACAGACATGGCACTGCTCATCAAACCACGCTGAGGCAGCGTCCCACATGCCACAACTAGAAGGACCCACAACGAAGAATATTACAACTATGTACTGGGGGGCTTTGGGGAGAAAAAGGAAAAAAATAAAATCTTTAAAAAAACAAAAAAACTGTCACTTTTTATAGATGAAAGCAGGAAAACAACTTTACGTCGGTGAAATTATATTCAAGTCATTTTTAAATTCTCTTAAGTTTGTCAAGCTTCCTGGATAAGTTAAAATTAGCAGCTACCCAGTCAGTATAGAGGTACCATAATAAATTTGTTGTTAGCACCTTGACAAGCTAAGTTGAAAATATTCTTATAGTAATTTTGTATTTGCAAATCTATTGGGGTTTGCCTATTCCATAAAATTTCACTTCAGAAAGAAATCTACAACACAGTTGTGTTTTTCACATGATTTCCTGACACCTTCACCTCAATTTGAGCCCACTGCATTTGCTCTCCTCAGTTTCACGAGGTTATGTGAAAATTGCTCAAGTGAAAGGAAGAAGAAAAAAGAGGTTATGAAGAAGTTGAGAATTTAAAATTCTAAAATATTCTTTTTTTTTAAGTGAAAAATAAAACCTGATTTACATTGAAGTTAACACTCAATTCCAGCTCTGCTAGCTAAGCCAGTGATGAGACTGGAAGAATTCTGTAAGACACATTCTAGCCACATACCTTTTGTCTCTAGGAGGATGCTGATATCATCCTTCTATATAACATTGATCAAAAGTTTATTTAGGGAGAGAATATTTTGTATTATATATTAAGTTTTCCTTATGAGGGAAAAAAGGTCCTTTTATGCATCTGTTGTTTGTAGACATAATGGGGAAATTAAAGTTTGTAGACAAAAAGTCTTTTGTATACTGTAAAGCATCATTCAAAGAATAGTTTTTTTATAAATATTAATAAACAGGCTTATTCCAAGCTTATTTATCAGAAAGTTTACAATTCATTTTGTCATTTTGGAAATTTGGGCACCGAGTCTAATGAATCTATTTGGACTGAAATGAAGAAGCATGGTATATAGTATTTCTGAAAAGCCTAAGGTTTCTTTTCAATAATTAGTTAATTTGGGGTAATCTTTTCTTAAAGATGTTCAGACTTTCCATGGAAAGTTAGGTATTACTGAAGTATATCAAATCTAAGTGTTCAGTTTTTCAGATCTGACATTAAATCTCTAGTTATACTATGAGTGTTTAAATTACCTGTTTGATATTACTGAATTGTGCTCAATAACAATATCAAGCAAAATCCAAAACTCTCGTTTTTGATATGAGACATATTGTATTCATCTTTCGTTAATTCATAGTATAGTATTTTTCTATCGGTTTTTTGAATTGACCATTCCAAGAAGTCACATTCTGAATAAAGTCTCATATTGAACTTATGTAAAGTTTTGATATTTTTGTTTCATGAATGTAGATACAGATGTGTCTCTGTCAGGGATAAAGTCCATCAGCTGAAGAATTAGACGATTATTCATGTTTTGACACTTCTCTTCTCAGCCTAATGATTATTTAACTGGTCTCATTAGAGGTTCTTAATAGATAATGATCTTTAGCTATGCCAGACATATTATGTGTGTAGCTGAGTGTATAAATACACAGTTTATAGAACTCTGACTAATGGTAAAACAGTCTGGATAATGTTTTATCTAAGAAAAAGAGAAAATATCTCTCTCATTCTCCTAGAGCTTTTTTAAAAACAGCTTTATTGAGATATAATTCACATACCATACAATCCACCCATTTAAAGGGTACAATTCAGTGGTTTTTAGTATATTCACAGATGTGTGCAACCATCACCACAGTCAATTTTAAAGCATTTTATCATCTCAAAAAGAAAACCTGTACTCTTTAGCTGTCACCCCCAAATCTTACCCCCAGCCCTAAGCAACCACTAATTTACTGTCTCTGTGGATTTGCATATCCTGAACATTTCATATAAATGGAATCATAATATGTAGTGTTTTGTGACTGGCTTCTTTCACTTAGCATAACATTTTCAAGGTTCATCCATGTTGTCGCATGTATCGGTACTTTGTTCATTTTTATAGCCGAATTGTGTGGATCTTCTACATTTTGTTTATCCAGTCATCAGTTAATGGACATTTGGGTTGTTTCCAGTTTTTGACTATTATGAATAATATTGCTATCAACATTCGAATACAAGTTTCTGTGTGGACATATGTCTTCGTTTCTCTTGGGTATATACCTAGGAGTGGAATGGCTGGGTCTTAGTGTAACTTATGTTTAATCTTTTGAAGAACTGCCAGGCTGTTTTCCAAAATGGCCGTATCATTTTAAATTCCCACCGGCAATGTATGAGGGTTCCACTTTCTCCATTCCAACCCATGTTATTGTTTGACATGTTGTTTCTAAGCCATCCTAAGTAGGTGTGAAGTGGCGCCTCGTTGTGGTTTTTATTTGCATTTCTCTGATGACTAGTGATATTGAACATCTTTTCATGTGCTTTTGGCCATTTGTATATTTTCCTTAGAGAAATGTCTATTTGGTGCTCAGTTAAATTTTAAAGGAGATTATTAACAATATTAACAGCTGGTATGTGAGTACCTTAAAAACCAAAAAAACAAAGAACGTGGTGATCATTAGGGACCTACATGGATTCACTAATAAGTTACTCAGAACTAAAGTTTTATCTTTATTAATTTGGTTTCTAAGTCAAAGGAATATAGCTGAAGCTAGTGTATTTTGAGTTGAGCAAGGTAGTTTAGAGTGTTTCACTAATTACGCATGTTTAAGGTGGAGCGATGTGGGCTGGGTAAACTGTGGCACCCCACTAGGATTGATACATGTCTTTCTGGAGGGGGTCTTTAGTATTATTTGGCTTTGGCTTTGGTCTGATAAGCATTTTTAGTGTCCTGAGTGAAGGGAGACTTGGAATGACCTAAATCTAAGTAAAAACCAGTTGAGAGACGTAGGACTCAAAATGGTTTTAAGTATGTTAAAATCAGACAGATTACAGTCTTGCTTTAGGTTCAGGATGGGAAAGGAGACCTTGCTTGATAGAGATCATGTACAAAAGATCAAGACCTTTGAGTTGACTCCAAGCTTCCTATGTATTAACAGTATCATGGCTGCTAATAAGAAGTTAGTGTTGGTGGCATTGATAGAAATCCATTTTACTAGTCAGAGAAGGTAGCACTTCTACTGGGCTGTGCTAGTCTAAGAGTTGGAAGAAACATTTTTTGGTTCCAGCTTCTCTGATTATTGACTGTCCTTTTTTGGACAAGTGTCTCAACCTAAGTCTCAATTTTCTCATCTCTGAGGTGATAGTAATTATCTGTTTTTATCTCTTTACTAGAGTTGTGAAAATCAGATAAAATGAGTGTGGAAATACTGAGAAAATGTAGGGCATGGTGTGTGCATGATGTACTAATTCTGGACACCATATTTTAAGTTGGCCGCTGATAAACTGGAGCATTTCCAGGCAGTGGAACAAGGATGGTGAATCAGGAATTTGGAGATGTGAGGACTAGTTGAAGTGACTTGTAATGTTTAGCTTGAAGATAGGGTGGGCTTCTGCTGTTGTAAGGATAGGAGAGACTTTGAGTATTGTTCCAGAATAGAGCTAGAAGATAAAAAGTTTCAAGGAAGTAGTTTTCAGCTCTGTGATGAGCTCTACTAGTTTAGGTGCCCTTATGACATGCATTGAGTAGAGAACTGATGGAAAGGATTTCTGTATTGGGCATGAAGTTGGCTTAGATCTCATAACGGGCAGTGTTTATTGAGTGTTTTCTGTGTTCTAGGTACTGTTCCGAAGGTTTCATTTGCATTAACTCTTAATCCTCAGAACAACCGTATAAGGTTAGAAATCATCTCCATTTTACAGTTGAAAAAAAATGAGGCACAGAGGGATTAAGTAACTTGCCCAAGATTATAGGGCTAGTAAATTGTGGAATTAAAATTGAGGCTAAGACAGTCTGGGTCCGGGAGGTCTTTGATTTTGACTACTTTGTTACCAACCAACTCTAAAAGTCTGTAAGAGTAAAGAGGATTTTATTCTATTTGTTTTTCCTAACTTGTGATATTATGTATGTGAAATGTTAAGAATGGAGAAATGAATTAGAAATCCAATTGATAGAAAATTATTGGTTTCTAAAATATTTCTTCTTTGAATTACTGGTAAAATTTTTGAAGAAATATTTTGAAATATGGAAAACCTGTATTAATTCCCTTCAAAGTTTACTTTTGAATGAATAAATATTTGAAGTGAAAAGCGGCCGGTTTTCAAGGAAGCTTAATACATTTACCCTTTGCTTTAAAGATGATCTCGAGCTTTTTAGATCAGCAAGCCATCCTGTTTGTGGACACTGCTGATCGCCTGGCCTCGTTGGCTAGAGATGCTCTGGTCCATGCACGCCTGCCTAGTTTTGCCATCCCATATGCCATTGATGTACTGACTACTGGGTCTTACCCACGGCTGCCAACCTGCATTAGGGTAAGCGCATTCCTTCCTCTCCCTCACTCCCACCCCATTCTTAAAAGTTGAAGGCTTTGGCGTTGGATTCTGCTATATTATTAAGCAGCCCAGCAAAAAAGTGTTTTATATTTTTAACACAGATATTTCATATTGTTTGCTTTTTTCCTTTTATAACTAAAATTGTGGGTTTTAAAAAAAATAAATTGGGGCCAAAATGTGAATAGCTGTCAAAATGGGTGAATCTTTCTGTGTGTGAGGGTGAACAGATATGCAAATATAACTTGCATCTATTTCATATGTGAAAATACTGCATGCTAGTTGCTTTTTGAAGTGTGTTTTAAAATTTATTGTTGTGGTAGTTGTTTCCTTATGGTGCTATTGTAGTTTATACTTTTAAGAAGTGGTGGAAGTTACCTAGTGACATTAAGTTGGTTTCATAAATGGAGCATGAAGAAGTTCATGTTGGATTACCATCTTAGCCGGATGACTGGTAGAATCATTGGCACTCTAATGCATGATAGTAATGGTCACTATTATTGGATATAGACTGCAGAAATGAGTTTTCTCCAGCCGGTGGTGCAGTGGTTAAGTTTGCACATTCCACTTCAGCGGCCTGGGGTCTGCTGGTTCGGATCCCGGGTGCGGACATGGCACCGCTTGGCAAGTCATGCTGTGGCAGGCGTCCCACATATAAAATAGAGGAAGATGGGTACAGATGTTAGCTCAGGGCCAATCTTCCTCAGCAAAAAGAGGAGGGTTGGCAGCAGATGTTAGCTCGGGGCTAATCTTCCTCAAAAAAAAAAAAAGAAAAAGAAATGAGTTTTGAGATTCTCTTGGGTAAAGTAAGAAAATACTGTGTTAAGGCAGGCGCGGGTAAAAATTATGTCTTTTCATACATTATTTAAAAATTACTTAAATTTTTTGTAGGATAAAATTATCCCGCCAGACCCAATTACCAAAATTGAGAAACAAGCCACACTTCACCAGCTGAACCAGATTCTTAGACATCGGCTTGTAACCACAGATCTTCCTCCTCAGTTAGCAAATCTTACAGTTGGTATGTATCTGAAGTTTATTTTTTAAGAATTGACTTGTTAGAATATTTTTAAACAGCTTTTGGGATTTTATTCAAAGAAATATCATTGTGAAGTATTGACCTACAGTTTTGGTAGTGTTGGAATCTGTGACTTGTCAGCCATATCATTTCTCTTTAGTACCTGGAAATACAGTGCTGGTATTTGAAGCTGGGAAGTGGGTAAGATCTCATGGGGCTGGTGGAGAGACTTGGTCCCAGAGTTGAACCTCAAGAAAATAGTGTTGATGTTAGAAGAGTTGCCTTTGGTTTCTTGATGACTTGGAAGCTGGCTACTGTTTATGCAGAAACCACTGAATTATTTGAACACTTAGGAAGAATCATTCAGTCTTTTTAAAATCTCTTATAAGCAAGACTGAAAGTTCTAGGTTAGCAGGAGGCTGCTCATTTTCTAGCAAAGTAGACTTCTTCTTCTTCTTCTAAAAGCAAATGGCCGAGTGAAGTTTCGAGTTGAAGGAGAATTTGAAGCCACTTTAACCGTGATGGGAGATGACCCGGATGTTCCATGGCGTCTTCTCAAGCTAGAAATTCTAGTTGAGGATAAGGAAACCGGAGGTAAATCATAAATACTGATTTAAATCGTAAGTATTGATTTAAATCTTTGGTGTTTTTATATTATTGAAACATTCTTACATAATACTAAGTGTGTTTACCAATTTATCCTGTAATTTGAAGCAGATTTTATGATAATCATAACTACCTACTAACTATAGAGGTTTCAGTGTTTCTCAAGAATAATGTTTTCTGGTTTCCATAGATAATTTCAGTTTTTTCTTAACTCATTTCTAATTAGTATACTCTTCCTTAGTTGGTACTGTGACACGATCTGTACGCTTTTCTGATTAACCACCTTCTTTTCTCCTACCAATGGAAGATGGGCGAGCCTTGGTTCATAGTATGCAAATCAACTTTATCCATCAGCTGGTACAGTCTAGGCTCTTTGCTGATGAGAAACCTCTTCAGGACATGTACAACTGCCTACGTATCCTTCTGGAATTTGAGACATGTATTTGTAAGGATTTTGTGTCTCCCTCTTCCCCCACAATTCCATTTGCCCCTAGTCCTCAACTGCAGCAGCCAAAACTCTCCCTCGCCCCTTTTTGAGTAGAAATGGGACTGGGGAACTGGCCAGTGTGAAGAATAGTGATATGTCTATAATAAATCGAGTTTTAAATTTTACTGTTGACTTTGCAGGTAAAAGTGAAAAATGATGAGTTAGAAATAGTACTATTTGGAGGAAAAAAATAGCACTATTTGGTCTATCTATATTCTCTAAACTATGATGAATTAAGGGGCAAACTGGACCTTATAATTTGTTTATATTGGTTCAAAATTAAATTGGTTTTCTAAAATTATGCCACAAATTATAACACTTTTTAGGGTGAGTCATTGGAGGTATATAATTCCAGAAATTTCCTTCATAGTCAACTTCTTGGGAATAGAGCTTTTGTTAAATGAAGTTTGCTTGTACTTCATTACTGTTGTAGTGATATGTTATATTAGATTTGCTTAACGAGATCCATCAGATTCTTTCTGCTTATCACTTCAGTTAGAAGTGCTACATTCCCAAACTCTAATGTTAATCCGAGAGCGGTGGGGAGACCTTGTGCAGGTGGAAAGGTATCATGCTGGAAAGTGTCTCTCCCTCTCAGTTTGGAAGTAAGTAAAGTTGATTCTGGTGGGTTCATGCTATGACTGTAAATACTCTGTCTTTTTCTCTCATTTGTCTGATTTACTTTATATCAATAGCTGTGTGCCTCTGGCAACATGATTTTGTATAGTAAGGTCCCATGGTATTATATAGACCAGATAGGACATCCATAATTGATACCTTTCTTAGAACATGGCATGTTTTAAATACTTAGACATTATCTATTTGTACTAAGACTGACTATTCTTAAAAAGTTTACTCTGGGCTCATACCAGGCTGCTAAAAGACCATTTTAGTTTAGATTATTGGGTATCATTTTTAAAAACATGCTTGCTTATCACCGTTTTACATTTTGAAGTGCACCTTTTAAAAACTTTCTTGGGAGAGTTTTAGGGAAAATCAGTATCAGGCTATTTATAGTCTTTGATTCCCTGTTTGAACTTTGCTTATTTCTCATTTTCTGTAAAGAAATCAGAGGTGAACAGATACCACTTAGAAGACAGGTTATTTTGCTTGGGGATTTTTTGGTATGTGTGCATGTGTTTTATTTTTAAATTCTGTGTCTATATTTTTAAAATGCAGTAAATCAAATATTGTGTTGGATTACAGAATAGCTGTCTTCCCAGTATTAATTTATTTCCTCCACAAACAATGAAGGCCTGCTGTGTTCCAGGCTCTGGCTAAGGTGCACAATAGATTGTGTCTATTTTATTCCAAGAGTTAATGGGCTGTGTTGAAAAAAATTTAATATTTCTTTTTTCTCGTTAGTCAACAGGTTCTAGGGAGGAAAACGGGGACGGCATCTGTTCACAAAGTTACAATTAAAATTGATGAGAATGATGTCTCCAAGCCTTTACAGATTTTTCATGATCCTCCTTTGCCAGCTTCTGATTCCAAATTAGTAGAAAGAGCCATGAAGGTAAAAGAGCTCAATATGTTTCAATATTGGTTTGATTAAATGTACATAACTTACCATTTATACTAAAAGTTTTAGCACAAATTCTTTAAAGTACTAATTGTTCCTAAAACCCTTTTTAAAACTTGTTTTAAATGAATGTTGTGCTTCTACATTTGTTGTTTTTTTTAACATCTAATATTATGATGTATAATTTTTAAGATGTTCTTTCAAATTTTGTAATTTAGATCAAATCGCCATTTTATTTTTAAAGTCTGGCACTTGATCACTATGATAACTTCTTCGTATAGTATCTTGATCTGTACTCACCAAAGTGTTAAGCTACTAATACCATGTAAGTTTATTTTAACTTTGTTTACTTTCTTTTACTGATTAACACTTAATCAGTGTGATTCTAAAAGGAAATATCTTGAATCACAGTAATCTCTCAGGCTTTTAGAGTAAAAATGTTTAAGTTGCACATATAATTCTATTGTTCCTGTTTATGCAGATTGATCACTTATCAATAGAAAAACTCCTGATTGACAGCGTCCATGCACGAGCTCATCAGAAGCTCCAGGAACTGAAGGCCATTCTTAGAGGCTTCAATGCCAACGAAAACTGTAGGTTCTTTTAACTTGGCATTTCTGTCTTTTATTTTGTTTCAGTTAGTATCCACTTTTACGAAGGGTCTCTCTCAATATAACTTTTTTTCCTGATATACTAGTTTTGTTGCGAAGCCTGGGCATTTCTGCATTTTAACTTGTGATCTGCCAAGTTTGTCCTAATTTTTCCCGTTATTTTCTTCTTATTTAGCTCGGCCTTATTTTTGAAATGTTTGCATATTGTCTTCCCATTAAAATTTTTTTCTATTGAAATGGAAGATATTTTAACATTTTAATATGAATCTTATTTTTAAAGTTTCTTCTAAGGATAAGGCAGCTTTGCAAATATTTGTAATGTATTTATAAAATGTGCCTCTTTGAAGCAGAATTTGTCTTTTTAAAAAATTTTTTGAGTTAATGCATTAACAGGGTTCAAAATAAGAAATACAAATAGACACACACAGTGAAAAATCTTCTAAGTTTAATTACCTAGTAAGTATATTTCAGTATATATTTTGGGGACAGTCAATCATCCAGAAAGTAAGTGCTTTTGTTCTAGGAATATAGTTTCACACTATCATAATGAGCATATTTACTATCCCTACCCGAGTTGTTTTTGACCATGATTACCTTTTGCCCACAGTGAACAGCCTTTAATTAAGTGAGATGATGTAGGTGAAGTGCCATGTAAGTATGAAGTCTTAATAGCACTAGGAGCAGAGCTACTGCCTTTCATCATCACAGAGCCCAGCTCAGTCCATTGTACTTAAAAGGTAGCTTCTTCGGCACAGACTAGTAACACCGAATTAAAACCACTTTGATGGAGTAGATGAAAACGCTGCCTGAAGAAAAGACAGAGTCAGGGAAGTAAATTTATATTTAGAATACAATATTCATTCAAGGAAAGTGAAAGAATAGAAGTGAAAAAGAGCCTAAGACCAGCCAAAGACTAGAGGGAGGGGCAACTTAACTTAATAAAAATGCAAACGCCGGCCTTAAAGAAAGGGTATGACAGACATCTGTGTTCTCTGTATTCTTCTCTGATGCCCTATCTTTTCAAGAATACTCAATTTTTATAATTAGATTGAAATTATAATTATTTCAATTCTCAGAAGTAGTTTTACTCCTTTGCTACACTTGGAAGGTTTACCTTTAAAGAATACATTCCTACCCCTTTAGGAATGATAACAGTACAGATATGTTTTAAAAATCAGCAACCTTGCTTCAATTCTGTAAGCACTTATTATATATATATATTTTTGAATCTGTGAGGAAGATTAGCCATGAGCTAGCTACTGCCAATCCTCCTCTTTTTGCTGAGGAAGGCTGGCCCTGAGCTAACATCTGTGCCCATCTTCCTCTACTTTATATGTGGGATGCCTACCACAGCATGGCTTTTGCCAAGCGGTGCCATGTCCACACCCAGGATCCAAACTGGCGAACCCCGGGCCGCCAAGAAGCAGAACATTTGAACTTAACCACTGCGCCACCAGGCCGGCCCAGCACTTATTATATTAATGTAGTAACTTCAGCAAAACATGATTTGAACTAATTTGTCACACTGGTTTGAATTATAAGATATTGTATAAGAAATTTCTCTTTGTGCCTTTCTGTTTTTTTTTTTTAGGTGAGAGTTCTGCTGGATCTGCAGGTTAAACATTTGTATACAAATGTCTATTAGATATACTTGAAAGAAATTTGCTTTTGTCTGATTAAACATATCTCCTGCAGTCTTTTTGCTTTATTAATTTGTTTGATAGTTTGTATGGACAGTACCAATGGTAATTTCACCCATTTTAATTATTGCAAATTCACAGTAAGAGGTTTCAGTTTGTTTCTTTGGCTCATATAAAGGAGTACAGATAATGTACATTGTTGAGCACTTGCTTTTTAAAGCACCTTTACAAATTTGTCATTTCTTCCTCCTAAGGACCCATGGCATAGACAGGAAGATGTTATTGTCCTTGTTTAACAAAGTAGCACAGAGAAGTCACAGCTGGTGAAAGCCTGGGCCTATATTACCACTCTCCTCACTGCAGGCCTTTCTTTGTTGTGGCTTTAGAGTGCTATGATGACCAGAAGAGCATATTCATTTTATGACTCCTCAGTCCGATCAGCACATGGTGTGCTTTCAGTGCTTTGCTCCTTTCCTGGATTTTGTTATGCCAATTTGTGGGATTCGGGGAAAAGTTAATTGGATCTGGTGGAAATACTATGAAACTCTAGAACAAGTGTATTGGCAGCTTTGGGAATTTGTTTAGCAATTGCCTATGTTCTTATTTCATCTGTGACTTGAAAATGAGGTACATAAATAACTTGAAATTTTTTTTTACTACGTAATCAATAATGTTTACTAGTTTTCAAGTGTTTTTATAAACACATGGGCCCTAATCGCCAGAAAACCTCTGTTTATGAAGAATGGCATTGGAAATATTTAGGTCATAGATGAAATTTACCAAACAACTAATTTTCTTCCCACTACATCAAAAATTAACTTATTAGAAATTACTGAGTGAAAGTAAAACTAGAACTCAGGTCACTGATGAGGTTAACTTTTCACTAGTTATTTTAACCTTCTTTAAGGAATCTTGGAATTTTTTTTGCTGTAGTATTTAAGATAAGTATGTTTATTTCAAGTAACCTAAAGATTACATTCTTCCTTTTGAGCTGCTAATTGACATAATAGTACTATTCCAATTTTCAGAATCATGTTTTTCCTCTAACATTCAGGATTGTTCAATAGTTGGTTCATTTCTACTCACTGAGAAATATTCTTTAAAAAAATATTGATATCAATATAATTTTTAATTCTTAACTGTTCAGCTTCCATAGAGACTGCACTTCCAGCTCTCGTTGTTCCCATCTTGGAGCCTTGTGGTAATTCCGAGTGTCTACACATTTTTGTAGATTTGCATTCTGGAATGTTCCAATTGATGCTTTATGGACTTGGTAAGTTACTAAATGGTGTAGTCACTCAGTCTAAGGAAAAATATTTTTATCAAAAGCAGAATAAAAATTTTCTGCAATTACATATTGGGAGGGGTGGTATAAGCAGTGGGGAAAGTAGATATGGAAGGAAAAACTCTGGCTGATGTCTCTTCCTTGGCACCCACTTTAACTCTGCATTTTCTTGTACCTGAAGTTAACCTTCCCATTATGAAGTACATTCATGTTGTTTCTCTTATGTAAAAGCAATAATGCTGATGGCTGATGTTTTTTAGATTAACTATTTTACCAGCAATAGTTGGTTGACATGGAAATGACTACAAGGATTCTAATGTCATTTATGGCTGAAGAACTTATTTATGACAGTATAAACATCTAAGATGACTTAGGGTACAGAATCCTGGAGGAAAGGATTTTTTTCTGGCTTAAACACAGTAGAAATTAAAGTTTGCTTTCTAACATGTTCTGTTACTGAATTGTTACCAGGAACTTAGTGTTTTTTGTTGTTAATTGAACAGTGCCCTTGAATATATTAGCATGTTGCCATTAAAATTAATATTAAGCAAGGTAGATTGATGAAAGTAAAAGGTTTTCTGGTTATATTGTATGGCTCTAAAGATAGATGTTCCTGTGAACTGCTGATGGAAACTGTCCTGATTACTTTGAATCACATCACATTTATGAATGACCTTTTAACTATGATTCCAAACCAATAAGGCAGTTGTTTGTTCTTCAAAACTTTTTATTTAACTCTTTTCTTGATTATTAACACAGTAGATACTCATAAATAAAAAACCTAAACGTGTAAAAATGAGAGAAGAAGCAAAAAATAGTTACCTGTCAGCAGTCATTGCTATTTTAGGGGATGTATGCTTCTCTTAGCTCAGGGTGCCGTAACAAAGAACGACAGTGTGTGTGGCTTAAGCAACAGAAATTTGTTTTCTCCTAGTTCTGGAGATTGAAGTCTGAGATCAGGTTGCCAGCATGATCATGTTATGGTGCGGGCTCTCTTCCTGGCTTGTAGATGTTGGCTTCTTGCTGTATCCTCACATGGCAGGAAGAGAGAGAGCAAACTGGTGTGTCTTACTGTAAGGGCACTAATCCCATCATGAGGGCCTCACCTTTTTGGCTTCATCTAAACCTAATTACCTCCCAAAGACCCCACCTCTAAATACCATCACATTAGGAGTTAGGGCTTCAACATATGAATTTGGGGGGACACAATTCAGTCCATAGCAATGCTCTTCTAATTTTTATATACTTTTGTCTTACTTGAAATCATTTTATATTTTGCTTTTTGCTCAGCATTCTATTTTTATCATTTTCTAGTATCATTAAAAATTCTAAGTAACATTTAGCAAGCTAATCTTCAGCCAACAGCCCTTCTGCCAGAGACCATTTGTGTTTAATACACATATTAATGAAGTTTTATAGTTTTTATAATTTTCAAGATTCTAAGTCTGGTAATACTATGAGTTTTAAATACATATAACTTTAAAATGTTAATTAACTAGACTAAGAGTTTTGGGAATTAAAATATAGGCAAGGAATTCATGTATTTGTTACTTGTTCTTCCTGCCAGTGTACATTTGCTATTAATTAGTTGTCTTAACTATAGCTCTCCCTGAATGTTAAATAGGGAAAACAAATTAGATTAATTTATGCTAATGATGCATTTAGTTTAGTTTTTCTCTGACTCAAAAATAACACTACTTTCTGCCTAAAATACTAATTTTCGTTTAAGTCTTGGGCTACCTAGATATTTTGTCTTGTGCAAGTGATTAATTAATGAAGTGCTTTGTTCTATAGACCAGACCACACTGGATGACATGGAGAAGTCTATAAATGATGATATGAAACGGATCATTCCTTGGATTCAACAACTTAAGTAAGCTTATTTATTTAGCTCAAGACTAAAAATGGAAACTTATTTTGACAAGATATATTTTCTTCTCCGTCATTACTCTTGATAGTCACTGTCCTTAATGTTTATGACATGAAACTTGAGCAACTTTTGTTACTTAGAATCTAAATTCTCTTGGAATAGGTCCAAGATGGCAGTGCTTGGTATTAAATTCCCGTCTAGAGCAAATATAGGTGTGAGGGGCATGACATTCAACTTTGATTCCTTGCCACGTTTTCTCCTGTAACAGTACTCTACAAGTCACTTACACAATGAATTTTATTGTATCTAGTCTTCTCTGCAATAGAGTCTTATTTGTTCTTATCCAAGATAATCTTCACGGTATGAATCTGCCAGCTGGTACTTTCAGAATAGTTGTTTCTACTGCTTTAATACTGTCATTCAGTTTGTCTCAAAATCCTTTGAATGCTTCATACTGTTAAACTAAATAAGATTGAAAATGGAGCTCGTGCTAATTCTGTGAGGCTTCATTACCACCCTGGCACACAAGGGTGCCTTTATTACAACTCTAACAAACTCTCTCTTAAAGTTAATAAAACAAAATCCCAGGGGATAAAAATAAATTTCAGACATCAAAACCCAAACTGGCAAATGGGGGTGGGGGGAGCGGCTAGACTCTTGAGTGGGATCTACTGATTTTGTGATCTTCTGGCCTACCCCTTCTCTTTGTGCCAGTTTTGATTTTGTAAATATTTGAAGAATTTGATATAATCAAGTAATTTTTCATTAAGAAGACATGGTTTTTAATGCCAATAGATACATAATATATGAGCTTTCTTTTGAATAGGTGTTTAGTTTATCTGTATATGAAAAATGATAGTACTCTGGGTAACAATTCCAAAAATTTTTAGTAGTTCAGCATCATTTTTTGTGCATTTTGGCCAAACAAAGTTTAAGTACGTAAATGTGTAGTAATTCACATCTTGCATAACTTGAGGTTGTGTATCTGGCAGTTCAGCAAGCAGAAGTAAACTAAAACCAGAAAGCTTAGTCCCAAAAGCCTTAAACTTATCAAATGTGTGTCTATACTTAAACTCGTATAATTTATCCATAAGAAGGGTCCCCTGGTTGTCACTCATAATAGTGCTTCTCATTTAAATGATCTTTGGTGAATGATCAGTTTATCACTAATCTATCATGGGACATGAATTTTTTTTGAAATAACTTTATCGAAGTATAATTTGCATACCATAAAATTCACTCATTTTAAGTGTACAACACAATGACTCAGTAAATTTACTGAGTTTTGCAACCATAAGTACAATCCACTTTTAGAACATTTAGAACATTTCCATCACCTCAGAAAGGTGCTCGTTTAGTTAATCCCCATTCCCAGCCTCAGCCCTAGGCACCTATGAAGCTACTTTCTGTTCCTGTAGATTTTCCTTTTCTGGACATTTCATGTAAATGGAATCATAAAGTATATGGTCTTTTGTGACTGGCTTCTTTCACTTAGCATAGTGTTTCTAGGTTCATCCATGTTGTAGAGTGTTTCAGTACTTCTTTCCTTTTTATGGCTGAATAATATTCCCTTGTATGGATATACCACATTTTGTTTATCCATTCATTGATTGATGGACATTTGGGTTGTTTCCACTTTTGGGCTATTGTGAATAATACTGCTATGAATATTCATGTGCAAGTCTATGTGTGAACTTATGTTTTTGTTCCACTAAGAGTGGAATTGCTGGGTCATACCATAAATTCGTTTAACTTTTTAAAGAAACTGCCAAACTAGTTTCCAAAGTAGCTGTGCCATCTTACAATCCATCAGCAATGTATGAGGGTTTCCATTTCTCTACATCCTTGCCAACACTTGTTACTATCTTTGACTATAGCCATCCTAGTGAGTGTGATGACATATCTCATTTTTGTTTTAATTTACATTTCCCTATTGATTAATGATGTTGAGCATTTGTTCATGTGATTACTTTTTTTATAATATGCAATGAAAACAAATTCTGGAAAAAGAAATGAAAGAACATGTACAAAATATAAGCCTTAATTATTATTATTTTTTTAAGATTGGCACCTGAGTTAACATCTGTTGCCAGTCTTCTTTTCTTTTTTTGTTTTCTTCTCCTCAAAGCCCCCCAGTACATAGTTGTATATTCTAGTTGCAGGTCCTTCTGGTTGTGCTATGTGGGACACCACCTCAGCACGGCTTGATGAGCAGTGCCGTGTCCACAACAAGGATCTGAACCAGTGAAACCCTGGACTGCTGAAGCGGAGTGCGTGCACTTAACCACTCGGCCACAGGGGCAGCCCCTAAGCCTTAATTTTTGAAATTACATTTCAATAAATATAATCAGAACAAATAATATAAGAAAAAAATTAAAAATCTATACACAGTTTTCATTGAGAATATATATATAGGCGATTAATATAGAAAATTCACTCTTATGCTCAAATGTTTTGATCCACAAAGTCATAACCAAACAAAAAGTCAAGAGTAAAATAGCAATTCCATGTACGCTTTGAAAAGAATATCTTGTGTTTAGAATATCTTGTATTTAGAATGTTTAACAAGTGAGCTTGTTTCTTGCTTGTTGTAACTCATGTAGATTCTTTTCATGATGATGCTACTCACAGGAGATAATCTGTGTCTTAACTGTTTCTATGTTTTTCTTTTAAGAACATAGTAGAGATAACAGTCTCGCAAAGATATGTTTATGGGACTAGAAATAAAGATTTGAAAGTAATTTTAGCAAGTTCAGGATATTCATTTTTAACTTTTATCCAAAATGAATGAAGTATTGGTGTATTTTCAAAAGTTATCTTCATTCCTTCATTAGTAGCCAGTTCTAGCAATTGATTCTGTGAAGTTGCAGTTAAATTCAGCTTGTTTCTAAATGGTTTCCAGATTTTATACATTTTTGGGTAATAGTTGGCAGACTACCCTTAAAATGTTATATATTATAACATGGTTTTACTGCACCTGACTAGTACACAGTTTGTACCATAAGCAGCTCACCACCCAAATGCAACTGATCTTGAACTGGTCTATACCCTGTTCAGCAAGGTGAGCTTACTGATCATGAGCTTGGATATTGTGGCATTGTTGTGTTGGTGTGGAAGTTTCTGAATTCGTATTCTTATTTTCTGTAGTCATCTCATTATGGGTCAGTGAGAGTTTGTGAACCAATCCTTTTATCCCTTATTCACATATTATATGGTGTTCTAGCCTCAGGGATAGATAATCACATAGAAGGAATGAGAAGAGTACTATGAAAAGCATCAGAGTGAAATTTGGTGGCTTCACTGAGAGAGAAGAGGGAAAGAAGGAAATGAATACTTACTGGCACCTGCTAGGTATACTTGTTACTTTACACACAGTTTAAGAACTGGAACTGTATATCTCCAGAGATAGAAAAATGAAGTACTTTTATACTTATTTACTGTTTCTTGTTCTATTTTGTTTTATAAACACTTCAGGCATTTTATAAAGGATGTTCAGATTAGTTTGTGCTATCATAAACCGTAGGAAATCTGTCATCCCCTATAATAAACTGATAGTGTCTCTGCCTTGGAACTAGTTAATTCTACCTTATAACTGATGAAAATCATTCACACTGCAGTTTAAACTCCTTAAACTAGAACTAGAACTAACAGTCCATTACAAAACTGGAGAAAGGATTCATCACCACGATCATGTGTCCTTTTACCAGGTCAATTAGGTTTTAAATTAATTGGTTTTTTTAGTGGTCTTCAATAATCTTTATAAATCAATAGCACACAGTTAATCAGAAAAGTCTACGATTTTGTGATGTGGATTCTCTCTTTTAAATTAAGGTTTTGGCTTGGACAACAGCGTTGCAAACAATCTATAAAACATCTGCCTACAATAAGTAGTGAAACATTGCAGCTGTCCAATTACTCAACCCATCCTATTGGAAGCCTTTCTAAGAATAAGCTTTTCATTAAACTTACCCGTCTTCCACAATACTACATTGTAAGTATGCAAAGGGGTGATTTGGGTGATTGAGTTGAGTAATTCTGTTAGTATCTTGAAAGATTTATTGTTTGATTTTATTGCATATTTGACTTTTGTATAGTGATTCTCAACCCAGGAGAGCAAGGAGAGAGGACAGTCATGTCTCTAAGAAATTATATAATGGTCAATCAGAGTTGGGGAATATAAGGTTATGCCCCCATCCCTCACCCTAGGACTCTCCTATAGAAAGGTCTAGTTTCTGCCTGGAATGAGGCATCTCCTCTGTATAGAAGAAAAAATTTGAAAGCACCTACTCTGAAGCTCTGGAGATGTTTTGGTGTCAGATCAACTTGTTTGGTTTTACTGGAATGTTAACCTGCATAATGCAGGCTTTTAAATATGGGCTGCCTTAAGTAGCTTTATTTTCTCATCCTTAATTGATTGAAGGCAGATACATATCCATTTTATTGACTGCCTATACCTTTCAGGGCACGGTAAGATGTTTTCTTATTTTTTTTTCGCTCTTTCTAGGTGCTTTCCAGTTAGTTTCTTTGAGATCTTTGAATTGGTTAAAATTTCCAAAAACTTGAAATATGGACTCGCCCTAAGTGTATTTCCCTACTTGTAGAAAGTTCTGTGTACACCAAGTAGATACTTTTGGCTAAGAATCTAAGATGTTTGAAAAACGTAATTCAGGATTGTTGGTTGAAGGTGATGGGAGTAAACTTTTTTAAGGTTTTGAGTTGTACTTTTTAAAGATATTATCTTTAAGAGTTATCCTGTGTAGCTTGACGTACTTTAAGTGGGGGTTACTTATGTAGTCTAGTAAGTCTATCGTTGATGTGAATTTCACTTTTTTCTGAATTTTAAAACACCAGCTATGGACCTAGATTTGACACGTGACAAAGGATTGTTGTTTCAGTTCTCAGCTGCCTGGTTTACATGTGAAATGATGTGCAGAATACTCACATAATAATCAAACCTGTGAGCACACAAAGATCTCTTATACTCAGCCACATACAAAATAAAATGGTGATAATTTATTGTTTTCTGACCTTATTTTGTATCAACAAAAAGCCAGGCTTTGGTTTCAATGATTAGTGATTTATTATATAACAATAATTTGTTTCACGTGACCTAGACGCAAAACTGAATGTATGTTACTCTTCATCCTCACTTAGGGATGACACATTCATATAAGTGGAAAAAACTGCTACCATGAACATTAAGAACAACTGCAGAAAGGCTTGCTGCCTTTGAATGTCATTTAGCCATTCTACTTTTGTCAGCTTTGTTAAGATACAATTTACCTACAGTAAAAATTCAGACGTTTTAGCGTCTGAGTTTTAATAAATGCATACAGTTTTGTAACCTGCATCTCAACAGAACAGATCCATCACCCCCCAAAATTTCCTCATGCTGCCCCTCTATAATCACACCCTCCCCTCAGTCTCAACTAGTGACCGCTGACTTGTTTTCTCTCTCTAGTTTTTGCCTTTCAGTCTAATTTCTTTCACTCAGCATAATGCCTTTGACTTTCATTGATATTGTTGTATATATAATGGTTCATTCCTTTTACTGAGTAAAAGGACCACTGAGTAGTGGTCCATGGTATGGATGTAGCACAGTTCGTTTAACCGGTCTCCTGTTGTAGGACATCTGGGTTGTTTTCAGTTTGGGGCAATTATGAATAAAGCTTCTATAAGCATTTGCATATAGGTGTTTTTGTGAACTTAAATTTTCATTTCTTTTGGATAAGTAATTATGAGTGGGATTGTTGAGTCATATGGTTAAGTGTATGTTTAACTTTAAATAAGAAACCGCCAAATTGTTTTCTAAAGTAGCCAGACCATTTTGCGTTCCTTCCAGTAATACATGAGAGTTCTAGCTGCTCCGCATTCTTGCCAGCACTTGGTGGTGTAATTTTTTTTAAATTCTAGCCATTCTGATAGATGTATAGTGGTATCTTATTACAGTCTTGATTTACACTGCCCTGATGACTAATGATGTTGAATGTGTTTTCATGTGCTTAACTGCCATCCATATATCCTTTGGTGAAGTGTCCGTTTTACTTTCAAGTCGTCTTTTTCCATCAGTGTGACACTTAGAGGTGTTGACCAAAGAATTTCCTGAAGAGAATGGGGGCGGGGAGAGGGAGGCAGGAAGGGAGACAGGAAAGTGTGTGTTGGTTAAGAGCCTTGTCCAGTGGCATTTATTTCTCTCACTAAAGTATTTGGAGGACTTTTCTTAAATTTTAGGCAGACTTTGTAAGCTAGTCTAGTGGGTAAGAGCAAAGTCTGTGGAGCCAGTCTTCTGGGATCAAAGCATGAGTCCATCACTTCTTAGCTCTGAGACCTTGGGCAAGTACCCTGATCTTCTTGTGCCTCAGTCTCCTCATCAGAAAAATGAAGATAATAATCCTGACTTCACAGAGTTATTAGGAGGATTAAATGTGTTAACATCTGTCAAGTTCTTAGGACAGGACATTACACATAGCAAGCTCTATGTCATGTTAACCTATTGTTGATGTTGTTGCTATCCTTATCCTCACATTACCAGATTTTTCATTTGAAAAAATAAGTTTATTTTTATATCCTTCCAAGTATGAGAGAGCTGTCATTTTTCTCTGCCGTCGTAGTGGAATTCTTAAGATGTTTTAATGGTTAAGGGAGACTGCAGGGCAATTTAAAATAGATACCATTCTAGAAGATCTAGTAGAGCTGCTGGACTTCAGCATACAATGTTGTCAGTTTATAAGCTGTGGAATGACTATGAAGAACACCTAATACTGATAGTCTCAATGTCCCATTTGGTATAGTTTATGGTATAGTTTAGTGTTCTTCTTTAGTCTGATCTATTTTTTAGAAAGCAAATTATATATTTACTACAAATGTGGGCTTTTTGGACATCATGATTGATTTGTCCTTGTTTAAAGAAAAAAGACATCTACATTAGATTTATGATTCTGAGCCCTACTTGATATAAGGAGGAAAATATGCAACACTTCTTATTTCTCTGAGTCTCATTTCTGCTTTGGGCCTTGTTAGGTTGTGGAGATGTTGGAGGTTCCAAATAAACCCACACAGCTGTTGTACAAGTACTACTTCATGTCTGTGAATGCCACAGATCGCGAGGACAGCCCCGTCATGGCACTCCTACTGCAGCAGTTCAAGGAGAACGTCCAGGAGGTAGTTTTTCGTACAAAAGCCGGGAAACAGCCTAGAACTGGTACCAAGCGCAAGGTATGATCACATGTGGAAATGACCACAGAATTTGTGTATGTTAACTTTGTTGTGTTCTTTAACCATTTTTAATATGGGAAAGAATTAGATATGATTTTTAAGAGACTGGGCAGCAATAAGGTTTAAGTAACAATTGTCTACATTTTCTTGAAAATGCTTGTCTTGTAATTAATTATATACCATTTTCCACAAGAGAACTTATTAAATACACAATATTTACTACTGTATTTCCAGTGTTTCCGTCAATATTTGCTCAATAAATATTCGTTGAATGAATAGCATTTTTTTTTGTTAACTTTGAGCTTTGTTACAGTAGTTTAACTGCCTTAACTAATTGTACCACATGTACTTTTTTACCCATTTGTGTTCTTTACTTAAATTCTAGTTGTCTGATGATCCATGTCCCGTAGAACCCAAGAAAACCAAACGATCAGGAGAAATGTGTGCCTTCAATAAAATCCTAGCTCACTTTGTCGCTATGTGTGATACAAATATGCCGTTTGTAGGACTTCGGTTGGAGGTAATTGTTGGGAACAATTTTGGGTACTCTAAATGAAAGAGTAATTTTTAAAATGCCTTGCTAAAGCTACATAGGTTCCGTTAGGAGAACCACAATGGTTGTGATCTTCTTTGTTTTGGGAGGGGTAGGGTTGAAATCATAGTATCTCATGGTATACATTTAAAACATGACTTAAATTGTTTTATCTCTCTGAATCCAAATTGTAGGCCTTCTGCTCTTTATGAAAATGGAAAGTAAATTCTTCCCAGTTAAAAAAAAAAAGGACAACTTTTGAGAATTAACATCTGCTTGTATACCTCTTAGTAGGAGCGTTATTTAACTCACTTAGTGATGCTTAGTTGATAAAGGGGTGGCTTAGGTGAAGCCATACATATTGCTTTACACACTAATAAAATTGGGTTCCTTTCTGTCAAGCAGGTCAGAAAGAACATTAAACTAAATTTTTACTTTTGTCACGTGGAAGAAGCAATAGACTTGCAAAATTAATATCTTTCAAGGATACACGGTTGTGATATCCAGCATGATCCCCAAACATGAAACTAAAGGGAGGTAACAGAACCTGTATTTTTATATTTCCAGAAAAGGCTTTGGCCAAGGATCAGCAGCCCTTAAAAGCAATATGCTAAACCTTAATTATTTCCCTCTACTTTAAAGTTTTACTTTTTGTAAGACTCTTCGCCTCTGTAAATTGTTGTGAGTGAAGAAGAGACCTGGAAATGTGGAAGTGGATTATTTCAGTTGAGCTTACGATAGTCTTGGGAAGACTTGTTGAAAACACTTTCATGCTTTAGAGCAGGGATCAGCAAGCTTTTTCTGTAAAGGACCGGATAGGAAGTATTTTAGGTGTTGTGGATTATATGGTCTCTTATTGTAGCTACCCAGATCTGCTGTTGTGGTGTGAACTAGCCATGGTTGATACTTAAACAAATGAGTATAGCTATGTTCCAATAAAACTTTATTTACAAAAACAGGCGGTGGGTTAGATGTGGCCCATGAACTATTATATGCTGACCCCTGCTTTATAGGGCTTCAGGATCTGAAGGCAGAGGATAAGGTATGAAATTGTGAAGAGCAGCAAGAGCCCAGAGAAATCCAAGCCCAGAAACAGGCACCTAAAATAAAACTCATGTCCTCGATGTCCCAGCTCCTAGAACTGTGAGCTTGATGAATGTCCTCTGTCTGGGTACTGGCCATGGCTCCTAAACTGTACAGTGTCTACGTTTCTTATCTACTTGACCATGTTCTTGGGCTTTTTCATTGTCCATGTGGATTGATTACATGAATGTCATTCAGTTACTACCTTTGCAGTGGGAAGGGAGGCTACATGGTACCCAGGGGCAATGTAATGCTTCTCTCCCCCTTCCCACAGGCTAGAAATTGCAAAAGCTTGTGTCTTTGTAGTGCCCACATAGACTAACACCTATAGACAGACATCTTCTCTCTCCTCCTTCTCTGTCTGTTGCACACATAGGATGTGTAAGAACATTCTGTAGTACAGGCAGACCTCGTTTTATTGCACCTTGCAGATATTGCAGTTTTCTTTACAAATTGAAGATTTATGGCAATCTTGCCTCAAGTAAGTCCATTGGTGCCATTTTTCCAACAGTATTTGCTCGCTTCATATCTCTGTCACATTTTGATAATTCTTGCAATATTTCAAACTCTTTCATCATTATTATATTTGTTATGGTTATCAGTGGTCTTTGATGTTACTATTGTAATTGTTTTGGGGCACCACCAACCACACCCATGTAAGATGGTGAACTTAATAAATGTTGTGTGTGTTCTGACTGTTCCACCGATGGGCATCTCTCTCCCTCTCCTCAGGCCTCCCTATTTCCTGAGACACAGTGATACTGAAATTAGGCCAATTAATAACCCCACAATGGTCCCTCTAAGTAGTGTTCAAGTGAAAGGAAGAGTTGCAAGTCTCTCACTTTAAATCAAAAGCTAGAAATGATTAAGCTTAGTGAGGAAGGCATATCAAAAGCTGAAATAGGCCAAAAACCAGGCCTCTTGAGTCAAACAGCCAAGTTGTGAATGTAAAGGAAAAGTTCTTAAAGGAAATTAAAAGTGCTACTCCAGTGAACAGACGAATGATAAGAAAGTGAAACAGCCTTATTGCTGATATGGAGGAAGTGTTAGTGCTCTGAATAGAAGATCAACCAGCCACAACATTCTCCTAAGACAAAGTCTAATCCAGAGCAAGGCCCTAACTCTCTTCATGTCTGAGAAGGCTGAGAGAGGTGAGGAAGCTACAGAAGAGAAGTTTGAAGCTAGCAGAAGTTGGTTCATGAGGTTTAAGGAAAGAAGCCGTCTCCGTGATATGAAAGTGCAAGGGGAAGCAGCAAGTGCTGCTGTAGAAGCTGCAGCAAGTTTCCAGAAGATCTAGCTGAGATGATTAATGAGGGTGACTACACTAAAAAACAGATTTTCAGTATAGACAAAACAGCCTTCCATTGGAAGAAGATGTCATCTAGGACTTTCATAGCTAGAGAGGAGAAGTCAATGCCTGAGGACAGACTGACTCTCTTGTTAGGGGTTAATGCAGCTGGTGACTTTAAGTTGAAGCCAGTGTTCATTTACCATCCTGAAAACCCTAGGGCCCTTAAGAATTACGCCAAATCTACTCTGCCTGTGCTCTATAAATCGAACCACAAAGCCTGGATGACACCACGTCTTTTACAGCATGGTTTACTGAATGTTTTAAGCCCACTGTTGAGACCTCTGGCTCAGAAAAGATTTTTTACAAAATATGACTGCTCTTTGACAATGCACGTGGTCACCCAAGAGCGCTGATGGAGATGTGCAACGAGATGAATGTTGTTTTCAGGCCTGCTAACACCACATCCATTCTGCAGCCCATGGGTCAAAAAGTAATTTCAACTTTGAAGTTGTATTATTTAAGAAATAGATTTTATAAGGCTATAGCTGCCAAAGATAGTGATTCCTTTGTTGGCTCTGGGCAAAGTAAATTGAAAACTTTCTGGAAAGGATTCATCACTCTAGATGCCGTTAAGAACATTTGTGATTCATAGATCAAAATATCAACATTAACAGGAGTTTGGAAGAAATTGATTGCAACCCTGATGGATGACTTTGAGGGGTTCAAGACTTCAGTGAAGGAAGTGCGTGCAGATGTGGTGGAAACAGCAAGAGAACTAGAAGTAGAAGTGCAGCCTGAAGATGGGACTGAATTGCTGCCATCTCATGATCAAACTTTACGGGGGAGGAGTTGCTTCTTATGGGTGAGCAGAGAAGGTGGTTTCTTGACATGGAATCCACTCTTGGTGAAGATGCCGTGAAGATTGTTGAAATGACAACAAAGGATTTAGAATATTACGTACACTCAGTTGATAAAGCAGCAGGAAGGTTTGAGAGGATTGACTCCAGTTTTGAAAGAAGTTCTACTGTGGGTAAAATGCTATCAAACAGCATCATATGCTACAGAGAAATTGTTGGTGGAAGGAAGAGTCAATCAATGTGGCAGACTTCGTTGTTGTCTTATTTTAAGAAATTGCCACAGCCACCCCAACTTTAGCAACCATCACCCTGATCAGTCAGCAGCCATCAACATCAAGGCACAACTCTCCACCAGCAAAAAGATTACAACTCACTGAAGGCTCAGATAATGGTTAGCAATAGAGTATTTTTTAATTAAGGTATGTACATTGTTTTTTTAGACATAATGTTATTGTATACTTACTGGACTACAATATAGTGTAAAGAGAACTTTTATATGCACTAGGAAACCAAAAAATTCATGTGACTCACTTTATTGCAATATTCACTTTACTATGGTGGTCTGGAACCGAACCCGCAATGTCTCCGAGGTATGCCTGTACTGTATTGAACTCAATCAAGCTCTTAAAAACTAACCACCTTTTCCTTCTCTCAATGAAAAAGGCATGTTAAAGACAACAGCAAGCACATTGTCTGCTTAAAGTAATTTATAGTGAGACGTGAGTAACCAAATTTAATCTTACCAGGGATCTTTATATCTCTGATCCATAGAATGGAGGTAGTACTTTTGAGCCCTCCCACGCTTCGCTGCCTTTGAATTTGAACCCCTACTGCCTATTTGATTAGCAGCTATTTTCCCAAATCTTTGCTCTTCCCAGACCCAAAAAGCAGGGCTCAGTCAAATACTTAGGGTTGCCTTAAATCCTGTCTGGAATAAGGTAGGTGTAAATAAATAGTCTGCCGTAGAAGACCTGGGAATATCTGCCAAAGGCAAGCAGTTCTTTGGTAGATCAAGTGACTTGCTGTCATACCTAAATAATCTGTAGTTCCACTGGTAGGGTCTGAGGCGCTATGCCTGCATTCATCTTTTTAACTCACTTTCTGAATCCTTCAATTGGGTAAGATACCTTATTGGATAAATGAATAAGTCAGGAATCCCTTCTTCTTTGGTTTCATGCAGGAAATAGTTTAATTGTTAAAAATAGAAATGTATTCCAGAAAAGTTAGAAACTAAAAAATACTGTTTGTGATTAAAAGTGAGATATGAGCGACTCAAACTTTGTTTTGAACAAATATAATGGAATTACACAAGAAAACCAATCTTATTTTACAGTTGCATCATTTAGAACCACCAGAATTGATTCTGACTACTTTTGGCTTGATATAAAATTTAGGTAAATTCTCCTGAACTTTGAATATTTGCCACCTGTGGAGGTGTTTTGTTAACTAGAAGCTCTAGGTCATCTTTGATTTTCACTGGACTTTATGTAGTTTCCCAGGAAATCAAATGATGTGAGACAATGCTCATGACTAATATGTTGTAACTTTGGGACACAGTGGCCCTAGAACAGATGCCATGAGAATAGAGACAGTAGTACTTAGAAAAGGTAATTTCCTTTGTAAAATTGGTGGTCTGGTATAACCGTACTTTTCTCTTTCCAGTTGTCCAATCTGGAGATTCCACATCAAGGGGTGCAAATGGAAGGTGATGGCTTCAGCCACGCAATTCGCTTATTGAAGTAAGTCCCTGTCGTGTGTCTCACTTGGCGCTAGACACATTGCAGCCAGACTGCCAGAGCTAATCCTCTCCTTTCATGAGACAGCATAAAGCAGAGTTCAGAACCTGTGGATGTCACAGATTTCTGCATAGCATTTCTAAGATCTGGGGGAGAATTCTCTTTCACCTGCTGAGTGGAGATCCAGCGCCACTTGGTATTTTAGGATGTCTTTCCTCTGTATTTCATTCATTCCTCAGATGTTTACTCAGTACAACTATGTATCAGGCTTGAATTCTGATGGGGCCCTTCAGGATGCCAGGGGTTCACATAGCAGGGAGTTCTGGGCTAGTTCGAAAGTCAGGAAGGTTATCCCTAGGGAAGTACCAATTGTACTCTGACTGAAGGATACGTGAAAATTTACCAGAGGAGAGGGAGCTAGGGTGGGAGTGGGCCGTTCTAACCAGAAGGGGTAACTACTAATGTGAAGGTTTGGAGGTGAGAGAATGCTCGCCATCCTGGAACTGAAAGAAGTTCACCATGGCAGGAATTGGGTGAGATGAGGCCAGAGATGTAAGTAGGAAGGGGTCAGATCCGCTAGGGCTTTGTAAGTGTCCTTAAGAAATTTAGACTTTATCCTAATGGTGATAAGAAGCCATCAGATGATTTTAAGTGGAAACTGACATCATTAGATAGGTGTTTTGAAAGCTCACTCTGATAGCAATATAGAGAATAAATTGGAGGGGAACAAGACTGAAGTAGCAAGGCTGGTTGCTGAAATGGTTCACACCAGAGTTGTTGGTAGCTTAGACCAGAGAAGGTTCCACAAGGACTTAGGGGATGAAATATTCAAGGGTTGGTGATTAGATTGATGTCGAAGGTAAGAAAGAGGAGACTCAGGTAGCAGAGATGACTCTGTTTTATCTTGGGCAAATGATGGATGATTGTGGTGTTTTCTGAGATAAGGGACATTGAATGTGAGTTTGAAGGGGCTTTGCTAAGTTTGGGGTGCCTAGACATCCGTTTGGGAAGACAAGGATGTGTCTCAAGCTCAGGTGACAGGTCTGGGCAGGAGAAATAGATGAATCATTACCAAGGTGGTAGTAATTGAGCTGGGATAGTAAATTAGATGACGAGGAAAGAGGAGACAGAGGGTTTGCTTCTAAACAGATAGAGGACAAGGGGTCAAAGAATGCTTAGGAGGAAAGCTAACACAGTCTGTGTGCTATATGAGGTGACCAGGATGGACTTGCAAAGCTAGCATGCCGTTTAAGAGAGAAACCTTTCTCTCTTTTTGGCATTTGCATTATTTCTTAGATGGTACTTAATAACATAAATCATATAAGCATTTTTTATTTATCAAGAATGGCAGCTCTGCAGTTCGAGCCAGTGGGGCTTTAATTTTTGCTACTTGGGAATCAGTTTGTTTCTGTGGAAAATGGGAAGGAATGGCAAATAGCGTGCACTCCACCCCTGTGTCATGGTGCTCACTTTAGAGAAAGAGTTGAAGAGCTAGAATAGCTTCCCCTCCTTGCTATCTTAAAACCGTCTCTACCGAAAGTTTTCAGGAGAGCAGGTCTTAGAATGGAAATCAATAGGAAAATGTAATACTTTTCATTTAATTGCCTTTGGTTTTGAATTACTTCTGCCTAAGGGTTTTTTTCCTCACTCTTCTTGGCAACTGCGGATAACTAGATGATGTTAACATTTGTGTTCTATTCTTTAGTTATATTTTTCATGTTTTGCAAGAGTTTTAAAATATCTTGCTATCAGCATTTTTATGAAAGAAATTTCAGTCCCCTTTCTTCTTGAACTCAAGAGAACTCATAATAATTCTACCTAGGAAGGAAGCACTTCATATTTTTTAGTTTCATTTTACAGTAATTTTTAAGAAAGTCTTTACTATATCCTGGCTATTGTTTTCTTTATTTAAAACTTAAAAGGAGGGGCTGGCCTGCTGGTGTAGTAGTTAAATTCATGTGCTTTGCTTCGGCAGCCTGGGGTTCGTGGGTTCGGATCCTGGGCACAGACCTACACACCGCTCATTAAGCCATGCTGTGGCAGCATCCCACGTACAAAATAGAAGTAGACTGGCACAGATGTTAGCTCAGCGACAATCTCCCTTACCAAAAAAAAAAAAAAAAGCTTAAAAGGAAAATATATAGAAATGGATACATTAAAGATATCTGTTTGTCTGGTACATGCTGTCCATTATGGGGGTAAAGTATAGAAATGAAGAAGGAAAAAGTAAATGATAAATATCTAACCATGATTTTATTAAATTAAAAATCTGGCATAGATCTAATTAGTAGATAGTTGCTTTAATGCATTTAATATTCAGAAACTCTTCTATTTGAAAGATTTTATTTTTCCTTTTTCTCCCAAAGTCCCCGGGCACATAGTTGTGTACTTTTAGTTGTGGGTCCTTCTAGTTGTGGCATGTGGGATGCCACCTCAGCGTGGCCTGATGAGCGGTGCCATGTCCACGCCCAGGATCCGAACCGGCGAAACCCTGGGCTGCCACAGTGGAGCACGCAAACTTAACCACTCAGCCACGGGGCTGGCCCCCAGAAACTTCTTTTAAAAGCTTTTAGTCCTAGATGAGCATATAAGTTGATACTTCAAAACTTTAAAATTGAGCACATTTTTGTTCTCTTTGCTAAAAATCTGTTCTGTTCTTGTTCAACTTATCTCCTTGAGACTATTGAGCAGGCCTCCTTGCTGTGTCTCCTGGTAAACACCTTAGATTGCTGAGGTTCGTGGACCGGTGCCTTGTGCAGATTCACAAGGGCCTGGACCCACCAGCACAAACGACACAAGTCTCAAGAGCAGCATGCTCACACTGCCTAGTCTGGAGCTCTTGAGCAGACTTCCCACCTTCTCTTGAACTAACATTACAGTGATGGGTGGTGGTGCTGGTCCTCTAGCCACACCCAGGAGGTTTTTTCATCTTGTCCATTGCGTTTCTTTGCCTCTTGTAGCTTATGCAATTAATGCATAGGCACAGCTCTTTTTGCAGGTTGTGTGACTCACCTTGTGTCAGTTGTGTGACTTAGTCCTTCTGCATCTGCATGTGCAACTTTTATAAAACCCTCTTCACTTTCCTTGCAGGCACAGATGCGCTTCTTTTACTAGCACTTTCAGTGATCGCCCCACTTTTGCACCACCTGGACATAATGTGGTTACTGATGTTTGTAAAACCTCTCAGCATGAAACTGACACACAGCACATGGCAGCCAAAAAAGGAGCAGTGCTTACACACATCTGCCCTAGAAGACCAAAGCCTAGTTCCTAAATTTGTTCAGTACTCAGAATTATAGGAGAAAAATCAGTCAGGAGTAGCTGTTCAGATCAAAAATCTTTTTTGAATTGGTAGAAATTTTCAGATAAGGTTCTTAATTTTATTTTCCTCAGCTCTTAATTTTTGGCAAATATAATAGTATTTTGCATTTGTAACAATTTTGTCTGATTTCTGTTTGGGCAACCTTTTGTTTTTTCCCCTCACGTGATCATGCGGGGAAGATTAAAGTTACAATTGTAGTTTATTTTTATTCTCTCTGTTACATTTATAACCTTAAAAGCAAGTAAATATTTTGCAGGTTTCTTGAAGAAGAGCCAATTATATCTGTATCATAGATTAAGACAGTGACATAGAATGCATTTTCAGGGTCGTGTTGTCCCTGACAGCATAAATTGAAAGGAGTCTTACTTGTACCTTGGTTCTTACTTGAAAACATGCTGGCTGGCTTCTGTGTGTGCATTTTCTGACCAGATAAATTTCATGGAACACCTATTTTAAAGAAGATAGTGTACTGCATTTTTATTTTCAAAGTCAAGATTTAAAAATCTATCTGAATTGGCTGCTTTGTAACTCCTATGGGTCAGGCTTATGTTTTGAGGGGTAGGGGCAGGCAGAAGTCCTCAGGATACCAATCAAGTTGAGAAGCATATATGCAGTGTATATGAGTTCTATAATAATTACCCCAAATAACATTGGACGAAATCTTTCTGGTAGTGATAAAAAGTATGTAGTATAAAAGATTTAACTTTTGACAAACTTAACTTGTACATTTAAGAGGAGCTGTGGTGGAATTTTTAATTAATTGAGAAAATTTCAGAACTACATTATTTCTGTTTTTATGCAACTTGTATAGCTTTCTTCCTTCCCCCCTACAAATTTTGTTTTTACCGTCCGCAGTCTCTGTCTCTTTTTTGCTCTCTGAAGTGTTTTATTCTAGGTCAGTGGTTCTCATTCCCAGGGCAATTTTGCCCTCCAGGGGACATTTGGCAATGTTTGGAGATACTTTTGGTTATTATCAACTGAGAAGAGCGGGTGGGAGGTGCTACTGGTGTCTAGTAGGTAGAAACCAGGGCTGCACAGAACAGAGCCCCACAACAAAGATTTATCCAGCCCAAAATGTCAATATTGCCAAGATTGAGGTGGTGTTGCCTTCTGAATAAGAGGACTGAACCAAGATGCCGTATTTCCAATTATATTTGTTTTTTGCCTTAGATATTGATGATAATTATACCGAGTCTGAGAATTAACCCATCTTCCCTATGAGTTAAAGCATAACATGTAATTAAATAATCTGTTATCTCATTATTTCATCCATTACTGAAATAACTCATTAACAGCTAAAACATATCACCTCATAACATTTTACGACAAATAAGATAGTCCATAAAGCTGCAAAAGGAAAATGGATAGGTAGGTATTTTAAAACACCAAAGCTAATACATTCCTTTTTACATGTGATAGATATAAGTGACAATATATATGTTAAATGAGTTAATACATGTAAAACTCCATCACAATGCGGAGTTTGTCTATCTACAGAGGAGGAGGAAGGGGGCCCAATGAACCTGGAATCTTATCATGGCAGTTAGTGATCAAGACTTGGTTTTACTGCCAGGAGGAGCTAACATATATGAGTACCTGCTATAGCAGCCACCATAAGCACTCTATATGTGTTTTGCCATTTTAAAATCAGTGACTCATAAGGTAATTATTTATTTTCATTTCATAGTTGGGAAACTGAAATTGAGAGAGGTTAAATGTGGCTGAATCAGAATGAGAGTGCAGGTCTTTGGCTCCAAAGCTCCTGTTCTTTTTACTATATCATCCCGCCATTGAAAAGTGGTTTTACAAGGTTTTTGTTCCCCTTAGCTTTTCTTAAGGATGTTCTAGGTAGATTTTGTAGAAAGTCAATATCCTTGATTTTCATTCTGAAGAACTGTAGTCTTTTCTCATAAAAAGATTAAGGATGAAGACAAACATAAAGTGAGAGTCCTAATCCATGTTTTTGTGAATGGGAATGGGTTAAATGCTATTAATTGCTGTGAATTGCCATGAATTGCCTCCTTCCTTTGCAGAAGGTGCCTAGTAGTGGAATTTGAACTGAACCTCTAACATGATACCCTGCCTGTCATTGTGTGGATTGTGCTTTTGTCTTTCTTGATGTGAAGTATACTTTATATGCTGTCTTTCATCACCAGAATTCCTCCCTGTAAGGGTGTAAATGAGGAAACCCAAAAGGCTCTGGACCGCTCTCTCCTCGATTGCACTTTCCGATTACAAGGTAGAAATAACCGCACGTGGGTGGCAGAGTTAGTGTTTGCAAATTGTCCACTTAATGGCACTTCTACCAGGGAGCAAGGTGAGATGATTCACACACTTTGTCTTTGCGTATTTCTGGATTTTTTCAGTATTGATTGCTATTAATCTTTTCTTTTAATCCTGTAGGACCATCCCGGCATGTTTATCTGACATATGAAAACCTGTTATCTGAACCTGTTGGTGGTCGAAAAGTGGTTGAAATGTTCCTTAATGACTGGAATAGCATTGCACGATTGTATGAGTGTGTATTGGAATTTGCACGTTCTCTACCAGGTACATGTGATAATCTTCCTTTGGGGGTAGAAAAAGCCCCCCCTCCTGTTTTAGCTGTAAAAGTAAAGTATGCACATTATAAAAAAAAAAAAAAATTCAAAAGTATATCTAATGTTGGGGCAGCCCCAGTGGTCTAGTAGTTAGCTTCATTGTGCTCCTCTTTAGCAGCCCAGGTGCACTTCTTGGGCACAGACCTGCACCGCTCTGTTAGCAGCCATGCTGTGCTGGCAGCCCACATACTAAAAAATAGAGGAAGGTTGGCATGCATGTTAGCTCAGGGCAAATCTTCCTCAGCAAAAAAAAAAAAAAAAAAAAGTATATCTAATGAAAAATAAGTTTCCCTTTACCTTAAACTTCCATTTCCTTCCCCCAGAGACAATCACTGTTAAGTTTCTTAAATCCAGAAATTTTTATACATCGGTATGCCATATTATAATACTAGTCAGTACTTATTGAGAATTTACTATGTGCCATACAATGTAATAAACACAGTGCTTGTGTTAACTCATTTAATCCTCACAATCACCCTGTGAGGTAGGGTATTTTATTCTTCCACATTGTACAAATGAAGAAAACAATTCACAGAGACAAATCTCCCCATCCCTGCTCTGGCCCCCTTTTTTAGAAATGAAAGCCTGCTATCTATCTTTCTAAAGCACGTATTTAGAGACCTTTCTATCTAGGCATATAGTATTACCAAAATGTCCTCTTTTTCAAATATATATTTTAAAATTCTGCATGTATAATTTTAATCTCCTTTTTTCCTTTCTGTTTAGATATACCTGCTCATCTAAATATTTTCTCAGAAGTTCGTGTTTATAATTACCGAAAACTTATCTTGTGTTATGGAACCACCAAGGGAAGCTCAGTAAGTCTATGAATTAATTTAAACTGTAATTCCTCGCATAAATCTTTTAAAAATAAAGAATTCACAAATTATGAAAACTGCCTTGAAATAATTAAAGGATCAAGTAAAAATTAGGGATAAAATAGTAAATTTTGAATACTTTGTCAATATAAATATTGTATACTATAATGCTTAACTCTTTAAAATTGAAAACAAAAACAGTACCCTCTTTGATGGGGTCTATAATCTTAAAAGTTTTGGAGAAGAAAACATATTTTTGGTGTTTGTATTTGTTTTTTCACTGATTTCACATCTGCTTATTTAGCAATGTAATTACTGTACTGAAGATCATGTATGTTGGACAGTATGATATATCTATGCTTTTGGTTACATGATTGTTAACATTGCTTGGTCCTGTCTTAATCTTAAAGGTATTCCCCACAATCCATGGTTCCTTATTTTTCCTCTACCCCATATGTAAAGCCCTAGAAATTTCATATAAAAATTCAGCCCCCTGGCTTCTCTCTGGACTCTTCCACATCAAGTTATATCAGAAATTACTCAAGGGGCCGGCCAGGGCCGAGTGGTTAAAGTTCCATGTGCTCTGCTTCTGTGGCCTGGGTTTGCAGGTTCGGGTCCCGGCTGTGAACTGACTCCACTTGTTGGCCATGCTGTGGAGGTGTCTCAAATGCAAAATAGGAAGATTGGCACAGATGTTAGCTCAGGGCGAATCTTCCTCAGAAAGAGAAATGACTCAGCTGTTTTAAAATCTATTAACTGAAGGTGTCTGTGTTGGGGGCAGCTTCCTTTCCCTTTGTGACAGTGCTCACCAAGAGAGTAACTCTTCAGTTCAAGAGAAAAATGAAAAATAAGAAACACCAATGATAATTTTCAAATAAAGTTTAATCAAAATTTTGTCTTTAGCGTCTTCTCTGTTTTACTTACTAGAATGTACTGGTCCATAGTAACAGCATATCTAGAGTTTGCAGAGTCCAGCCTTATTAGTTGCTTTCAGAAAAGACCTCGTTTAGATCTTTGACATTTTACCTTACTGTTTAAACATTATTTTTTTCTTCTACTTGAATCTGTTATGTTCTGAGTTTCTGAAACATGTAATCTCTTTGATTTAGATTAGTATCCAATGGAATTCTATACATCAGAAATTTCACATTTCTTTGGGAACTGTTGGCCCAAACTCAGGTTGCAGTAACTGTCACAATACCATTCTCCATCAGCTTCAAGAAATGTTCAACAAAACACCAAATGTGGTTCAGTTATTACAGGTAATTAAGTTTATTTTCTGTTTAAAAATAAGTCTCGGTCAGTGTTCCTGTCTCATGTAAAACTCCTTAAAAACTCGTGTTCTTGTCTTTAATGACGAGGATGAGAGCCTTTGTGTTTTATATCTTGCACTCTTTTTTGGAGAATTTTCTTTGATTCAAAGTGGACACAGCGATCTAGTTTGCATTCTCTTCAAGGGAAAGCTTTAGGGAATGTGCCAGAAGGACATTGTCTCGTTTGTGACTGTTATACGTGGAAAATTGTGAGGTTTTAGCATTTGTACAGAAACTGGCCGCTCTCACTGTGTTTGTTCCATATAGGTATTGTTTGATACTCAAGCTCCATTAAATGCCATCAACAAACTCCCCACTGTGCCGATGTTGGGCTTGACCCAGAGAACCAACACTGCCTACCAGTGCTTCTCCATTCTGCCACAGTCGTCCACGCACATCAGGCTGGCCTTCAGGAACATGTATTGCATTGATATATACTGCCGGAGTCGAGGCGTTGTGGCAATACGGGATGGTGCCTATAGTCTTTTTGATAATAGCAAGTTAGTTGAAGGTTTTTATCCCGCACCAGGACTAAAGGTAACAGACTTTAGTGTTATAACATGAGTAAGCATAAATATGATCTCTGAAAGAACTCCTTTGAGGAGAAAATAATGGGGAAAAGCAACAAATTCCTGTTTAAATTTAATAAGTAGCTGTGTTAATTCATCATCTCTGCAACTTCCTTCTGAAGAAGCTAGAAGTTCTGATCAAGTGCTGTGCCTATGTGTATGAGATGAGAAAATATCCCTTCGTTTATGTTCTTACCCTGTGATGAGTAAGGTGGAAAATACTGAAGAGAGTCCTGTTTGCTATTTGGAACTTTAAGGGACTTTAAAAGTAGTCTTTATCATTGATTATCAAGAAAGTTTGATTATCAGTTCAACTATGATGCTTTTTTAAAATGTTGGGTCCTGGGCCACAATCCCTGGAGATTCTGGTATAATAGCTCAATTGTATGTGCTTATAATTTTGAGTCAAATAGTTTCAAATGGCTTGTTTTGAAAATAAGTCCCCTGCAACCCACTCTTTCCATTTTCCTGCTCTGTTTTCAACTCTATATAGCTGATTTTCTGGGTATTTACATCCTTATTTCTTAGTAGCATGCTTACATTGCTGTTTGTTGACCTCTGAGTTGAGGGTATTATATGAGTCTCACAATGGAAGATGAGAATTTAATTCTCATGAATATGTAAATACTATTCTACCAGGCTTACTATGATTACTTTTCCTTTCTTGATCAACATTTTATTTTCCTGGGAATTATTAATTTACCTTTTTTTTCCTGCTTAGCTTTCTCCATACTTATCACTAACTCAAGCTTAAAGTCTCTCCCACGTGTGTAATTCTTCCCTCAGTACATTCACATATCACATACCTTCTGAGTTCCATCTTGAAGAAGTGTCTTCCATAGTCCTCTGACCTCCAATCTGGAATGGCAACACTCTAGACCTTTTGCACAATTTTGACTTAGGAATCTGCAGAAGGATGGTGAAGCAGCAGTTCCTTCACTTCTCTCCTGTGTTGCATGCCCTGTGACTTGGACCGCATGTCTTTTTCTTGGTTTATTCTGTTGTTTTGGTGGAATACTTCCTACATAGCTTTCTGGGAGAAAGTACGTGGGAGGTTAATTTGAGACCTTGTATGTCTGAAAGCGTCTTTACTAGTTTACCCTCATCTAATTGAAAGAGTGGCTAGATGTAGAATTCTAGGCTGCAATCATTTTGAAGGCACTGCTGCATTGTTTTCTAGCTTCCGTTGTGACCATTGAGATGTTTAATCCTGTTCCACTTCTTGAACCTTATGTGAGAAAGTGGGCTCCTTCAGTCTGGAAACTTACATCCTTTTGCTCTGGGGAATTTCCTTGCATTGTTTCTTAATTCTCCTCCTTTTTTTTCTCTGTTAGCTCTGTTAGCCCTACTATTCTGATGTTGGGCATCTTGGACTTATCCTCTAATTTTCTTATCTTTTCTGTTTTTTATCTCTTTGTTTCTAGGAGATTTCCTCATTTTTTCCTTCCACTCCTTCTGTTTTTTATTTCTGCCAACTCTTTTTGGACCATCTTTTAAAAATTTTCCAAGGCTTTTTTATTTGTTTGTTTCTAAATGTTCATTTTATGCCATCCTGTTCTATATGGCTACAATGTCTTCTCTTATCTCTTTGATTCCTACATAATCTCCATTTCATCCACCTTGCTTTTTTCTCTCTTTTATATAAGTGACTCTTAACTTTCTGCTCTTGTTTAAAGGTGAGGTTTGTTGACTGGTCTTCACTGCAGGATGATCTGCTGGGGCCATTTCTTTGGGTAACTCCCGAAGTCAGTAGCATTAGGTCTTTTTGTTGGGCTCTGTGAGCACCAAGAGAAGAGTTTCCAAGTCTCTGCATAGATGGTGTGCATCTGGCTCCCAATTTGGGGCAAGTCAAATAAGAGAAGGAAACGAGTATTCTCACCATTCAGATTGTAAACTTTAATCTCCATTTTTAATATGGTACCCCTTCTCTCAATTATTCTCGAGTCTGCCAGGGTGGTAGAGGTCAGCCTAACTCTGGAAGTAACAGAGGCTCTCGGAGGCTCTCTTAATTAAAGAGACTTCCACCCAATCCTTCTGTTTTTGGTCCCACCTTCATCCCTATTTCCAGAGGTGTCTGGTGCTGCCAGTTCCTGCACGTCTTGGAGATAGAGACGGAAATAGCTTTGCTTCTTGGCTTTCCCCACTGCTTGCTTAGGATACAGTTTCCTCACGTTGGATAGTTCAGTTACCACTCAGCCATCTGCTCTGCAGCCTCCAGAATTTACTGCTATTTTTCTCTTCTCCCATTCTTTTTATCTTTGTGACTTACTGCTTTGAAAAAAATTTTTTTAGGTGTTTCAGTGGGGTATTGGGAGAAAATGAAATGTGTGTTGGGAATCCATCACCTTTAATTAGAAATCAGGCTCTCTACTTTTAAAAGCTTTCTAGTGAGTCAGATAAGCTTATGGTCTATAGTTTTGAAGATTGGGAAGGTGGAGAGTATTAAAAGCCAGAAAATCTGTGCTTAAGACACCAACTCTGGTAGCCTTGCTTAATTTTGATGACATATTCTATAAAACAAGCCTCCCATTCTTGATGGTTCAAGATTAAGTCATGTAAGATAAAAAGTGAAAAAGTGGCTTAGTTTCTTTATTCAGTTTTCCTCTGTAATATTTTCTAGCTTAAAAGTGAGAACTCTCACTCAATAGGAAATTTTCCAAGTCATTTAAGTTATATGTATGGCCAGCATACAACTTTTCATTTTTTTCCCCCTTTCTAGTTCAGAAGTTAATAAGAAAATGTCTTGACCTGGTGTTAGGAGGTGCCAGGGTGTACTTCTTTCTTCAGCATTTTGCTTACACAGTACTTCTTAGTTGGCAGGATTTTTTAACTTAGATATTATTTTTGTTGTGGTGGTTAACTGTTTTCCTCAATTTCCTCCCTTCCTTCAAAATTATCAGTATCTCTCCAGGTTGTCCTAATAATAGTGGTCATGTGTCAAACATATTTCAGAGATGGACATAATATGTTTGTTTCTATTAAAACATTCTAAATGATTAAAAATATCATATTAAAGTTAGGTAGAATAATCTAAATCTTACCTGTTTATATCCATAGACATTCCTGAATATGTTTGTTGACAGCAATCAGGATGCTCGAAGAAGGTCTGTAAATGAGGATGATAATCCTCCTTCTCCTATAGGAGGAGATATGATGGATTCTTTAATCTCACAACTCCAGCCACCACCCCAGCAACAGGTGATGTGTAGCTGAAATTCCAAATGGTATCGCATTTGTGTAGTTAACAGGTTCTACACGTGTCTGGGCTTCTTTGTTGAAAGGCAAGGAGATTGTTGGTGGGCCTAAGATACCCAGGAAATCCATATGAAAAAATAGTGACGGAGGGAGATGAGGATTCCGGTGATGGCGAGTGAATAGTACCAGAAATGGCGTTAACCATACCGGAAATAGCATTAACCTCAGACACATGCTCTTAAAATGATGTCAGGTGATCACAAAAGAGGGTGTCCAAATGGCAGTAAGCACAAAAAAGGTGTTCAACAGCATTTAGCATCACAGAAATACAAATTAAAACCACAGTGAGATAATATTCCATACCCACAGAAATGGCTCTAAGAAAAAAATTGATAATCCTTGTCAACATTTTGGTATTAGGAGCAACTGAAACTCTGATTTGCTGCTGAAGAGTGCGTAAAATGGTACAACTACCTTGCAGTGGTATTTAGCAGTATTCCAGAATGCTTAAGCTGAACATTATTCATGCATATGATTTAATAATTCTACTCTTCTGTGTATACACAATAGAAATGCATCAGTAAAACCAAGAATGTTCATAGCAATGTTATTTGTCAAAAAAATTATAAACCACCCAAATATCCAGCAACAGTAGAATGAGTGAATAAATTGGGGTATGTTCATACAATGGAATACTTTACAGAAATGAAAAAACAAACTGTTGCTACACGCAACAACATGATGAATTTTACTAACATAATGTTAAACAAAAGAAGCCAGACACTAATGAGTACGTTCAGTATTAATATGAACTATAAAAACAGGCAAAACCAAGCTTGAGTGATGGAAATCAGAATGGTACTTACCTTTGGGGAGGTGATAATACTTGGAAGATGTATGAGGGAGGCCTCTGGGGTTCTGGTAATGTTCTTCAGTATCTTGATCTATTTGGCAGTTACATTTGTAATAATTCATCAGACTGTACATTTAAGATTTATGCAGTTTATGTGATTTGTACTTCAATTTTAAAAAATAGACTAGGAAGGATTACATTGTCCTAGGTTTTTCATTACTGGAAATGAGGGTAAGTAGAAGGTGAGTAGAGGTCAGGTTGAACTACCATATTTCATTGACTCTAAAACTCCACCAAATGTAAGATGCACTATTTTTTATGTACTGCCAGAAACAACACTGCCAGTTAAACTATGACATGCCATGAATTGAAAGACACACCCGGATTTCAGAGATGTTAAAATGTGGGGGGAAATTACCTTAGAATCAATGAAATAGTAGATAAATGATATAGCTAAATTAGTGATAGGTAGATAAAATGAGCAATAAACATCTTGAGGGATATAAACAATGGTATTGCAAGGTCAGGAATGAGGATATTGCTATTTTTAAAACATTTTGAAAGTAAGGGTGTTTTTAAAAACTTGTGTTATTGATGGATATTTTGATGTATATTTTGATTGTATATTGATGAGGCATTTTCATACCTCACAGTTTCTATTTGGTAACCAATGAAGTGTGTAAATGTTAACTCTGTAGCTATTTATTAGGGAAAGCCACATCATACCATATGTGGTTGGCTATTTTACCAACATTTAATTTTCTTCTTTTCAGCCATTTCCAAAACAGCCAGGATCATCAGGTGCTTATCCTCTTACTTCGCCCCCTACGTCTTATCACAGCACAGTTAACCAGTCTCCCTCTATGATGCACACACAGTCTCCAGGTAAGATATCACTTATTCTCTTGTCGTGTTCAACTTCAAAACCAAAGTACACCCACTGAGAAGCACTACACATTTGGCCTTAGACTTCAGACACAACTCCTTTTCTAGTCTCTGGCTAGATATTTGCCAGTCATTCATTATGGCAGGGTTGTGAAATCTGTGTTCCTGATTCAGGAGCACTTTAAAAGGTTTGAATTAAGTGGAGGAGTTGTCACCTGGAGCCAGACTCATGGCACAACTCCAAGAGCTACTCACAACATGATCTGTGTCAGAGGTTGACATATTAAGGCTTGGGGGCCAAGTCCTACCCACCACCTGTTTTTGTAAATAGTTTCATTGGAACATAGCCACACCCATTTGTGTAGTGTCTGTGGCTGCTTTCCCGCTACAACGACTCCTTGCAGAAAACATTTGCCGAGCCCTGCTATACTTGAATGGTGCCCTGCCCCCAGAGTTGGGCAGTGCACAGCCTGCTTTGTCCAAACAAAATGGTTCTGTTGGCGGCCCCCTGAAGTGCATTGTAGAATTTCTTGAGAATGCCAAATTTCTCCTTTTAACTGAACAATTCATTGGTGTCTCTTAAGCACTTGCTCTGTGGCGAGTGCTGCACGGTGCTGGGGATTCAGCAGTGAGCCAGACACCAGCCCTGCGCTCGAGCTTATCTGGCAAGGAAGATGGGTATCAGATTTCTTGGGTAGATAATCCCTTACCTGCTCATCAGATGGCTGGACCACAGGTGAAGACTTGGAAGTTGCTACCATGTCATTGAAGGTCACTGAAGCCCGAGTGGGTGGGTGAGCCCATCCCCTGAGGAGTGCCAGCAGTCAGTGCTGTTGGAGCCTGAGAAGGAGCTGCGAGGGAGCACGGAGGAAAACAGGAGAAACAGGGTTATAGAACCCAAGGGGAGTGTGTTTCTAGGCTATGAGTTGAGACTGGTTTGGCACAGAAGGAAGGAGAAATAATTATTTTGAAAGAATTACAATAGCAGACAGGTATATAGTGCTTACTGTGTGCCACGCCCTGTTGTAAGCACTTTGCTCATTTAATCCCCACAGCAAGCTCGTGGTGTAGGTCCTATTATTATCCCCATTTTATAGAGGGATAAGGAAAACTGAGGCATGGAGAGTCACTTGTCCAGGTCACACGGCTAAATATGTAAATATAACACTTAAAGGTTAATCAAATTGATTAATATATTTATTGAATATAAGGCACTGCATTAGGTATTGGAGAACATAAAAAATTGTGAAATTCTCTTATGTGCTAGAGAATTTGCAACCTGCTGATATTGAGGATAGTTATGGTAATGTATCAAGTATTTTAATAATGCATTTATCCATAGTTTTGGTAGCCATAGGTCCCCCTTTCATAATCCTAAATTAAAGCTAGTCCTGTGGCTAAATACCATCTTTAAGCTCATGTCTCCCAGTTTTTCATATCTCCCATCTAGGCCTCTCCCCTGAACTCGAGTCCTGTTCTTTTCCAGCTATCTGTTCAGCATTTCCAAGTAGATGTCTAGTCGGCATCTGAAACTCAGCATGGCCAGAACTAACCCCCCGACCCTGCCCTGTGCTGCTGCTGTCAGACGCCCCATCTCAGGAAATGGCAGCTTCTTCCTTCTAGCTACTTGGGCCAAAGCTGTTAGAGTCATGGAGAACTCCTTTCTTTCACACACACATTCAGTTACCAGATACTGTCAGCTCTGTCTCCAGAATTCATCCAGAATCTAACCACTTTTCACCCCATCAACCTTCACCCTTGCCCACGTCACTAACCATTTCTTACCTGGTTTATTGCAGTTGCCTCTAACTGGTTTCCCTGCCCCTGTCCCCCACCCCATAGGCTGTTTTTCACACAGCAGCTAGAGTGATCTTTCTAGAACAGAAGTCAGTTCAAGACTCCTCTGCTTCAAACTCTGCAGTGGATTCCTATCTCATTCAGGGTAAACCCTGAGTCCTTAGTGTGGCCTACAAGTCCCTGTGTGATCTGGGGCCCTCCTCCCAACCTCTCTGACCTAATCTCCTCCCATCCCCCCTTGCTCACGCTGTTCCAGCCACACTGGCCTCCCCCTGTTATTTATAACTGCTGCTCCCTTTGGGGCGTTGGCACCAGCTCTTCTGTTTGCCTGGAATATCTTATCTCCTGGATACCCTCATGCCTTACCCTTCACCTTCTTCGTGTCTCAGCTCACATGTCCCCTTCTTAGAGAGGTCTTCTCTGGTTGCTTTATATAAAAGAACAGCACCCACCCCCACTGCTACATGATATTGTCCCCTTACTTTGCCCTGTTTTTCTCCATAGCACTTATTACAACCTGACATATATTTGTCTTTCTCATTCTACTAGTATGTAAGCTCCACAAGGGCAGGAATTTTTGTCTCTTATTAACTGCTGCATCCCCAATGCCTACAACAACGCTTGGCATGAAATTGATGTTCATGCCTGCTTGTTGAATGAGTGAATTAAAAAGGACACTGGATAAATCAGTCAATACAAGAGCTAGAATGTGGGCCCCATGGAATTGATCTCTCTTTTTTTCCATAATGAAATTGTTCCAGCTTTTCCTTGTGCTATTTATGGGAGCTTTACTACTTGTTTCTTTAGTCTGTAGAGAGTCTTAACTTGGGGTCCTTGGACAGGACATAGTATATGTCCTGCAAGATCATCTATAATTATTTTCCTTTATTAGGAAATCTGCATGCCGCCAGCTCCCCCAGTGGGGCTTTGAGAGCCCCATCACCAGCGTCCTTTGTTCCAACTCCTCCCCCATCCTCGCATGGAATCTCAATAGGACCAGGGGCCAGTTTTGCTAGTCCGCATGGTGAGTCCATACATGGAAATCGCTATAGCATAAGAGTTTAACGTGAAAAGTAGTTTTTGTTAAATTATTTTATTGCAGAATTAGCACTTGTTTATTGGGGAAATAGCAAAAGAAGATAATTTTTTCCTAATCCCACCGTGCAGAGATCTAACAGTGTGTCTGCTTTGAACTTGCTCTCTCTCTCCCCCTCACTGTCTTGCTCTTTTTGTCACGCACCCCCTGCTTGCCTGCCTGCTCACATCTCTGTTGCTCTCGCTTGCTCTTTACCTGTCTGCTTGTCTCCCCCTCGGATGCCACCCCCCCAAAAAAAAATTGGTACTCTACTATATGTATTGTTTTGAGACTTGAATTTTTAACTCAAAAATTCTATTTTGCATTGGTTCAAATAGATAAAGAATAGACGAGATAGCCAGTGAAGTGTTTTCTCTCAGTTCCACCAACCACCTAGTTCCTCTTCTCAGAGGCATTTAGTGCTGTTTATTTCTCATGCGTTCTTGCAGAGGTGTTTTATGCGTACACAAGCAAATACATGTTAGTGTTTTTCCCCGTCTTACACACACGGCGGCATCCCTCACACAGTGTTCAGTGCGTTTTTTCACTTAATAAATCATGAATACCATGCCAGATCAGAACATAAAGAGCTTCCTCGGTTTTAGAGCTCTGTAGCATCTATGATCTTACTCTTTACTATGAATATTTGTGGGACCATTTCTGTCAGTAATAATTCTATATCGTCATACTAAATGGCTTCATGGTATTCCCTTGTCTGGGCATACCAGAATTTAACTGCTCTCTTATTATTATACGTTTAAAATGTTTCCATTTCTTCACAACTAAAAATGGTGTCATGTCTGCTCACATGGTTATTTCCTTAGGTAAGTTCCTAGAAGTGGAATTGCTGTCTCAGAGGGTTTGAGAAATTCTAAAGCTTTTGAAGCATATTGCAAATTGCTCACCTGAAAGGCTGTATCAATTTCCTCTAGCATCATACGAGAATGTTTTCCTGCATCATTGCCAACATGGGGTATTATGATTTTTCAAAAGCATTTAAAAATGATGGTCATTTTGATAGGTGAAAAATGGTATCTTATTGTTCAATATGCATCTCTTTGATTATTAGTGAAGTTGAACCTTTTTTTTATTTTCATTAGTCTTCGGTATTTCTTATTTTATGCCTGCCAGTTTATATCCTTTGCCTGTGTTCTTGTGTTTTTTCTTACCAATTTGTAAGACTTCTAAGTAAGGACCATTTACTCTGATATATGGTGGAAGTATTTTCTCAGTTTGTCATTTGGTTACAAAGGGGTATAAATAATATGTTAAAGGTATCTGCAGGATGAAATTTAAATATCAAATTGTTCAGAAAGTTGCCTCTTTGAAAACTTGATTCTTGGTTCATTTCTTAGTCAGTGTAGCCTTTACTAAATAAAGAAAGTGGAAAATTTCCCTCTCCTCAGCTTTCTCTGACTAGAATGAAAACATAATTTGTCAGAGTTAGTTTAAAAATAGAAGATTTCTACCTTTAAAGGAGCTTTGAGACTTTTTTGCTTAATATTTTCATGCTTATAGTAGGTTATTATATAGCATAAAGTGGATTGTCACATATTACGTGTGTTGAAGCTTGTGTGAAGGCAAATGTTATCCTTTCTCAGTCTTTTTCAATTTTTCTAAGTTTTGTAGCAGGTTAAAAAGTACATAAACTACATAAAATAGAGATTCATATCCGCCATGTTAAACATTATGCCTTAGTGAAATATCTTATTGAAAGAAAAATAAAATTATCACCATGTAAGGTGTAAGCATTTGAATATTTTTCAGTTATTAAAATACAGGTTTTGAAAATAATTTGTTTACATGTTTACAGGAACCCTGGACCCTAGTTCTCCATACACTATGGTGTCACCAAGTGGACGAGCAGGGAACTGGCCGGGGTCTCCTCAAGTGTCTGGCCCCTCACCAGCAACACGCATGCCTGGAATGTCACCAGCCAACCCATCACTACATTCTCCAGTTCCAGATGCTTCTCATTCCCCTCGAGCTGGAACAAGTGAGTGTCATCAACTTTTTTATGTTTGCTTTTAGTATAACCAACAAACGACCTATTTTATTCCATCCTCACATTTGAAAGTCATGACCTATTTGTTGAATGGGGATGCTTAATAACTTAAACTTTATCCATTTAGTAAATTGGTTGTAATAATAGTTAATTTGCAAAGTCAGGCAAAATGTAAGAAAGAGAAATGTCTCCTCCAGAAGTCTTCTGAGGTGAGTCCCCGTGTCCCCGTACCTCTGTTATGACTACTAACTTAGCTATAGTACTAGACCTGAAAAGATACCTCAAGTTAACTGACAAGGTTATGCAAGTTAACACAGAAGAGAAGAATTGGACAAATATATTAGTTAGCTTTTGCTGCGTGAGTTTTAGTAGCTTCAAACAACAATCATATACTAGCTCACCATTCTGCAGGTTAGCAATTTGGGCTGAGCCCAGCTGGGCAGTTCCTCCAGGCTCTGCTGGACTCACTCTTGCATCTGCAGTCAGCTCCTGGGTTGTCTGGGGCCTGACTGGTCTAAGGTGGTCTCATACTTGATCACAGATTTGTTCACTGGTGGCTGGACAGGGTTCCAAGAAAGTAAATGGACGCCTAGCCTTGCAGCTGTCACCATGTCACTTCCACCACATTCTGTAGGCCACAGCAAGTTGCAGGGCCAGCCTGGATTCCAGGTAGAGAAACAGATTCCACCCCTTGAAGGAGTTGCTACAGAGTCACATTGCAGGGGACCTGGCTACAGGGAGGAGAGTGAGTGTGACTACTTTTGCTAACAGGAAGCTGATACACGATTGGTAAACCACAAGGAGTAACTAAAACAGTATGGATTGCTTTAGAATATCAAAGATTAGTAATAAAAGCAAAACAGAGAACAGTGAAATAGTATGTTTTTGTAAATTAAATGACATGTTTTCCTTCCCCAAAGGTTCCCAAACGATGCCAACAAACATGCCTCCGCCTCGTAAACTACCTCAGCGCTCCTGGGCGGCCTCCATACCTACCATCCTCACTCACAGTGCCTTGAACATTTTGTTGCTGCCCTCTCCCACGCCAGGCCTTGTGCCTGGCCTGGCAGGTAGTTACCTTTGTTCTCCGCTTGAGAGATTCCTTGGATCAGTCATCATGAGAAGACACCTTCAAAGAATTATTCAACAAGAAACGGTATGAGTCCCTAGTGAACTCCTAAGTGGTGACTGTCAAAGGCGAGTGCTAAATCACCCGGCAGAATAGGATCTGAACTAAAGTGATAGTCCCTCACCTCTTTTAGCCAGTTTGTTAGAATTGTGCTTCTCACCCTGCCCTGGCATTAAAAGTGGACTCCACTGTTTTCGTTTACATTTTTACATTAACATATTCCTGCATTTTATAGTTGGCTGTGCTGTGGCTAACGTGGACCTGGAGCTAGGTCCCCACAATACCATAGGACAAGTACGCCCAGGATCTGGCTTTGCAGACAATAGCATACAAGTAACTATTTCCCCTCTCAAATCCCCTTGCAGGCAGGCTGACTTTGAATCTGTTTCTCCATTGAAATAAAATTATTTATGATCCCAAGGATGAAAGCTACTTTTTAAATACATGAACAATTGAATTGGTTTCAAACTCTTATAGAAAATGACTTCTAACCTATCCTTTGGTGGTCCCCTTAGGAGATAGTTCAGAGTGGAGAGCAGCAGTTCTAGAGTCAGGCTACCTGGGTTTGTAGCCGGGCCATGCCACCTGCTAGTACAAGCTGGGGCAAATTTCTTCACGATTTTGATAATAGTAGATAATAATATCTACCTAACTCAGAACAATTGGGGGAATTTGAGATATTTTCTATAAAGCTCTTAGCATAATATCTTGGTATTTAATACATATTAGTTATTTATAATTATTAATATATGTATGTGTTAATGAGGTAGTCAGAATGGTGAATGTTTAAAATATCCACTCCATAGATGGCACCACGCTATTTTGCAACCTTCATGTTCAGATTTGAAAAAAATAGAAGTTTTAACATAAGTTGAATAAATTAGCCTTTAAAATGTTAATCATCAGACCTGTGATCTAGCCTCACCTCTGCCACTTACAAGCCATGTAAGCTTTCAGCTCTTTGAACCTCATCTGCAAATCAACATATTAGGCTAGAGCAGAGGTCAGTAAACTACAGGCCTAGTTTTAGGGGCCAAGTCCTGCCCTTCACCTGTTTTTGTAAATAAAGTTTTATTGGAACACAGTCACACCCATTCATTTACGTATTGTCTATGGCTGCTTCCAGCTGTGATGGCATCATTAAGTAGTTGCAGCAGAGACCATACAGCCTAAAATATTTACTCTCTGGCCCTTTACAGAAAAAGTTTGCCAACCCCTGGGCTAGCATAAGGTTCCACTCCAGCTAACATTTTGTAATTGAACTCTATTCTTTTTTTCTAATGTGCCATTTCTTAAAAACTTACTGTGAAAAATTTTAAGGATATACAAATGTTGAGAGAATAGTATAATGAACCTCTACCTCTATGTTCTCATCACCCACCTTCAACAGTGAACTCATACCAATATTGTTTCAGCCATAGCTCCTCCCCCTAGATAGTTTGACAGCAAATCCCAGACATCATTTCATCCCTAAATACAATTTCTTTATCATCAAATGTCTAGTTGGTGTCCAGATTTCCCAAGTTGTCAGTTTTTACAGTCTGAATCAGAACCCAAACAAGTTTTTAAGTTCCTTTTAAACTGTAGGTTCCCTCTCCATTTCTCCTTATACATTTTATCTGTTGAAGAAAGCATATCATTTATCCTGTAGGGTTTCTCACAGTCTGGATTTTGCTGATCGTATCCCTTTGGAATCATTTAACATGTTCTTTTGACTCCCATATTTCTATAATATTGATCAATCCTACGGATCTAACTACTGAATTCAGGCTCAAGTTTGTTGTTTTGCAAGAATATTTCATAAGTGGTGTTATGGTCTGCCATCAGGAGTCACTTACTGTCTGATTGCCTTTCTCTGTGCGATGTTTTTAGCAATTATCATTGCTCAGTGCCTAGATACCTTTGTTTTAGAACAGGTATCAACTTAGTTGTTTTCCTTTTCAAATGACTCTCTTGGCAACATTTCATTTTCTCTTTGTCTTACATGTTGTCTCACATGTTAATTTGATGCATCCTTCTTGTTTTGTAGCTACAGCTGATAAATTCCAATGAACCTGGAGTGATCATGTTTAAGACTGATGCACTGAAATGCAGAGTAGCCCTTAGTCCCAAAACCAACCAAACACTTCAGCTAAAAGTGACACCTGAAAATGCAGGGCAGTGGAAACCTGATGAACTCCAAGTTTTGGAGAAATTCTTTGAAACAAGAGTATGTGTTTATTAATGCATTGTAATTTCATTATAATCAGTGTAACAGAAGAGTCAAGGTAGAATGAAGAGTAACTTGTATTTATCCCTGTAGGTTGCTGGACCGCCATTTAAAGCCAATACATTGATAGCTTTCACCAAGCTGTTAGGAGCTCCTACACACATCCTCAGAGACTGTGTGCATATTATGAAGCTAGAGCTGGTAAGTCACAGAGAAACACACTTTTATAGCCAGGTCTGTCTGAGGAGGTTGGAGTTGGTGGGAGCAGTGTTTGTTGGTTTTCACCCACTTGTGTACTTCCATTTTTCTTTTAAATTCTTTTTCTTCTTTTAAGTTTTTTTTTTATTTTTTTCCTTTTTCTCCCCAAAGCCCCCTGGTACACAGTTGTATATTTTTAGTTGTGGGTCCTTCTAGTTGTGGCATGTGGGACGCTGCCTCAGCGTGGCTTGATGAGCAGTGCCATGTCCGTGCCCAGGATTCGAACCGATGAAACACTGGGCCACCTGCAGCGGAGCGCACGAACTTAACCCCTCGACCATGGGGCCGGCCCCTTTCTTTTAAATTCTTAATTTTTAGCTTAAACTTCGTCCTTGAATAAGTAACACAATCCTCTTGTATCTTTTGAATTTAGAACAAGATGATAGAGTGGGAAGTTTCCCACCCATCCCTGTCCAGCCATCTAGTCCCCCTCCCCACAGGTAACCTGAGTTGCCAGTGGCTTACCTCTTACAAAAGCAAATAAATTTAATATACTCTTCCTACTCCCAGATAATGAAATAATCCTCCCATGGTTTCTTCTAATACTGTTAGGGATTCATTTTTTAAATTATTTAAATTTTTGATCCATTTTAAATATATCTTAGTGTCAGATGTGAGGTATGGATCCAACTTTTTCAGATGCCCCCAATTACCCTAATACCATTTATCGAAAAATCTATCTTCTCTTGGGAGATTATTTTTAATTCCTTTTCTTTCCTATGAAAGTATAGAATTATATAGATGGAATCCAGGTGGCAGCTGATTATATTTTTCCAATCTCACAGTAGTCCTTTCGTTTTAATGTTTCTAGTATTGCTTAGGGTAATTCCAAATACCTCTCTCCTTTTCTCAGTTGGTGTTTTACTGTTAATATTGGGACAACAGTGTTCCTTTGCTAATAGTCTCAACATTAGGCTTCTGTTCTGATAGGCTATAGGAAAGGTTATTTGTATCAAACAGAAATCCATTTGACTTTTTAAAGTAGTAAATATTTATGTGGCTGGAAAAGCACCAGTGAATATTATATAAAATTATTAACACAGTTTAACTACTATGTTTTAGGGAAGGAGTAGGAAATGAGACTGGAAAGTCTAGGTTGGCACCAGTTACGAAGGGCCTTGAAGGCCAGGTCTTGGTCCTGGTGGGGTGGGAGTGGGGGAACATATGTCACTGCATTTAACTGAACATTTGTGAACTAGATAAAAACCATGCCCTAGGACATGTGTCTGGCAGTGGTATAAGGATGGACTGGGAGAAGCAGCCACTGGAAGGGACTGGGACCATTAGGGGGCTGCAGGAGAAGTCATGAAGCCCTGAGCTTGGTGGCATCAGTGAAAATAGAGAGGAGGGAACAGATGTCAGAGACACTAAGGAAGCAGCATCCATAGGCTTTGGGAATTAATGAAGTGGGAGGGAAGGTAGGGGAACTTATCACACAAATCCAGAGTTGACTTTTCACTAACTTCACATATATATTTCCTTTGAAAAAATGTAGATTATCAATTTTATGTTCCGTTGTTAATTGAGTATAAAATAAAATTCTTTCTAACCTTTTAGACTCCTATACTCCAATATAATTTTAAATTTTCATATGATTTTATCATGATTTTTTTTTTTAAACAGTTTCCTGACCAGGCAACACAGCTAAAATGGAACGTTCAGTTTTGCCTGACGATCCCTCCCAGCGCACCACCGATTGCACCTCCTGGGACGCCTGCCGTGGTGCTAAAATCCAAAATGCTATTTTTTGTAAGTACCACCCGGCATGTGTGTGTGTGCAGAGCTTCTGAGGAAAAAGCCATGTGAGGATAATAGAGCAACTTTTGGTTAACTGCAGAAATTATCTTTGCTGCCAAATAGAGGCCCAGATGCCTTAATTGTCAGTTTAGACTTAATGTAATCCTGGTTCCTTTAGTAATAACAGACTTGAACTAGATTATTGTGTGACATAGTTGCATCTTAGTCATAATATTCAGTTGTTTGTCACTCTTGTCATATTTAATTTTCTTTTGCTTGATGTATCTTAATCTGACAGTAGAGTAAATGATAGTACCGTTGATAAATTTAGTCAAATATTTTATTTTCTTATTATGTTTTTATTCTCTTTGTGTGTGTTGTGTGTCTGCAGCTTCAACTAACTCAGAAAACATCGGTCCCTCCCCAAGAACCTGTTAGTATTATAGTTCCAATCATTTATGACATGGCTTCAGGTACAACCCAGCAGGCAGACATTCCCAGACAGCAGAACTCTTCTGTTGCTGCTCCCATGACGGTCAGCAACATTCTGAAGAGGTTTGCAGAGATGAACCCACCACGACAAGGTACATGACCAGTAGATGGTATTTTATTGCGTATATGTTATAAAAGTTCTTTTGAGAGATTCCCCCTTCTCCCCTCTGCTCCCTCTTTACCCACCTCACCCCCCAATCCTAGTAGTAGAGCTCTGGTTGCCCTGGCCCTCTTGATGTCTGCCTGTCGCTTTCTTCCTTCCTCACTGGTTCTTCATTTTTGTCCATGTCTCTGCTGCCTGGACTTTATTTTTGTTAGTGATTTACTGTTGGGACTGACCCAGTTGCTAATGCCAGAAGCTTGTATTTATAGCACACATTGCCACAAAGCCCTAGGTTAGGATGATAGAATTTTCCATGGCTGTGAATTCCTGCCCTACCATCAATACTTGCCAGTCTGTACATCACCACGTTGAAATGCATGTGGATTTCTCATATTTCATGGTTCGATCACGAGTAGAGTAATACCATTCAAAGTTCTGTATCTTCTAAATGTTTTGTGAAGAATAAAAGCTGTGAAGAACAAACGGCATCACTGCTTTTTGGGCTTCTTACAGAAGTGTCAGGCGGGTGCAAGTGAAGCTTTTCACCAAGTGCATGATGAAGCTCTCAAACCGAACATTTTCCAGGAACCAGAATGTTTCTGGCAGACAAACAAGGTCCCTCCAATACTGTAGTAGCCTACGCTTAACATGTAACTCCTGGCACTGCTAAATTTTTTGGTTACAAAACATAAAGCTCAGCAAAGAGAACTTTTCTTCCATTTTGCTTATTTTTAATATTAAGGACATTAAATTTTGCTCATTTCTAATATTAAGGAAGTCCTCGATATCTTTCAGTTTAGAATAGTATGATAACAAAACTGTGTTTTTAAATGAGGGGAAGTTGTTCTCTGAAACATTTTTAGGTACCACAGTCAAATTTTACTAGACACAGGAATCATGGGAGAAGTCGTTTCTAGTTGTTTGTTTCCCCATGTTGTGCACGTAGGCGAGTTCTCGCTCACGTGCGGTCTATGAGGAGTGCACTGGGCAGTGGAGAAGGTATGCTGCTTTTGTTGTGATACTTCTTCTGCTTCTTACAATTTCCTGCTTTCATCCTTTGACTTATCTCTTCTTTCAGCTAAAAATGGGTCTTTAAAAATCAAAGTTTAAAGCTATCAGAATTTTCAAAGTAGCAGTCCGGTAAAACTTTGCTAATAAACACCGTTCCTTCATAAGCAGATGACTATCATTATAATGTCTTGTAGAATTTAAAATTAAAAGGAAAGAATGTTTTGATCCTATTGAGATCAAGCAAGTTTTTCTACCTATCAATAATGAAGATGTGTTTTTAAAAAAGAAAAAGATATAACTTCCCCTTTGATTTAAGAAATTGTGATATTTTGGAAGTGTTTTTCTTTTGTTCTTTTATTTCTGCCTTAGACTGGGCAAACCTTTTGGATTTCATTTTCTTTCTGTACCTTAATTTTCCAGTGGCTGGAGAGAAGGTTGCAGTACTGTGCACAGGGTCACTGCACATCCTGCCCTTTGCCAGAGGCCGTTATTCAGCTGAGGCCTTCCGTTCTCTCACTTGCAGCCACTGTAGTGTTAGGCTGTGCTCTAGGGAAGAGATCCAGCTTTTGGTTTATCATAGTTACAACTGGTTTTGGTTTATTATATTTAAATATATGTAATATTTATAAGAAGTAACAGGCAGGGTATTTGGTTTCTTTGAGCAAAGGGGAAATTGAGAGGATGACTCATGAGCCTCCCTTCACCCCTAACAGATCTTGTTTCTGGATTGTTGCTGTGCCATACTTCAGCCTCCCTCCCTTCCTCCCAAACCCATCACTTCCCCCCACTGGTGAAGTGCTTTTAAGAAAAATCACTTTATTTTACATTAATTGATTTTAATGTTGAACTCCAGAAGTTGACCATTTCCTTGAAATTTGGGAGAAAACTCCAGTAGATGTCATAGAACTGCACTGTCCAATATGACTACCACTAGCCACATGTGGCTATTTAAATTTAAGTTAATTAAAATTAAACAAAATTTAAAGTTCTGTTCCTCAGTCACACTTCCTACATTACAAATGCTTGGTAAGCTACGGTGCACATACAGAATGTTTTCATCGTCACTGAAAGTTCTCTTGGACAGTCCTGTCATAGACATTTTTACCTGGCCTTTAATGCAGCATTAGAAGGACATCATTAATGCTGTAACTAATGCATAAATATAAACGAGATCTTTTCATTAGTTTCAAAATGCATAAGCAAGTTGTCAGTAGCCTTGAAGCCCAACTTCAACGGCTTATCCAATGCTCCAGTGTTTCTATAGAGAAACTCTAGGCATATCTTCTTAAATTCAAATCTAACTGGGACTGGCCCAAAATGTCCTCATGAGGAAAAAGAAAATCCAAAACAAATATCATTTGATACGTAACACCAAAACTTAATCCCCTATAACCTGTGCAGTTAAAATTTAGTCTTTTATTTTGATCTTTAAAGTTCTTGCTAATTTTAGAGTTAATTACCCCTACCCCCACCGGTGTGTTAACATCATCTTTCCTGTGTTGCGAATAGCTAATGACCATTTTTCTCTGTTGCAGGTGAATGCACAATATTTGCAGCTGTTCGTGATTTAATGGCTAATCTTACACTGCCCCCTGGTGGGCGTCCATAGACACTATTGTTTTTAAACCAGGAAGGCTGACAAATGAGACAAAACAACAAAAAAAAAAATCTGAACTCAGCCTTCAGTTTAAAAAAGAAAAAGGACTTTTTTGACTTTCAGTGGTTAATATTCTAAACTGGCAAAAATTTTCAGGGTGCACTTCTTTCATCAAAAAGACCATCAGTCTTTTGTATAGTGAACTTGTATAGTGTGTTTAAATGGGACACATTTCAAACTAGGTAATATGTCAGTGTCCGCTTGCCAGTAATAGATTTAATATTCTGTTTTATACTATAAAGTTATGGAAATGCCAATCTTGTTTATTTAATTGTTTTCTTATGTTTTGGGTGTAATAGTCCTTTTTTGGTTTCGTTTTGTTTTTTAAGGCAGGTCTGTCATTTTTGAATACTGTAAAACTGTGATAAACTTTATATTGAAGCTGTATTTTAATATGACCGCTTTGGATCCTTACATGAAAATGTTCTGGGAGTTGTTATAAACTCATCCCAAGGAAGCAATATTTAATAAAACTAGGTAAAAAAAAAACAAACAAACAGTGACACTCACTTGTGTGTATATCAGCTCTATAGACTTCTCAGGGCCTCCCTTCATCTTTAACCTGGTGGGGCCAGTAATTAATTTCTAATGATACGTGTCTGAAATTTGACCAAAAACATCTGCTTCTTTGTTTCAAGGTTAATTTATTTTCTTCAGATATTCCTAACTTGACTGGTGGTGAACATTTAGCACCTTGGTTGTCTTTCACAGTAGGATTTGGGGGAAAACGAGAAAGAACCCAGTCTTTGAGAAAAGACAGTGAGTAGTTCATATTGATCAACGATCCCAAATACTGTAATCATTCTCATCTGTTGAGGATTTGGGAACTTTTCAGTTATCCTGTAAGACTCAGTTTACAGGATACTTCTGCATACAGCACTAATTAGGAAACAAAGAATTTGAACACAGCACCCTTGCATGAAATTTCTATGACGTTTCTTTATCTTGCTTAACTTCTCCCCCTTGCCTTTCCTACCAAAATTGGGGTTGTTCTAAACAATCTCAATTTAATTCATTGTCAACAAAATGATAAAACGTTTTGTTTGGAAGAAGCCTGGTACAGTCCTCTCACTTTGAAGAATCCAAGATCCAGGGCCTGTCCAGGGGCAAATGGAGATTCTGGTACTGACACATCTCGGCAGAGTTTCTCTTTGGAGTACTGTGCTGTCTCTCCCAGTCAGTCAGGGACTTTTTTAAGCTTCAAAGAACATGATTGGAAGCAAAGGTCTTCTGGTGACTTGATGTTATTTGGAAGAGTTTTTAAAATGGTAATACCATGCTGAGTTATCTGATCACTGTAATATTTGTTCTCCAGTAAATTTTAGATGCTTTGTCTAAATCCATTTTAAGCTGATTTGAGCTTCTGTAACTATCAGCTACCAAATTCTAGTTTCAAGCATCTCACTGCAGCTGTATCATATCTGTTCTCAACTTTGCTTGATTCTCCACTCATTTCTGGTCAGAGTTGAGGCCTTCTTCGCCTTTCTTCTTTATCTTCTGCATTCATCTCCTGCTTCTTGCCCAACTCTGCCACTAGTCAGGAGCAGGTGACTAAACTTTTATCCTTCCTTTAACTTACCTTTTATCCTTCTGTTTTCAGTTCTCCTTTCAATGGTAATCACATAGGTTTGGCAGTCTGAGATGTCTTTATCAAGGGTCAGCCCTTCTTTATTTGCAGCTGAATCCTTTCTTTCATGTGGAAATCTACATGTATATACAAGAAAATGTATTTTTATCCGCAGGATAATATTGTCTCAAATTAATTAATAGTTAACTTTTCAAGTATTTTCCATTTTAAGTGTGGTTTGGAAATGTTAATTGCATTTTTAAACATGATGCATTCAGTGGACACTTTTTTTCCTCATTATAACTCATCTCTGAATGCATTGTGCAAATCAAAAGTAAGACAGGATTCAGTGAACAGAATTTGCTTTTGATGCTTATGAACAGTAAACCCAGGAATACGAATTTTGATATCATGCTTGGTACTTGGAATTGGTATACACTTTATTAAAGCCTGAAAACATTAGCATTCAAATCTTAGGTTTCATCACAAACCATGTCTTTTTGCCTCTTTTGTTACCCAGGTTCAATCAAAGGCACTGGATGCCCATAGCGATTTTTCCTAATAGGTGGTTTGGGTCTTAACTTTAAGGTGTTTTCAATGTGATTCTAGTAATTTCAGTAATGAATAAAACTTACACAAGTTTCAGAGAACTACCAACTCTCTCTAGTTAATTTTTATGATGATGTTTTGGATAGTAGTCTGGTTTAGTGTTAGTTTAACCTTGAAGGAAGAAATTGGTCTTGATTGGCACCTTCTTTTTTCCGTCTGCTGAAATGCTGTTTCAGAATCTATAGACGTACTTTCAGAATTAGAGAGGGAGAAAGAGAAAATTTCAACACAGCATATCAAGTTATTAATAACAGGCTGAACCTTATGTTTGAAAACTAACTCTGAGTGAGCTAATGCAAGCATAAACTAAACTATACAGGATTTGAATATAAATACCACTAATAGCTTTACTATGTTGCAGTTAACACAGTAACCTGTTCAGCCACAGGATACTAACAGTTTATTAGGCATTCTTTGGACCATGGTTAATTTGATAACTTCAAGAGGTATAATTTTGCTGCTCTAAATTTAGATCCAATTCCAACTTAAAAAGTTGTTCCTTTCTTTCATGATTTTTCCCCCAAAGAAATACCTATTACATTTCACTTTAATATTTATCATCCAAATGTTCTTCATATAAAATCAATATACAGAAGATTTTAAGAGAATTTATGTTCAGGGAACTTAAGGGACAGAAAGGGAAAATGTTAATGTATATTTCATTGTTTCTTGTGGAATTTTCTTTTTCATTTGGTTTGATGGGAGTGGATAGTGTGTCTAAGGGAATGATTTGAAATTTACTTAGGGGGCTGGCCCCGTGGCCGAGTGGTTAAGTTCGCGCGCTCCGCTGCAGGCGGCCCAGTGTTTCGTTGGTTCGAATCCTGGGCGCGGACATGGCACTGCTCATCGGACCACGCTGAGGCAGCGTCCCACATGCCACAACTAGAAGGACCCACAACGAAGAATACACAACTATGTACCGGGGGGCTTTGGGGAGAAAAAGGAAAAAATAAAATCTTTAAAAAAAAAAAAAAAAAAAAAGAAGTTTACTTAGGATGGATTTAGTACTGAGGTTATTAAGAAAAAATTAGCCGAGGCCAGCCAGCATTGTGCTATGCAACTCCAGGAGACCGTGATCTGCTCACAATTTTCTATAAATTGCCTCCACTTCCAAGTGGCCGTTGATTTGTTAAAATACCTTTGCCCAGAATATGACTGATTGATGAAAGGGCACATTTAGGTCAATATAAAATAATAGCTAATATTTACTGAGAGCTTACTATTACCAGGCACTGTTCTAAGTATTTCAATGTGTTTTTAATCCTCACAACAACCCATTGGGCTAGGTATTAATATTAAAGAATATTAATAGTCATCCTTTTACAGATGAGGAAACCGAGGTCCAGAGAAATGAAGTAATTTGCTAGGATCAAATTAAGTTTGCCTAAGATCAGACAGCTAAGAAGGGGCAGTTTGAGTCCAGAGCTAGCGCTCCTAAACACTGCGCCACTTTGCTGTGAACCACGGAGTCAGGGGAAGACTTCAACGTTTAGACTCTTCCCTCAAAGCCTTTTGACTACACGTAAATTTTAACTTTTTTTGCAAGCTCAAGAAGCTCAATAAAAGCAACTATAACTGACATGACTTCTTGTCATTTGGAGTTGACGATCCATTGCCTTCTGACCCTCCTGCCACTTGGCATTTAACTAAGACTGCCTTATGCAAGGAGCGCTAATTATCAGATAACCAAGAGTACTAAATAGTCATCATCTAAGCTCGATGCTTCAGGACCATCGCGGAAGAAGCCATTCTCCCGCTGGAAGCGGTACAGCTCTCCAGAGTCCAGGTGATGCGTGGTCCTGTTTGCCTCTGCTAGGTGGCCCAATGGCAGATATTTTTGAGCTTTTTCTCACCTTGGCACACCACAGGTGCTATTTTGCGCGACACACATTTCACTAATGCCCCTATTCACTACAGCCAATCTGTGGGTTTAGGAGCCAGTTAAGTAAATTTTATAGAATTGTATAATGCAAGGAACACATGTAGTTCAAGAAGTGTGCCTTGAGCACCTTCTGTGTTTCACGGACATCTAGAGAGGGAGTCGAATCGGGGGCCAGCGGGGTCTCAGATGGGGGGAACAGAGAAGGGAGTGTGAGAGTTTCAGGTAGAGGCTTTCTGGGCAAACACTGGGCAAGTACTCCCCGGTCTGTTGTCACCTAAGGCTGGGGTGGGGCCGACGTGCCGAGGAAGCCAGAGGGCCCCGCCCTGGGGCTCGAGGACGCCGCGCGGCGCGCTGTACCAGCCCCGCCCTGCGCGTGGGGGCGGCCTCCGGGCGGGGCCCCGCTGACGGCTCCGTCCAGGCTTCTGCGCCTGCGCGCTGCCGCCCGCCCCGCCCCTCTCCCTGTATCCTCTGGCGCCCCATCGGGCCATGGTGCCGTCCGAGCTGGCCGCGCGCCTCAACTGCGCCGAGTACAAGAACTGGGTGAAGGCGGGCCACTGCCTGCTGCTGCTGCGCGGCTGCCTGCAGGGCTTCGTCGGCCGAGAGGTGCTCGCCTTCCACCGCGCGCTGCTCGCCGCCGCCCCCGGCCTGGGCCCCCAAGCCGCCTGCCGCAGCGGCTCGCGGTGCAGCCCGCGCGCCCGCCAGGTGAGCACCTGGACCGGGGCCCCGGCCACCGCCCTCCACCCCATCCCCGTCCCCCACCCCGTTCGCGAGCGCAGTGTCCCGTGCCCTCCCTGGGGCGCGGCCGACTGCAGTGCCCGGGGCTCGGATACCCAGACGCGCCCCTCCCTTCGGGGCCCCTCCTCACCGCCGCCCCTTGTAGTTTCAGCCTCAGTGTCAGGTGTGCGCAGCGTGGAAACAGGAAATTTTGAAACATCATACCAACAGAAATGGAGACGTCTACTGGGGAAACTGCCGGCCGGGCCGCTGGCCCGTCGACGCCTGGGAGGTAGCCAAGGTAAGCACCTGCGGTCGAGAGGGTAGGAAGAGGTGACTCACCAGGTAGGGGTCAGCTGGAGCCCTGGGCGTCTGTGGACTCTGTGTGGAAGCCTGGGCCTCAGAGACAGATGCAGAGAGAGAGATTGGGTCTTTGATCTAGGAGGTTCAGGGCTGTTATCTTGGACCCAAGTCAGCTTAGTGAAGTAAGTGGAAGCTTTCTTCTACCTGGCTGCCTCCTGCAGGCATTTGAGTTAGCTACTCCTGCTTAGATAGCAAAGGTTTCAACAAGGAGATGCTGGGGCAAGATGTAGAGCGAGCATCGCGAGCACGGGCAGAGGGGGAAGCATGTGAGGCGTTTTTGAGGGTAGCTCATTTTGGGTATAGGGTGCCATGAGGATGGCAGAGAAACCAAGAGAAGTTAGGGCTAAAATAGAAGGGACCTTGGGGCTGGCCCCGTGGCCGAGTGGTTAAGTTCGCGCGCTCCGCTGCAGGTGGCCCAGTGTTTCGCTGGTTCGAATCCTGGGCGCGGACATGGCACTGCTCATCAAACCACACTGAGGCAGCGTCCCACATGCCACAACTAGACGGACCCACAACGAAGAATATACAACTATGTACTGGGGGGCTTTGGGGAGAGAAAGGAAAAAAAATAAAAATCTTTAAAAAAAAATAGAAAGGACCTTAAGTACTCAGCGAGGGGATACAACTTTGGGGAGGTGGGGGTGGGGTAGGCAGCCAGAAGGAGACTATTAGGCCTGTTTTCAGGTCTTGGCAATTTGACTTACTAGCTGGGCTGATTGCGGAATTTTAACTTTTTTTTTTTCTTTGCTAAGGAAGAGTCTCCCTGAGCTAACATCTTTTGCCAATCCTCCTCTTTTTTTGCCTGAGGAAGACTAGTCCTGAGCTAACATCTGTGCCAGTCTTCCTCCGTTTTTTTTTGTTTTTTTTTTCGGTGTGTGGAACACCTCCACAGCATGGCTGGTAAATGGAATAGGTCTGTGTCTGGGATCTGAACCCGTGAACCCAGACCGCCTAAGTGGAATGCAGAACTTTAACCACTCAGTCACGGGGCCGGGGCCCAGAATTGTAACTTTTTCGTGTTTGCCAGGTCAGTAGGGGGTGAGGAGGGGCAGTCAAAGGGGCCTCGTAACACAAATTAACTTTGGGAGTCAGTCAGTCTGCATGCTAGTTAGCCACAGGCAGCTTCTGTGGTGTGACATTGGGCCAGCCTCTGTTCCCTAACCTCAAATGAGGAAGTTGGACTGTATCAGTGAACCCCAGACTTTTGGCTGTCATGGACCAGTAAACCCACCATATCTACACCCTCCCGGGTTTTTTTTTCATTGCCAACTTCTGTCTTTACTTAGAAAAGAAAAAAACAAAACTCTACCCTTTTCTGTGACTGTCCCTCACTTGTTTGGTCTCTGTTGCTGCTTTCATACCCTCAGAATCCTCTTGAAGCCCATGCCACCCTTTCACCCTCTTCATTGCTGTCACCTGCAGACCTAGTCCACCTCCCATCCTCTCAGTTCCTGGGCTCCCTGCTCTAGCATCTTCTGGTCCACTCCACCTCAGCCTCCCACTTGCATGCTCACACCTGGACCGTGTCAGCACAGGAAGTCGCAGTGTCCAACATCTTGCTTGCTTGCCCTTGGTGCACTTATTCAAACACCCTCGCCCCACCCCTTGCCCAGCTTCCACATCTTTTTTTTTTTTTTAAAGATTTTATTTTTCCTTTTTCTCCCAAAGTCCCCTGGTACATAGTTGTATATTTTAGTTGTGGGTCCTTCTAGTTGTGGCATGTTGGATGCCGCCTCAGCATGGCCTGACAAGTAGCTCCATGTCTGTGCCCAGGATTTGAACTGGCGAAACCCTGGGCCACCCAAGCAGAGTGTGCGAACTTAACTACTTGGCCACTGGGCCGGCCCCTCGCTTCCACATCTTTGAGGCTTCCACTGCTTTCCCAATACTCAGCAACTTCTGCCCTTCTGGCTCCCTTTGTCTCCTTAGCCAGCCCAGATTCCACGGTCCATCATTCTCATCAGTCCCTTGCAGTCATTTTGGCCTTTTTTCTCCTTTCCGTGAACTTGCCTGGCCCAACTCCAGCCCTGATGGCACCATCATCTGCTTCTACTCGGGGGAAGACTCTCACAAGGGAGCTGACTGGTTTCACTTTCAGTTCATGATCACGAGCCCTAACGGTCTGGCCATGTCTTTCCATAGGCTCCTGTTCCTCTACCCTCACTCCCAGCTGCTAACCTGGCTCCCACTTCTTGGAGTCGAATGCCCCCATGTACGTGCTGCCTTGTCTTTTTACCAGACCCACCAACCTGCCTTCATGTGCTCCATATTCTTCCTTCTGCTACAGAGGAGGAAGGGCGTCTCTCCTCTTATCACTCCGTCCCTCCCCTTGTGTGTTGGACCTTGTCCCTTCCCACCTGCCAAGGACTTTGAGTCTTCAGTTAGCCACTCTTCCTCCCTCCCAGCTTATTTCCGTCACCATCCAAATAGCTTTAATATTGCCTCGGTTTATTTAATTTTTAAGAAGTAAAAGATTAAACAGAGTTACTATATGACCTAGCAATTCTACTCCTAGGTATATACCCAATGAAATGAAAACATACGTCCGCACAAAAACCTGTGCACAAATGTTCATAATAGCGTTATTCACAACAGCCAAAAGGTAGAAACAACACAAATGTCCATCAGCTGCTGAATGGATAAGCAAAATGTGGTCTATCCACACAGTGGAATGTTATTCAGCCATAAAAAGGGGTGAAGTACTGACCGTGCCAGAGCATTGGCTGAACCTTGAAAATGTTATGCTAAGTGAAAGAAGCCAGTCGTATATTGTATGATTCCATTTACATGGAATGTCCAGAATAGGCAAATCTCTATAGACAAAAAATAGATTAGTGGTTGCCAGGGCCTGGGGGACAAAGCGGGTAATAGCTAATGGGTAGAGGGTTTCTTTTTGGGGTGGTGAAGATGTTCCAACATCAACTATGATAATGTTTGCACAACTCAATGAATATACTAAAAACCACTAAACTGTACACTTTAAAAAAAATTTCTATTGAGGTATAATTAGCATATAACATTATGTTTCAGGTGTACAACCTAATGATTAGATGTTTGTCTATATTGTGAAATGATCACAATAAGTCTAGTTAACACTGGTCACCATACATGGTTACAAAAGTTTTTCTTTCTTGTGATAAGGACTTTTAAGATTTACTCTCTTAGCAACTTTCAAATATGTGATACAATATTGTTAACTGCAGTCGCCATGCTGTACATCACATCCCCACGACCTATTTATAACTGGAAGTTTGTACTTCTTGACCTCCTCCACCCATTTTGTCCACCCCCCACCCCCTGCCTCTGGCGACTATTCTCTGTATCTGTGAGCTCGATGTTTTGTTTTGTTTTGTTTTGTTTTAGGTTCCACATGTGAGTGAGGTATTTTTCTCTCAGACTTATTTCACTTAGTGTAATGCTTCTCAAGCAGGACTCAGTGCATCTGTCCCCACGAAAACTGCGCCCATGCCCCACCACCAGCCAACCACAGTAATTCTTGTTGCATCTCTTCCCCTCTCACTAACCTGTTTGTTTGTACCTGCAAAATATTTTTGGGCTCTTCCTTCTCTCCATCTGCGCATCACAACTCTCACCGTCTCCTGCCTGGCCTCCGGCTGCAGCCACCTCCCGCCTCTGCGGCTCTGGTCCCCTCTGGTCTGTTCACACAGCAGGGTGGTCTTCAAGTGGGAATTGGACCATTTTCTTCCCTTGCCTAAAACCCTTGGATGGCTTCCTGATGTCCTTGGAAGAAACTCCAAACTCCTTTCCAGAGCCAGTAAGGCCCAGCATGATCTGGCCCCTGTTTGCTTCTCCAGCCTTGTCTCCTACTACTCAGTGAAGAAACGGTAGAGGGTAGTGTGAGGCAGTCGGGTGTGTTGCTCGCCACTGTGTGTTTACCATATGGAACACGGTGGAAGTGGTACAGTTTTCAGAAATAGCTTTCCGTGGCAAGGAGGCAGCAGAGCCTCCCTCCCTGTCGCCGTCTAGTTCTGAAGAAGCGGAGTAAGTACTAGAATGAAACTTGAACGTGGAAGAGACAGGTTTCTATCAGTGAGAAGATGCCAGACAGGACATACGTTACAATGGAAAGCAAACCTATGCTTGGTTTTGAGGCCCCTCTAACTTTGGATTTTCTTCTCAGCCACAGGTGAAGTAAGCGACCTTTCTTTTCTTCTGTTTTATTGAATTAGTGTGGCATGTTAGTTAACTTCTTTTTAACATCTGTAGCGTCCATAATAGGCTTCTTTCAGAGGGTCGGCCTGTCCCTGGCTGTTAAGACGTAGAAAGACAGTGATAGTACGGCTGCTGTACCTTTTGATAGGGGCCATTCAGTGTATATAAAATGCTGAATGACGTGAGGTTCGGGTGCAGCATTCCACCGCCATCAGGAAGACAGCCCTGCCTCTCCTTGGGGCGTGTCGGCAACTACCACAAGTCTCTGAAATACCAGCACGAGAGGGACTCGAGGAGGCATTGTGGCTGCTTGCCTACTGAAACGTGTTTTCAAGGGAGCAAGTCTCTATCCAGAGTTCTTATTGTGAGGAGTTTTTCATAGTCCTCTTTTCTAGTCCCTTGGCAGGAAGGTACTCTTGGCTTCTTAGCTTGTTAAAATCGTTGCATTCAGAAGTAAATTCGGAAATATTTCAAGAAAGAAATATGCCCAGGCCTTGCTATAACACCATTTTTGGGGTCCATGCCCTAAAAGCCTACAAACGGCAAGATCATGCTAGAATGAGGCCCTTCTGGTGTATCTAGTATCTCAAGCCTGGGGGTCCATCTGTAACTCCTTTGTAGGTCCTGCTCACCTTGCACCATCAACATGCTTGCCAACATTTCTGGGCTGTTTGTTAGCATGTGCCAGGCACCGTTCAAGTGCTTTACCCGCATTAACTCATTGAATTCTCGGAACATCCTTTGAGGTCAATGAGGACAGTTATCCTCCATTTACTGGTGAGGAATCTGAGGATAAATAACTTGCCCAAAGTCTCGCAGTTGGCAAGTGGCAGAGCTGGGATTTGAACCAGCCCAGACTCTTAACTTTATACTACCATACGTAACTTTCTCAAGTCATTTTAAAGTGTCCACTTTGGAGTAACTATTATTTTTAAATTTTAACTCTTCTTTAACAACTCAGCCACTGAAACTTCAGTAAGGAAAAGAAAAAAAGTGCATACTACCCATGCTTCCTGCTCTTATGTCCTTAAGAAAGGACAGAAAACCAGTTATGTCAGTGGTCTCTAATAGCAGAGGGACAGATAGAGCCACTCTTCAGTTATTGCCCTTGGCCGAGGCTCAGCTGTCACAGTTTCCTGACTTGTGTTTTGGACTCACGAGGCTCTAACTTGAAACCTCAGTAAGAGAATTTCAGTCACCATTTGGGAAACAAGCCAATAACCTTTGCCCCACCTACTCCTGGAGTTGGAGGAGACTGATGCCCCTTGTGCCTCCCCTACTACAGGCCTTCATGCCCCGAGGACTGGCAGACAAAACAGGCCCCGAGGAATGTGATGCAGTTGCTCTTCTAAGTCTCATCAACTCCTGTGATCACTTCATGGTTGATCGGAAGAAAGTCACAGAGGTAAGAGCTGTCAGATTTAAAACCATACAGTGAGAGTCAGGTCGGTACCGTGAAGACCAGCCAAGAAACACCCTGGGATGCTAAGTGGGCGGTGCAGACATAGCTCACAGTTTCTCCCCAGAACAGTGGTGTGCACAGAAAGTTAGGCTTTGGTTCAAAGTTGGCATCGTTAAGCAGGCTAGCGGGGCTCACATTAGGTGCACCTTCCATGATGTCCAAGAACCCCCGTGCGAATTGAAGTTTCCCAACAGCCTGCTGTTGTACTTTTGCTGCTAAAATAGATGAACCTCAGATTTCTCTTCCCTGTTCTGCCATAAACAGAAGCAAAGTAATTTTCCATGTTAAAAAAAAGATACAGAGCAGTGCATCCTTCTGTCTGTTGTATGCTAGCATTTGAATCCTGCCCTTTGAGTCTCATTGGCTAAACAGTTGAGAGATCAAGTTACATAGAACTGAAGAAAATACAAACACTAATGGATAAACAAGGTCAGAATAGATCGCTATGCTTGTCAGATTTCCTCTGGGAGATTTAGGCTTCCCCTCCTTCACCAGAGAACAGCTCTTGCACATTTATTGCTCATTGGGTCATTGAAAAGAGTGTATAGCATCCTTGGATTATTTATATGTAGAGGAAATACATGTCTATTTTGCTAGCATGCCAAGAGCTGAAAGGATGGAGAATCCTTTATGACATCAGCAGAGACAAAAACTATCACAGTACTTTGATATCTTTTAACCAAAAATGGGGAAGACTTTACATGAATTATATATTAATATATGATTAGACAGAATTATTTGTCATAAAATGTAGGCAAAAGTTGATTTTCTTTTCATCATGGTTTTCACACCAAAAACTCCCTTGGCCCAGCTTCCTGGAGCTCCAACAACATTTTAAAGGTTTTTGCATTGTCTGCTTCAGCCTTTGGGTTCACCCAGGGCCAGTGGCCACTACTCTTATTCTTTGGCGGGTAGTTTTCAGTGAAGGGATTCTGGGGGATTGGGTGAGAGATATCCAGCCAGTCACTCGATGTCAAGGGCTAAGGGTAGTTGGACGCTTGCTTGTATTTCTTACCCTGATTAATTTAGTATTCAAGCGGCAGGGGGTTGAACATATCTTTGAGCCTTGACAGCACCCACGGGCCCCACTTGTGGATTTGGTAATTAATAAGAGCCTTTCTGCACGTTCTCTTTGGAACTACAAAATCTCACTTTACCCTATTGTTTGACTTGGGAGCCTTTTATCCTTTTTGTCTTTCCTAGGTGATTAAGTGTCGTAATGAGATCATGCACTCTTCAGAGATGAAAGTGTCTTCTGTGTGGCTTCGAGATTTTCAGATGAAAATCCGAAATTTCCTGAATGAATTCACGAATATCCCAGAGATTGTGGCCGTATACTCCAGAATAGAACAGGTAAAAATCATATTTAACAGTTCTGGCATAAAGAACTAAGGGGGAACAAAAACATAGTCACTCATTTAGAATTTGAAGTTTATTCGATTTAAGTGAAATTTTAGAATGTAAGTAGGGGAAGAAATGTTGATATGAAATCTAGAATTGTGCTAGGCTGAAGAGCTTTTCTGTGGTCACAGGGTGTTATTACAATGGATCCACTCAATGATGTTGAATTATAAATTCTTCTTCTTCTGCTGCTGCTGCTGAGCAAGATTGGCCCTGAGCTAACATCCATGCCCATCTTCCTCTAGTTTATATATGGAATGCCTGCCACAGCATGGCTTGATAAGTGGTGCATAGGTCCACACTCAGGATCCAAACTGGCGAATCCCGAGCTGCCAAAGCGTAGCGTACAAACTTAACCACTGCGCCACCAGGCCGGCCCCGAATTATAAATTCTTTGAGTAATCCAATAGAATATCTTTTCCATTCAATCGGTTCATATATTTGTTTGGTAATCCAACAGCTGCTGACGTCTGACTGGGCTGTTCACATTCCCGAGGAAGATGAACGAGATGGATGTAACTATGAAACAGGAGTTTACCTGAGTGAGAACCAAATAAATGAAATAGAAATGGAATTACTAAAGGAAAAACTGCAAGAGATGTATCTTCAAGCAAAAGAACAAGAAGTGTTGCCTGAAGAGGTAAAAAATATTACATCCTCTGTGTGAGTAAACAAAACGAAGAGGGGTGCCAGGGAGGAAAAGTGGCTCATTTTAACATATTGCCAGTTATGTTTCTGATTTATAGTCAGATAATTTCCAGAAGTGAATATTCTTTTGGCACAAATTACTATTACCCTTAAATATTTTCCCTTAGCAAGCATTTAAATGCTGAGGGTGTGCCTCAAAGTGGAGCAGCACGAGAAGGGCTGCCACGGAGCCCTCAACAAAAGGCCCTGAGGGCTCTCTGCAGGCCAGGGCCGGCTGCAAAAGGCGGCCTCGCTGAGAAGGCACTGTTGAGCTGGGACTAAGAATTCGCTAAGAGTTTGGCAAATTGGCAAGAGGAGAAGGGCGTTCTTCACAGAAGGAACAGCACTGGGAAAGGCAGAAAGAATAGCCTGGGCCTGCGCAGGCATAGGAGGTGGGTCAGAGGTGAGGGTGGTCGGGTAGGTTGAAGCTGTATGTTGAAAGCTTTTCCATGCCACACCAAGGTGTTTGGACCTTATTCCTGAAAAGCAGCAGGGGGCAGACAGAGGTTTTTAAGAAGAAAGAGTAGATGCAATGGATCAGATGGTGGCTTTTAGCAAGGTCACTCTTCCGGCAGTTGGGAGTTGGAGACTAGCCAGGAGGCTCTTGGGGTTGTGTGAGGGTGAGAGAAAGAGGACAGAAACTAGAGGTGGGGAGGAGCCGGATTCTGGAGGCACTGCTTGGGCAGAGCTGATGGCTCCTAGTGGCTGCTTAGATTACTTAGAGGTGGCATGGGGCTGGAAGGAGGTGGAGAAGGGGTGGGGGCAGTTAAAGGATCAACAGGTTTCTAGCTTAGGACACTGCAGGCTAATGATGGTTTTAAGTCTTGATAGGGAGTGCAGGAGAAACGATTCCCCTTTGTTACATGCAAGGTATTAAAAAAAACCAACAGTAGTAGAATTGTATTCTAGGAAGATTCAGAAATACTCCAGCACTTGCTGGATTACAATTCTAGATCACCAGGGGATCCTGAACAAATCATTTTACCTCTCCATTCCACCTTGTCCGAGCAAAGTAGTTTTGCTGATTACTTCACTAAATACACAGGGAGAGTGTTTATGTAATACGAAGTGTGTATTTCATTCATTAAGCCATGCTCCTTACTGGTCCATATTAACTGTTCTGACCTTGACCCAGATGCCTTATTCAGCATGGTGAGACTCCTTTAGCACAGGGACTGGGTACCACTGGTTATTGGGGGTGCCCATCCTGGCACACAATAGGAATTTAAAATGATGAATAAGAATGTTAAATCTTCTATTATCTGAGTCCATGTGTTTCATCTTGCTTTATTTTAAAATGCCATTGGAGCCAGCCGCAGTTCTCCTTCTGCTGCTGCTTTCAGAAGCAGAACAGAAAAAGTCTTAACCGGAGGATCAGGCTCCAGGCCCCTGAGTTGTCAGTAGTTCTCTCTTCTCTCTTGAGGGCGCTGCAGATCTTTTCCTGTTTGTGTAACAAAGAGCAAAATGCATTAGTAGCAACACACTCAAGCCAGGAGTCCGTGTAAGTTGGGAGCTGGAAGAGAACCTGACAATCATCATATCCCCCACTTTTCACATGAGGCAGTGACCCCAAGGAGCAGGAGGCACTGATGGATGCAAAGATGCAAGGCGACACGCTGGGCTGTGAGAACTGGCCCGGCGGTCTCCCCGCTCTGGTCCTGTGCCTTTCCACATGCCATGCTGCAGATCTTGTATCACCGAAGAGCTAGCAACTGTAAATTTCACTCTCTCATTATCTCTCTTTTACAGAGAGCAAATTGAGGTTAATTGGCTTGTCCTCTGGGTCCCAAAGTCTCTAGACAGAGTTGATAAATGCTCATCTTTCATGCTTTCTGTTCAGTAGACCATGGCATTTCTCTTGATATTTCAGTTGATCAAAATGTAAGTTCAGATTGATTGGCATGTTATCTCTTAAGAAGTGAAGGTTGGCTTGCCATGGTGTGTGGAACTGACCTCTTTTGAAAGTTCAATACCGTATATGGTTATCCATGTTCTTTAGGGTTAGCCTCCAGAGTCAGAAGAGTCAATAAACTGAATTTCAGTGAGTCTAAAATGCCATCAGTTGTAAGACACACCATTAATTCAGTTACTTCTAAGAAAGAAGAACTTGCCAGTTTATTGTAAGACACTATCAATGGTAAGATGCATTCTCATTTGAGATGTTAAGATATGCATCTAGAAATCAAGAAATACAGTGATTATATTATGGCCATGAGACCTTTTTTTCAAATGTTTAACAAGACCTGTTTCTGGTATTCATTAAAACAGTAGGGCTAGGGTTGGAACGCCAAGTTGGGAAAAAATGGTTAATGCTGGTAATTTAGTGTGACAGTTCCTGCAAATGCATCGCGGAGCTTGGGAGGCCAAGGAGCGCATCGCAGAGAGAGCTTATCATCTCCATTCTTTTCTGTTCCACTGACAAGCCTTAATATATCAATATAACATTATAAAAAGGGGCTCCCATTAAAGTACACTATGCACATATAACTGTGATTGTAAACTGCGTTCTGCCTCGGAGCCAATGGGAACAGCAGCTGCTCAGCCCCCTCGGGACACGGGTGGAGTGTGTCCACCATGGGCCCGTCTGCAGGCCAATTCAGCTGCCACCCAAGAGCCCTTCACATCATCCCACCAGCCCTTGGTGCTCTGTTAGGATCTGGGGGCTTAAAAATTTAGCTAGAGAACATGGAGAGCAATAAGTAGCTAAAAAACGTGTAAAGAATTTGCGCATCCTTTAAAAATCATTACTGATTTCTTAAACCCTGGTTAGGGACCCACCTTTTCAGAGGTCCGTGGAGAAGCTTGGGGAGAAGGAGCAGTGACAGAATGTATTCGAGGCAGTCAGGGCAAGGAGCGAAAGGCACTTCATTTTTCATATTTCAGAATATTTACTGAGCGAGCACCTGCTATGTGCCAGGCACAGTTCTAGAAGCTTGATGTGCCTCGGTGAGCAAAACAAAGATCCCTGTAGGGGGAGACAGACAGTATACAGACAACGTAGTAAGTAAAGGATGTGGTGCGTTAGAAGGAGGAGAAGTGCTGTGTCGAGCAGAGCCTGGGGGGATCAGGAATGGCAGAGTGGGCATGGGTGTCAGAGTGGCCTCGTGGAGAAGGGGAGGATTAGCGACGTGCACATCTGGAGGAAGAACATTCAGGCAGAGGGAACAGCAAAAAGGTGAGCAGGGTGGCTGGAGGGGGGGAGGGGAGGAATAGCAGGTGGGGAGGTGAAAAGTGGAGGTGGAGGAAGCAGGTCATATTGTGCCTTGTGAACCATTAGGAGGATCTAGGCTCTTACTCCTGAGGCGGGAGCTGTGGCCGAGTTCTGAGCAGCAGAATAACACGGCTGCTAGGGTGAGGTTGCCCTGTCGGGGGAGGGGGCAAAGGTAAAAGCAAGGAGACCTGTCACGAGGCTGCTGCAGTTGGGTAGGAGAGATGGTGGTTCGGGCCAGGGTGGAAGTGCAGAGGTGGTGAGAAGGTGGGCAGGTGTGGCGTGTGAGAGAAAGAGAGGCGTCAAAGACAAGTGCAAGAGTTTTGGCTTAAGTGACTGGGAGGATGGAGGTGCTAAGCATCTTTTGCCTGGGACATAGTAGACTCTCAATAAACATTTGTTAAATGAATGCAGGAGGGAAGGAATGTACCACACACAATGCTAAGTGCTTTTAGTAGATTTCTAATCCATACAAGAATCCTAGTTGGTGTTGGTATCATCATCCGTTATTTGCATACATGGAAGTAAGCTCAGAGAGGTCAAGTATCTTGCCCGAAGTTACACAGCTGGTTAAGTGACAAAGCTGGGCTTCAATATCCAGGTCTGTCTGGATATACCATAAGTTTTCTAGTACTTTCAGTTTTTCCATCCCTGCTTCCTCTTCTCCCTTTACATATAAACGTGCACAAGCGATCCCCATTCTTAATTTTTTTAAAAAAAAGCTCCTTTTGACTCTGTCTCCCCACCCAGCTAAAAGATAATTGCTTCTCTTTTTTTTTTAATTTTTTACTTTTCCTTCTCCCCAAAGGCCCCCAGTACATCGTTTTGTATTCTAGTTGTGGGTCCTTCTAGTTGTGGCATGTGGGACGCCACCTCAGCATGGCCTGATGAGTGGTGCCATGTCCACGCCCGGGATCCGAACTGACGAAACCTGGGCCACTGAAGTGGAGTGCGTGAACTTAGCCGCTTGGCCACTGGGCTGGCCCCAGAATTGCTCCTATTAAGCACATTTCAAGAGCAGAGAGGGTCAAGAGGTGACAGCAGAGAGGATCACAGCTCCCAAGTCATCAAATGAGAAGGTCTCCGAACAGGAGGAGGGAAGACCCCACTCTGTCTTGGAGCGTGTATGTGGTGCACAGACCCAGCCACTGCGGTCGTGGGCATCTGATGGAAACCACAGCAAGGACCTGCGGTGCGTCTAGAGCCCCAGGCGCAGGCAGTAAGCACTACCAGTGCAGTACCCATGGTTACTAATGTGTGCTGTGAATAATATCATTGGTGTAATCTTCACTTCACGTTTTTATGGTTTCCAGGTTTATTATTTAAAGCCCAGGTATCTTTCAGGAGCTGTAGGCTTGTTTCCAGCCGTGTAATGAACAGCTCCAGCTGAAAGGCACATCCCCGTCTACTTACTAAGCTATCTGAAGACCTCCAGTCATCTTCAGCTCCTCCCTGGCCCCCCCTGCTCCCTGTTCATCCTGGCCACAAGCCATAGCCAGTCTTCCCCCTCCCTTCCATCCCTGGCAGCCGGCGTCCAGCATCTGGCTATTTTATTCCCTGACATCACGACAACCTGAGTGCCTGCTTAGGTTCCGCCCTAGACCTACTGCATCTGAATCAGCTACGTGCATCTCTAAAGTTTAAGATCTGCCTCTCAGCTAGGGGTAGGGTACTCCATCTTCCTTAGATTTAGATCACCTGGACTTAGCTTGGAGTTGGGGGTGCCCCATTAAAAAAATTCACCCCACCCAAAAATATGAGTAACTCTCATCTTTGCAGTAAGCACAGTGACCGGTGAGGGTATCCTGGGATGAGCCCCGTGAAAACACTTCTGTAGTACTAGGCTGAGAGTGCTTTTCTTGGTTAAAATGTCGGGAAGAACGTCACTGGTGGGAATTTAAATTGCTGCAGCCTCTATAGAGGGCAGTTTTGGCAAAGTCTATTAATAAATTAAAACAAAAAACTCCATCAGAATTAAAACTGCATTCCACTTCTAAAAACAGATCCTACAAGTAGACTTACCACTTAGCAAACTGACACGTGCGCCGGGTTAGTCACTGCAGCAGTATTTGTCTTAGCAGAAAGTCTGAAATATGTTAAAATATGAAGCATCCATAACTGAAATACTATCTGGCCATTCAAAAATACATGAGGCCACTCTTTCTGATCTGATATAGAAAAAATCACTTGAAGAACAAAGATTACTGTGCTGCCGTTTATGTTTTTAAAAACGTATATACAATATATGCACATGCTCACATGTAAATGCATAGAATATCTCTGGAAGAAATACGATAAACTTCATTGTGGTCACCTCTCGGGGGAGCAGCTGGGTGACTGAGGACAGGGTTTGGAAGAGGACCAACTTTTTACCTTGTACCCTTGTGCTCATTTCAAATTCTGTACCCATCCATGTTAAATATATATACATCTAGGGGCCGGCCCGGTGGCGCAGCAGTTGGGTTTGCGCCTTCCTCTTCTCGGCGGCCCAGGGTTCGCCGGTTCGGGTCCCGGGTGCGGACGTGGCACCACTTAGCAAAAGCCATGCTGTGGTGGGCATCCCGCGTATCGGGTGGGGAATGATGGGCGTGGATGTTGGCTCGGGGCTGGTCTTCCTCGGCAAAGGGAGGAGGATTGGCAGTAGTTGGCTCAGGGCTAATTTTCCTCAAAAAAAAAAAAATCTATATATCTATATACATCTACATATATATCTATATGTATATGGATGCATATATGTGTGTATGGCTATCCATATGTACATATATGTGTGTATATATATTTAATAGTAATACATGTATGGGTATAACACAAAATGAAAAGCGTTCATTTTGTTTTTATATACATATATGTGTATATGTGTATACATGTGTGATATATATGTGTGTGTACGTGTATATATATGAAGTCCTTTCATATAAATGCAGGAAGTTTTAAAACAAAAAACTTTGAGGAGACAAGCAAACACCCCCTTGTGTGGCCCAGAACCAGCTATCCGGGGTTTTAATTGAGTAGAGGATGCTTTGTTTAAAGGATTTGTTTTGGTTTTAGTTTTCAAACCTTAACCTGTCTGTGGAGAGATGCCTGTAGCCAAGGTTTCTGTCTCTTGGTGAACACCTGAGCAGCCAGTCTTGGAGCTGGTAAGCTTTTCATCTGAATTACAAGTGTGCTATAAAATTAGCTAAGCTGTACACTGTACGGTTTCCTCTTGCAGATCTCAAATCGACTGGAAGTGCTGAAAGAATTTCTGAAAGACAATGAGGATCTTCGAAGTGGTCTTACGGAAGACATGCAGAAGCTAGACAGCTTCCATCTACAGCATCAAAAACCGCATTCAGAGGAGCCTGGGGCACAGACACCTGAAGGAAAAGCCTGAGGTGAGTTTAGGCATACGATGTTAAGTAAGGACAGACCAGCCTCGTCTCTCAGGTATGTGTTCTCTTATGTAAGGCCATAATGAACACACACCTTAGTCTCATCTGAGGTTTCCCTATGTCCTTATTATTTGAAAGAAAGGACACTGAGCTTTGTGCTCTTTCTGACTGATGCTTCTCACATCTGTGGAGTAATTCAACATAAACTCCCTGTCAGCTCTGTTGAGTCAAATATACCTGAAGTCACTGGGCTGGTCTGCAGTGAATCAACTTTATAAGATAATCAAAACCCCTTTCAGCCCTAAAGTGGTGCTGCTGATGCCTAGCCGTTAGCTGTGGCATGAATAGCAACTCGTTAATTTCCAGAAGAAAAACTTGTTAAAATAAATGCCTTCGGTATTTTACTTTTCTTCCTTCAAACAAAACTAAATATTTTCTTTGATTTTAGGTTGCCCTTGGACAAAAACCAGGCATGTTCTGTGAAAGTCAACATGGCGTCCATCTCAGCCATCCTTTTCTGTACAATGGGAAAATCTTTTACGACAGTACTCCACCCAAACAAAAAGGAATTTTTGTTGTCTTTTCCTGGACTTTCCTTTGACTCTTTGGGAGTATTTTTTTAATATTCATAAGCTTGATATTGTATAATCTAAACTGACTGAAAAATATTAGATACTCTCTTGCCAAAGCTTGCTATCACCCAGGGTGTGTGTTTTTGTTTGAGGGGTTTTTGTTTTGTTTTGTTTTGTTCACTATTTAAAAGGTGAGATTCTTTTCTGGTCCTAAACTCTAGCTATTTAACATAGTAAAGGCTGTGTTCAGCCAGGCCTGTGTGAAGGGTCACACGGTTTTCTACCCACTGGCACACAAGTCCTGTCCCCAGTCCCCCCCCACCCTTCCTAAAAGTCTTTTTCATGAGGATGCCCACAGGGTGGGCTGTGATATAAGTGTTGAGATAGAAATCCTTCCTTTTTGGAAGAAGGCAAGAAAAACAATTGCCTAACAGGCCATTTTCTAGCCATTTCCAATTACTACAGAACTGTTAGTACCCGGTGTCTCTGGTATCTTGAGGCAGCAGGGCAAGGAGGTGGGCTCAGGCCGGTCAGTGGGGACTGGAGAACACAGTGACTTGACCCACCAAAGCTGGGGCAGGGCCCAGGCCAGCGTCACAAATGGGTGTCGGGGAAAGCTCTGCACTGGCTATCTTGTTTATGGCACCGTTAGGAAAAGCCAACTCCCACGGCAGTCACAGCTCTTTCTGTTCTGAGCACAAGGCCTGGCCTCGTGTGCTCGATGACTATTTGTTGACTGAAGGTCAACCGATAGCTTAGGAGTATTCAGAGATGTAAATGTTAGTTAGACGATTAACTAAGCCTGGGCCTTCATTGTGACATTTAAGAAGGAAATTTCAACATCCTTATGGAAATTGAGACATCATTTTCTTTCAACAAATTCATGAATTCATTCATACTTCCTCTATTCCTTTTACGCAAAAAGTCATCCACTTCTGACTTTGTCCTGTTTGTTTCCTGGACTGCGAAACCACCGTCCTGTTGTATGCAGTGGTCTGCGGGGTCAGCCTCACGCCTACCTTCCCCTACATCTGCTCATTTCAGAGCCCCCAGCACTTAACTGGGCCATGTCGCCTATGGACCTTCAGGGACAGAGTTGCCATGTTCTTCACCACCTGGAGGAAGGACTTCATTCCAAGCCCAAGTGAAGCCTTACTCCTTTGCTTACCCAGCTGCCCATCAAGGATGCGATCAGTAGAGGATGGGCAGAGGGTAGGTATATTTGGTATATTCTTGCATTAAAATGCATGTATGGTAATTCAGTAAAACCTGGATCAATCCAGATATGCCTGTAACTTCCTGCTTTAATCTTTCCTGTTACTATTTAGTCTTTAATCTTACATTTTCTTCCTTCATTTCATGGAGTTCCTTTAGAAGACTTCAATAGTAAAGTAAGGATTTTCATTCATCTTGCAACTCCCCCCCAAACTAAGAAACTTAATGAACTGTTTCCCAGCTTCTAGATAGAAGATACAAAACTTGGGATCAAATTAAATCTTGATTCTCTAACCACTTTAAGACCTAATTTCTAACTTTAGGAACTTTGGGTTATGAACACTTTTATTTCACACCTCTCATATCTAGTTAGCTTTTCCTTATCTATCCAACAAACATTTTTTGGCTATGCCAGGCACTGAAGTAGATGCAAATGTGAGGATTTGTGAGGTATGGACAATTGTATACGAGCTATCATTTTACTGGATTAACTGTCTGCTCTGATAAAGATATTGTTCAGAAAACATACTGTCAACATTTAATTACATCCAAAGTGAAATGAAGAAAGGAAGACATGCCCAGAGCGGGCTTTAAAAGGAAATGGAGCGTGTACAGGGACATCAACCTGTGGGCCTCTGTTGCAGATCTGTGCACGTAGTCTGTGCACGTGAGCGCAGGGCGTGCACAAAAGGGTGTTCGCGGCAGCATTGGCGGCCAGCCATCAAGAGAGGCCTGGTTACATAAATCACAGCACGTCCACGCTAGAGTATTATGCAAGTGTTAAAAAGAATGAGGTAATGCTGCAATGCAGTAATATGAGTGGTCTCTAAGACATATTAATAGAAAAGCAGAATGTTTAACAATGCATAGCATGCAGTGAAACTCTTTGTATTTTCAAATACTAGAGGTCTGGAAAGTTGTGTGCTTTTCCCAGGCTTTTTTACTGTGTTCCCTCTGTGAAAGGACTGGGGTTGAGGGAGGTGGGTGGAAGAAATTCAGCTTTTCTATTTTGTATACTTGCGTATGAAATTTTTACAACAAACATGCACTCATGTATTTTGAGATTTTTTAATTAAAATTTTTAATTTCAAAATAATAAAGAGACATGAATAATATAAGGTCAAACTGCAAGGCTTATGTGTCATTTTCTGGAATACAATATCGCCTCCATTTTTGTGGGTATCCGCTCCACCTCCAGTGGCCCTTGTGAGTGGGGAGGGTCAGGAGAAGCCCGGGAAGGGGTTTCCTTGCCGCACAGGGCTCTTTCGTCTCAGTGTGCCTTGTTTTCACCCAGCACTGTGATTTTCTCTCGGCTTCTCCCTGGGACGCAATAGGTGGTTCATAGTTTTGAAAGAATTAGAGGACAAAAATGGTTTAAGCATTATAGTTGCAAAGATAAGGCAATTCTTGGATTTTAGCCTGTGCTTCGTCAGGAAACCCAGAGGACCTAAGGAGAAAGACGTTATTTATTAAACTCAGCATAAAACACGAATTCTGGGAAATAACAAAAGTGTGTCAGTAACAAAAACTTCTGGAAAAATAACTGCCAATTCAGAAAATGTTATTGGCTTCATAAAGTAGTGGTGGAGATCTGTAGACAGTTTAAGTTGCCAAGGCCAGGAAGGATTACTTTTGAGAGTTTTGGGAGATTATGAAATGATTGTCACCCTAATGATTTGAAAGGTTCATTTTTATTATGGTACTAATCACTTATATGGCTTTCAGCAGTAATATCCTAGGCCACAAAGGGTGAGACTCTTAGTTGGGTGGGCATACTATGAATTAGATCATGTAAGTGGAGCATGGCATGCAGTGGAGGTGTGCAATCTTGGATATTTTCTCTAATCATTTTGCCTTCTATGAATGTAGAGTGGTAGGAAATGATCACCAAGGATTACCTCCTTTTCCCTTACCAGGTTAATTAGAGACCTACCTGCTCTGAAATGTCTTAAACAGACAGTGGCCTTTTATTGAAATATAATACTCAAATTACAAAATACATGTCGTAACAAGACAAATCTAAAAATACATTAATTTCTACTCATTGTAACAGTGAAGGGAAGAAAATCCTTTAAAGTTTTAGTAAAAATTTTCCCAAAAGGTTATGATTCACTTCAGAACTTTAAGAACTGCTTTTTATTATTGCATTACAGTCTGAACTATCTAAGATATTAGGAACTACCACTATCTTCGAGACTTCTTTCCTACTTCTCAAAGCCATGCTCTATGATATGTGCATGTTAGTAATGACCACAAAACTGTAAACTAAGCATTTTCTGACATCTCTCTGGGAAGGTGGGCAGTGACCTTACATGCTTTATTACCTTCTACTGAGTTTCAGGAAGGCATGCAAATTTTTATTTCAGAACCATGTGTGATGGCCAGCCTCCAAGATGGCCCCCAGCAATCCCTGCCTCCTGGCCTTCCTACCCTTGTATTGTCCTCCCACAATGTCCCAGGGTTAGTCCATGTGACCAATAGAACATAGCGGAAGTGATGGTATGTCACTTCCCAGATTAAGCTGTAAGACTATGGCTTCCATCTTGGGCTTTCTCTCTCTTGGAACACCTTCTCTGGGGGAAGCCATGTTGTGAGCAGCCCTATGGCCCACACCAGAAGGAACTGAAGCCTGCAAACAACTGTGTGAGTGAGCTTGGAAGTGGTTCCTCTAGCCCCAGGCAAGTCTTCAGAGACTGCAGCCCAAACCGGTTACCCTGACCCGGTATGCAGAATGTGAAATGCAGCAATTGCCCACAAAGAGGACTACTGCTTATGCGACAGAAGATAAAGGGGAATCTTCCAGAGTTCCACTTATCTTGCACCTGTCTTATCCAAGACCTGATGTCTTCAGAACCTTTCAGACAGTTGTTTTAAATTTCTTTGCATTTGAAATTATTAACAAAAGCAGAGTTTAAGCACTCTTAAACACATACACTAGAGTTTCCCAGTAGACCACTCTGGAATTTCCTCCAGAAGCGGTGGGAGATTTGGCATCAAATTCTAGAGGACAGCCTCTGTTGCAGAGGTAATGTCCTCACACCCACTGTCCCACCCTTCTCTTTTCCCTCCTCATGCTCCCTGGTTTCAGAAAAGTCCTTAGCACCCATAGGAATCCTAGGGGGACACTCTGCGCTAATACTGTTGACCACTGACCCTCACCCCCAACCCTAACTAGCATTCAGCACAAAGTGATTGATTTTGCCATCTGTATTTTCTAATTACCTAGCATCCAGGGTTGACAGCAACTGATCTTGGAGTTGTTTATTCTGTTCCCATGAAAGATTCCATAATTGTTCTTGGTCACCAAGAGATTCTAGGTTCTCTTAATACGTACTCCTTAAAAGTCTAAACTGTATTTCGCTGAATTCATTTAAACCCACTTCAAAGTATTTCCCTCAGTAGAAATGGCCCCTGGGCCTTTTTTGGTGTAAAGAGATTGATGGTCATACTAAGTTTTAGGTCATGTGTGCTTAGTACTAAGCACTCCTATTTGGCCTGGACACCCAAAACAAGTAACAAAAGCATGTTCCCAAGAGAGCTTTAAAAAAAAAAAAAAAAGCAATGAGTTAGATAATTTGAGGCATCTTCATTCAAACAGTGTTCTTCCCCTATATAAACTAAACTTCGAGTTGCAGGTCCCGTCTTGTAAAGAGGAAGACCCGCCAATCCACCCTCACCTTCTAAAAAACATTTTCTTTCCAGATCACGAAATAAACAACACTCAACAGCATAAACAGTTATGCGCTATTTACTATTTTTTTATTAACCAAACTGCAGGTTTAAATCAGATTCGCACTGTTTCAGTGTCAACACCAAGCTGTTCACTGGTCTTTTCTTTAGGAAGAATAACAGTTCAGTGCTTCCAAGCCGCAAAGCTTCAATCCGGCCCTCTCAGCAACGTTTCGGGGACTACGGACTGAGGCTAGCGCGAACTTCTAGCGGCAGCTGTCATCAGCAGGGTCGTAGGCGACAGTCATGGTGATGGCGGCGGTGGTGGCGGTGGTGGCGGCGGCAGCCGCACCGTCGCCGTAGTGGTGACTTAGGTAGCGGCCCGCCTGCACACTCTGCGCCACCACGTTGGTGCCGTGGCACGCCATCAGCAGCAAGTTTCGAGGCTGTACGCGGTAGGCGAAACGCATGAAGGCCATCGAGTACAAGATGAGCGCTGTCGTCATGCGGCCGCTGATGATGTCCGGCGGTGCGTTCATGTCCTTAAAGGCGGCCAGCGGTAACCCCCAGTTGGCCACTGGACCCCAGAAGTGCGTGCTCATCAGGTATTCCCGGAACTCCTTGGTCTTCATGTAGTCCCTCGCCCGCCGCCACAGTGCCGCCACGGCTGCCATGATCGCCGAGCCGCGGGAGCGCCAACACACGAAGCAGCAGCCGCCAGGGAGGTGAGGCGCCAACCCGCAACCGCAGCCTGTCCCGACGCGCGTCCGTGCGCGGCCTCACGCCTCCGCGTGCGTGCCGTAAAGGGCGTCGGACAGCACGTGCCGCTGTCGTGCGCGCCTCTTGGGTCGGAGATGTGGCCTCAAGCTCACGCCTTAGCGTGGCTGCCGTAAAGTGTGTAGGGTGTGGTACCTGGGGGCGTGTGTGTGTCCTGCCGGCAAAGGCGCGACCGCAGCCTCGTCCTTCGGGCCACGTGATGCTGCGGGCCCCGTAAAGCTCCCAGGGCTCCGTGAGCCGCCCAGAGAGGTGAGAGTGTGCCTGCCTGCTTCTCCTCGGCTACACAGAGGGCAGCTTTGCTTGTTCTGTCCACCCTGTGGATGGTGTTGACAGGATGTTGATACAGAACACTTCAACCAGGTACAGAATTGTAGTCCTTACACAGTTTGCCTGAGTGTTACTTGCAGACATAGTGACGCTTCACCCCGAAATATTTCAACATCTGGCTCTTAACAAGGGCATTCTCCTACTGAACCACAATACGATAATCCACGCGGATACTTACCGTTCAGTGCAGTACTATTGTCTAATGTGCCGTGCATAGTTAAATGTTACAGTATTGTGGCTTTTTTCTTTCTTGTTGAGGGGAGGAGATCCAGGATCCAATCAAGATTCACATTTTGTTATAATTTCTTTGAGATTAATCTCTCTTAATCTAAAGGAGTTCTCCAGCGTTTTTTGTCTTTTGTGATACTGACATTTTTGAAGAGTACAAGTCAGTGGCCTCTCAGAATGTCCTTAATTTGGATATGTCTGTTTTCTCCTAATTAGGTTAAACATTTTTTGGCAAGAATATTACACAGGTGATGATGTGTTCTTAGTGCATCACAGTGGGAGGTACGTGATGTCACTTTGTTCCATCATTGGTGATATTAAGTTTGATCATTTGGTTAAGGATCATTTGCTGGGTTTCTCCATTGTAAAGGTACCTTTTCCTTTCTGTAATTAACAAATAATCCGGGGGGAGCCTCTTTGGGAGTGTATGGATAATCTATTCTCCAATAGTCTTTTACCTAATAGTTAATATCCATTGATTAAAATTTTTAATGACAAAACTGATGATTATTTCCCTGTGTTTTCTACTTTTTCCAATAAAAATAATTGTTGAAAGTGAACAAGTATACACTGAAATATTAATACTTTAAGTAGTGATTTATAAACAAGCCCATTGTACTTTTAAAATTAATACATTCATTATCTATGTTCATTTATACCCCAAATATTTTACAAATATAGCTTTAAAATATATGGTAGAGCCATTGCTCAAAAGGAAGGCAGCATAATTCTTAGGTGACCCTTTTAAAATGCTGGGCTTTCAAATATGGATGACTGGTATGCTTGTGTAAATCAGTTCAGTGTAAGTTTGAGTAATAAATCAGCAAGCATGAACTGAATGACATTTTAGGCCTACATTGCTAGATGCTCCAATATCATAAAAAAAGTGTAAGTTACTACTCCTTGTCCACAAAAAGCGGCTTAGAACAACAGTCCTTTAATTTACTCACAAATATGCAGTTTGGGTGGGACTCAGTGGGGACAGCTCATCTGCTCCATGCGTCACCAGCCAGGGCAGTGCAGCTTGGGGCTAAAAGATCCACTTTCAACATGGTTCACTAACATGGCTGGCAAGTTGATACTGGTTGTTGGCTGGGAGCTCAGCTGGGACTGTTGGCCAGGAGGCCTCGGCTCCTCTCCACAAACTGCTTGTGCTTCCTCACAGCATGGTAACTAAGCTTTAAGAAAAGTATAAGAGAATCAAACAGATGCTATGTGGTAGGCAGAATTCTGAAATGACCCTTGCCAAGTTGCATAATCTCTCCTTAAGTGTGGGCAGAACCTATGAATATAATTAGATATCACTCCCATGATTATACAACAAAAAGGATTTTGCATATGTAATCAAGGCCCCAAATCAGTTGACCTTAACAGGCAGATTCTCCAGATGGGCCTGACCTAATCACATGAGCCATTTAAACCTGGGTCTAGAGGTCAGCGACAGAGGAAGTCTGAGATTTGAAGTGTGAGGGAGATTCTCTCTAGCTGGCTTTGAGGGTGGAGGTGGCCACGCAGCAAGGAATTCAGGCAGCCTCTAAGAGCTGAGTGCAGCCCCCGCTGACAGCCAGCAAAGAGAGCCAGACCTCAGTCCGGCGGCCACAAAGAGCTCAATTCTGCCAGCAACATGAATGCGCATGAAAGCACATTTTCCCTGGACACAGTCCAGCCAACACCTTCATTTCAGTCTTGTGAGACCCTGAGCAGAGAAGCCAGCCATGCTGTGCCCAGAATTCTGACCTACAGACTGTGAACTAATAAATGGGTATTGTTTTAAGCCACTAAGTTTGTGATGATCTGTTGTGCAGCAATAGAAAACTAATAGAAGCTTTATTGGCTTTAACGATCTAGCCTCAGAAGTTATTAACATCACTTTCTCCAGTCACAAGCCCACCCAAATACAATGAGAGGGGACATAGTCCACCTCTCAAAGGCAGGAGTGGCAGAGTCACACTTTAAGAAGAGCGTGTGGGATGGGAAACGTTGTTGTGGCCACTTTTAGAAAATACAGTCTATCATAGTACTTAACTCGAAATCACGTAATTATAGAATATTAGAGTTGAAGGGATCTCTCGGATTATCTGTGAAATGGGGATGATCGTGGTACGTACCTCACAGCAGTATTGTGAGGTGTCAGTGTGTTAATCCATGTGTGTTATCCTCTTAGGGTGGGGCCTGGTATATAAGTGCTCAGTGAATTTTAGCTAGCATCATTATTATCATCCAATCCAACCCCCTCATTTTACAAATGAGGCATAAAGCCTTAAGAGATTTTGTCCTTTGCCATGGTGACACACTGAATTCATGGTAGACCAGGATTAAGGTTTCCTTTTCTCACGTCAATCCTCTGCACAAATCACTTTAAGATCTTGTGTGTTTCTGTCTTTCCATCTATGTTGTAAATTCCCTCAGGCCGAGGACGGTATCACCAAACGAAAAGTTCCTTCTTCCAACAAGCCTTTCTAATGTGTTGACTGGATGAGGCCCAAATTGAACAAGACAAGGTTTGCCTGTTCAGAGGGGCATTTTACAGCTAGAGAAATAGAGGTACAGACAATGTGTAAATGGCTTTCCTGGTAGATCCCAGGCTGGTAGATGACTGACCAAACATAGTCTTTGTATCAGGTTTGTGCCTGGTAGATGTTTATTGGTTATGACGGTTGCAATGCATGGCCCAGATGAAGGGTAAGACATTGTGATGGAACTTGGCCAACACTTGGAGGGAGACTTGAGCAAGACACAGGGTGAGGAATGAGCAAAGCTATAGAGAAGTCTACCTGGCTGAAGCAAAGAGAGCGACAAAACAGTTTGAGGATTCAAGAAGATCAGTAAGGCTGTCCTGTGACTACCCTTGTTCACAGGTGAATTAGTCCTGCTGTGGATTTCACTGTTTCAATAGATGAAACTAAACAGGTAAAAGTTTGGAGGGCTGGCCCAGTGGCGCAGCGGTTAAGTTCACACCTTCCCCTTTGGCGGCCCGGGGTTCGCCGGTTCGGATCCCGGGTGAGGGCATGGCACCGCTGGGCACGCCATGCTGTGGTAGGCATCCCACATATAAAGCAGAGGAAGATGGGCATGGATGTTAGCTCAGGGCCAGGCTTCCTCAGCAAAAAGAGGAGGATTGGCAGCAGATGTTAGCTCAGGGCTAATCTTCCTCAAAAAACAAAAACGAAAAAACAGGTAAAAGTTTATCATTTTTTTTAAATACTATTTCTTTACCATTAATGTTATTGGAAGTAGCAGTTCTCTGTGTGCTGCCTCTCCAACATAGGGCTGTCAGGGCCCACTGTGTGACTCAACCTGCAGACACTAACATGGACATGGTTGGCAAGTTCACTGTCATCTTTTAAAGGAAAACAATGGGAGAAGACAAGCAAATACAAAGATAGATTCATACCTTTTCCCAGTCTATTGAAAATGTGCCATCACACACTTTCTTCTAACGAAGATTCCAGGTCACAGGTCCCATGAAATCCTGCTTGATGTCACTGATCCTGGACCCAGATGACTCTTCAGTGAGTTCCAATGCAGCAGACCATAGAGAGCGCACCTTTTTAATTGTTCTTTTTAACTTTTTATTTTGAAATAATTTCAAACTGACAGGAAAGTTAAAATAGTTTAAAACGAGAATAACAAAGCATGAAGTGTCAAAAGAACTCCCATATATCCTTCACCTAGATTTACTGTTAACATTTTGCCATGTTTTTATTGTTTCCTCTACCCCTAAGGGTGTTTCTTAGGAATTTCAGTGTGTATTTCCCAAGCATATGGGCACTCATGGACTTTCTTTTACCTTGCCACAATACACCCATCAAAATCAAGACATTTAACATTGATATAATACTATAATCTACAGTCCTTAGTCAAATTTTTCCAATTGTCCCAATAACGTCCTGTATAACCATTTTGTTTTTCTAATCCAGGACCCAGACCAGGATCACACATTGCGTTCAATTGTGATGTCCTTTTAATCTCCTTTAATCTAGAACAGTTGCGCCTTCCTCCGCCTTTCTTTGGCATTCGTGACCTTGACATTTTAGAAGAGTACAGGCCAGCTATTTGATAGAACGTCCTTCACTTTGGGTTCATTCGATGTTTCCTCATGCCTACCTTCACGGTGTTCATTTTGGGCAGGAACCCCCCGGGAGTGATGTTCTGTCCTCCATGCATCACATTGGGAGGCACGTGATGTCTGTATGTCTGATTATTGGTGATATTAAGGTAGGGTTCACCAGGTTTCTCCATCGTAAAGTCGGTATTTGCCCCTTTGTAATTAATAAGTCATTTGTGGGGAAACACTTTAAGACTATGTAAATATCCATTTCCTCATCAAATATTTAACCTACTAGTTTTAGCATCCATTGATGATTTTTGCCTGAATCAAGTATTACTCTAATGATGGCAACATTTTATTTTTTAGATGATTTTTCTCTTGTGGTTTAAAACAAAAGTCAGGAATTGTATTTCATTAAAGTTGCCCTGAAATGCTGGCCAACATTTCCAAAACATATGACTGTTTCTGAATTGTGGCTGTGAAAACTGAATGTTACGATTTGGATATTTTATGAATTTTTTTTTTGCCACGCATATCCTATGCTGATTTCCTTGGAATATTTGCTCTTAAATTCTACCAAAGGGAATAAATAGCATAGTGCCTCAAGAGAAGCTGGATGAATAAAACAATAGGCGGATATATTGGCTCTGCTCTTTTCAGTTACTGCTGAAAGTAATTTTAGAGCCATCTGTGACCCTGATTCTAATCTTCTTCCTTCTTACACTGTTTTTTTCTCTGTACATGAATACAATAGCTGAAGGCTGGGTGGTTATCCGGCATCTTCCAGTAGCTGTGAGAATGTCAGTTAAGTGTGTCGACCTCAGTTTCTCTAGCTATAAAATGCCCCTTGTGTGGTAGTCTGGTTTGGGTCACTTGATGCAATCAAGTGGCAGGAGGGGATCGGTTGGGTCCAGCCCCTAGTGAACCGTTGCTTCCTCCCAATCTTTTGTTTCATCTCTGCCTTATTCATGTGTCCTCAGACCAGGTTAACGGTGAAACAAGCAGAAGGCTGCGGAGCCTCCCGCCACCCGCTCTCCTGCCGGGCCTCATTTGGAGAGTCCTGTCATGGGAAATAGGGTAGTGCCTACTCCTCGTACTTAATCTTCGCACCAGAAATGAAAAGTCTTTTTTAACCTTTTAGTGAGAAGATCATCCAATATTTTAAATCTTAGAAAAATACATAAAAACATAGAACTTTGATTTTTTTTAAACTTTATTTTGAAAATATTTCAGTTGCAAAAAAGTTCAAGAATACAGGGAACTCTCATATACCCTCTACTCAGATTCACCAATGTCAGGGTCCTATCAGGGAAGCAGGGCCCTGTGAGTGAGAAGGGATTTATTAAAGGGAATAGACAGGACAGAGCTGTGGAGGGAGCTGAGGAGGTGACGGGGTCTGAAAGGGGGTGTTGGTCCATGTGAGGAGCCAGGCTCATTCAGCCACCAAAGTGGGGCCTGGGCCCCTTGAAGGGAGGCTGGCGGAGAGGCCTAGGGGGGCTCTTGCCTCTGAGATGCCGCAGCCAAGAGTCTGGCGATGGGCCTGGGGAGGGGGCAGTTGGGCAGAAGAGCTGGCTACAGAGCGGAAGAGAATAGAACAAACTGGAATCTGCCAATACCTCTGCGTCTGTCTTCCACTGCATTTAACCCTGTCTGCCTTCTGAGTCATGTTTGTATGCCAAATCTCTGACAGTGATCTCTG